GATGATGATGATGATGATGATGATGATGATGATGATGATGATGATGATGATGATGATGATGATGATGATGATGATGATGATGATGATGATGATAATTGACATCGGTGATGATGATGATGATGATGATGATGATGATGATGATGATGATGATGATGATGTAAGGCATGACTATTTTTGTAATTTAACTACAAATTATATAACTATATTATAAATCCGTAAAATTGTCTGTATCCAATAAGTTGATTACAATTATTTGTATCTCATAAGTTAGAAAAACTTGTGAGATCAAATCGAAATTAATTGGGAAACAATTGCTACTGTCAGAATACCTGATGAAATTATTTACGTTTTAATTGTGTGTAGTGTTCTCCACCGTCATGTTGCATAAACTGTATTGATATTGTTGTGTGCCCTGATTTGTAAATCCTATATGCTGTACTGCATTTGGAAATAAACTGAAACTGATACTTAGTACCACGTCATCATAGAACACAGGGGTTTGTGAACAACTGTCTGGTATTACTTAGTAAAATATTTCTCATAAAAAAGACTTTTTATTTCTAGTTGTCTTTGTACACAAACGGCAGCCCTTTATCACATGTCATGTAAGTTCTTACTGTGGAACAGATTGTGAAGATATGGTACTCAACAAACGTTAACGGTCAACACGATTTTTATATTCTTAACGTTTTACATTTACTAGTGCCCGCCTCTGTGCCATATTAAATTAAATAAGATATCTAACCAAAGTAGTGGAGCGTTCTGAAGGAAACAATAACTGGTCACTATCGATCATATCACCAGTTTTGTGTGCTTTTTCAGTGGAATAAAACCCTTGGTTGTTCTTAAATACACCTAATTTCATTTGTTATATTAACATTTAATTGCACATATCAACCTTTAATTGTTAACGTTTGAATTAGCGTTTAATTGTACATATTAACGTTTGATTTTACATATTAACGTTTGATTTTACATATTAACGTTTGATTTTACATATTAACGTTTACTTGTACATATCAACGTTTGACGTATTAACGTTTGATTGTACATATTAACGTTTGATTTTACATATTAACGTTTAATTGTACATATCAACGTTTGACATATTAACGTTTGATTGTACATATTAACGTTTGATTGTACATATTAACGTTTGATTGTACATATTAACGTTTGATTGTACATATTAACGTTTAATTGTGCATATTAACGTTTAATTGTACATATCAACGTTTAATTGTACATATCAACGTTTGACATATTAACGTTTGATTGTACATATTAACGTTTGATTGTACATATTAACGTTTAATTGTACATATCAACGTTTGACATATTAACGTTTGATTGTACATATTAACGTTTGATTGTACATATTAACGTTTGACATATCAACGTTTGATTGTACATATTAACGTTTGATTGTACATATTAACGTTTGATTGTACATATTAACGTTTGACATATTAACGTATTTGTACATATTAACGTTTAATTGTACATATCAACGTTTGACATATTAACGTTTGATTGTACATATTAACGTTTGACATATCAACGTTTGATTGTACATATTAACGTTTGATTGTACATATTAACGTTTGACATATTAACGTTTGATTGTACATATTAACGTTTGATTTTACATATAAACGTTTAATTGTACATATCAACGTTTGATTGTACATATTAGCGTTTGATTGTACATATTAACGTTTGATTGTGCATATTAACGTTTAATTGTACATATCAACGTTTAATTGTACATATCAACGTTTGACATATTAACGTTTGATTGTACATATTAACGTTTAATTGTTTAATTGTACATATTAACGTTTAATTGTACATATCAACGTTTGACATATTAACGTTTGATTGTACATATTAACGTTTAATTGTACATATTAACGTTTGATTGTACATATCAACGTTTGACATATTAACGTTTGATTGTACATATCAACGTTTGATTGTACATATTAACGTTTGACATATCAACGTTTGATTGTACATATTAACGTTTGATTGTACATATTAACGTTTGATTGTACATATCAACGTTTAATTGTACATATCAACGTTTGACATATTTACGTTTGATTGTACATATTAACGTTTGATTGTATATTAACGTTTAATTGTACATATCAACGTTTATACTCTGATTGTACATATTAACGTTTATTAACGTTTGTTTTACATATTAACGTTTAATTGTACATATCAACGTTTAATTGTACATATCAACGTTTGACATATTAACGTTTGATTGTACATATTAACGTTTAATTGTACATATTAACGTTTGATTGTACATATTAACGTTTAATTGTACATATCAACGTTTGACATATTAACGTTTGATTGTACATATTAACGTTTGATTGTACATATTAACGTTTAATTGTACATATCAACGTTTAATTGTACATATCAACGTTTGACATATTAACGTTTGATTGTACATATCAACGTTTGATATGTACATATATTAACGTTTGACATATCAACGTAACGTTTGATTGTACATATCAACGTTTAATTGTACATATCAACGTTTGACATATTAACGTTTGATTGTACATATCAACGTTTGACATATTAACGTTTGATTGTACATATCAACGTTTGACGTATTAACGTTTGATTGTACATATCAACGTTTGACATATTAACGTTTGATTGTACATATTAACGTTTAATTGTACATATCAACGTTTGACATATTAACGTTTGATTGTACATATTAACGTTTGATTGTACATATTAACGTTTGATTGTACATATTAACGTTTAATTGTACATATCAACGTTTGACACATTAACGTTTGATTGTACATATTAACGTTTGATTTTACATATTAACACTTAAGTGTATATATAAGCGTTTAATTTACATAATAACGATCAATTGTACTTATTAACGTTTAGTTTCTTATACAAACGTTTAATTGTACATACATATCTATAAATATTAGGTTATTTTCTGTAGACTACTGTCTTGAGATTCAATGGATGATTAATGGATGTGATGACGCGGTGTCGATGATTGGCGATGAGGTGGTGTCCAAGATTGGTGATGACGCTGTTTAATGACTGATCGCACACGCAGTGACACATCACTCAGGAAACTTCCATCCTTAATCTTTCTCAAAAGTTATCTTCCTAGTTTGTATAAATTGAGTTCCCTATTCTCCATATAGGGATAGGTGTAATGTAATAATACCCGTACCAGTCCCGGGCCAATCCCGGGCAAGTATCGGGAGGTGGTGTAGATTAGTCATGTCTTGATTTCAAATTAGTAGTGTAGATATCGATATCGTCTATAATTTCTTATCAGTTAAAAGCTGAATATGTTAGAAATATATTGAAGTGAAACTGACTTACTTAACAGAAGGAGAAAGAAATATTCACATTTGTTGTAAACTTTTCTTTCGTGCATCTAGTTCTAAAATTGTATTAAAAGGTTCAATTTCGTGTCTTTTAAACAATCTTCGAGATTGCAGGTTCGATCAATTCAAATTCACATCAGTCTACCGGAAAATGACACATTTTATAAAGCTTCAGCTATGGGGCAAACTTACCTAGAAAGTGAACCTGTCACACGAACATAGATGAGAAAGATCCTGACAGAGAATGCCAACAAATTTTTCACTGATGTGTAAAGTCAAGTGAACAGTTACCAGCAAAAGCAGATACCTATATATCGTGAACGAAAGAGAGAATGGAGGGAAACGGAAAAGCGAAAAACAAAAACGGAAACAATGCAAGAAAGAGAAAAATGTCCATTAGATGTAAACAACACTAGCTTAATATATAAATTGTATATTAAAAAATGAATTAAATTATTAAAAAGAAAAATGAATTTTCTTTGAAGGAAGCACTATAAATGTTATAATTAGAAATGAAATTTGTGGATATGGTTACTGTATTTCTTTGATTAACTTGTTTCACTTTCATGTTTTATTCCCAAATTCAATAAGTATATAAGTAACAATAAAACATAATTAATCAGATTCCATAAAAGATGACGGAAGGCTACATAGTAGTAGATCTTTGGTGGCGTCCTCACTCCACAGCATGTCGTTTGTCATCCCGAGCAATAAAACAGCGACTTGTAGAAAGACAAAGATCTCTACTAGCTGTGACCGCCACAGGTATAGACCATCGAACCACGTACCGCAGAATTCCGTCCAAAGTTTCTTGGTCAACGGTATACTGCTTGTGCCCCATTTGTTTTTCTGTGTACGTGTGTTCTATCTTTATAACCAAGACCTCTTTCTGTCTTAACGTGTACTTAATCATAATCTTAACGGATAATATATGATTGGTATTGTGAGAATCAAATATATATATATATAAACATAGATACATCCTAGTCTGGAGTCAGCTAAGATCAAACAGCCTACATGACTCGGGATTGTCACATAACAGACAGATGAAAGTGGATGTGCTTAGGAGAAGATAAAAGGTCTTTGACGTATAAGCCTCGACTTGGGCCATGGAGTCTGGTACTCTAACGGCTCTCAACACTCAAGTCTTCCGTTGTTCATAGATTCAAGGACAATTAATTAGCTTCCAATTCACCCGCCCTCTTTATGGTGTTGATAATTATGAAAATTCAAAGCATACATCGCATCTATGGACAATAAAGTTGTTAAAAATCGGTACAAATTGTAACGTCTACAAGTCACATCATTGAAGAATTGAGACTTTACGACAAAAGGATAGTCAATTGTCCAGTTTCCGTTCTGATGGTCAGTGTACCCATACACACAGGTCAAAGGTCATCAACTAGATTGGCCTTAGCTGCTTCCCATTGTACACTTTCCTAGTAAAGACGCAAAGTCTGTAGCGTCAACAATTCTCAGTGCGGTATCGTTAGAAAATGTGTCTGTAGTGGGAATATCTTAACTTGTTTCTGGGACGAAGAAGGATCACAGGAAAATGCAGTTCTACTTCTAGACTGAGTCCAAATAGGATTTTAAAACAAAATGATTGTGTGTAGTTTCTTATTTTTCCTGGTTTGTCTGAACACATGCCAAGGACTTGGTGAGTATCGGCCATTCAAGGGAAGCCTTTTGTTTATACATTAAACAATGGCGTCTAATCTCAAATCCGATTTCTTTTTTTAACATTGTTGAACGTTTTACTTCCTCCGTTATCAGACGATTTAAAATATGTCTGAACTTCGCTTAGATGAGATCGCAAAAAGTGAAGGAAAATGTTTTCTATTCACAGTACCATATAACTAGTTGCCTGAATTTTTACCGAATTCTAGTGTATTTAGATCTGAAGAAATTGTAAATAAATGACCCGGGTTGTCGACATTTTTACCGAATTCTAGTGTATTTAGATCTGAAGAAGTTGTATATACAAAAAACCCGGGTTGGTGACAGTCTTACCGAATTCTAGTGTATTTAGATCTACAGAAATTGTAAATAAAGTACCCGGGTTGGTGACAGTCTTACCGAATTCTAGTGTATTTAGATCTACAGAAATTGTAAATAAATGACCCGGGTTGGTGACAGTCTTTTTACCGAATTCTAGTGTATTTAGATCTAAGAAATTGTAAATACAAAAAACCCGGGTTGTCGACATTTTTACCGAATTCTAGTGTATTTAGATCTGAAGAAGTTGTAAATAAATGACCCGGGTTGTCGACATTTTTACCGAATTCTAGTGTATTTAGATCTGAAGAAGTTGTAAATAAATGACCCGGGTTGTCGACATTTTTACCGAATTCTAGTGTATTTAGATCTACAGAAATTATAAATAAATGACCCGGGTTGTCGACATTTTTACCGAATTCTAGTGTATTTAGATCTGAAGAAGTTGTAAATAAATGACGCAGGTTGGCGACATTTTCAGGAATTTTGTTTAAATCTAGTACGTTTTATATATTATGATAATTCCACAGAAGAAATGCATTTCAAATATTATATATAACTTAAAATTCTAGATATCGTTTTAACTGCTACCACGTGGTACAACACTAGTAGTTGTTTAGTATCATCATCATAACCTCGCATTGTTTAATTCGTAAGTTATATCCTTCTTCATTTCGCACAAAAAACTTATCTTTAACCTCCATTAAGGAATAAGATGTCCCAGTTTACCCTGTCAAGATTTTGATCAATTAACTGAATTAATTCTGCAAGAATTGCTAATATTTGTGACAGTTTTTTTCCCGTTGTGTCACTACATTTTCAAACATCGATATATCTATATGTTGAATGATGTGATATGATGATAAAACAAATTATAACTACACACTGTACAGAGCCAAATAAGGCACATATTTCAGAAAGCTTGCACCTCTGTTTTACTCGGTAAAATGTCCATATTCATTATTTTATTTACAGAACTCGACTCATCGAAATTTGGTAAGCATTTTCTAAATATTATCTTACACGGGTAATAATAACAAAATTAATCAATTACTAAATATCCCTCACATGTCTGTCTGTCTCCTCCCCCCCCCCCTCTCTCTCTCTCTCTCTCTCTCTCTCTCTCTCTCTCTCTCTCTCTCTCTCTCTCTCTCTCTCCCTCTCTCTCTCCCTCTCTCTCTCCCCTCTCTCTCTCTCTCTCTCTCTCTCTCTCTCTCTCTCTCTCTCTCTCTCTCTCTCTCTCTCTCTCTCTCTCTCTCTCTCTCTCTCTCTCTCTCTCTCTCTCTCTCTCTCTCTCTCTCTCTCTCTCTCTCTCTCTCTCTCTTGTTTTGATGTAAACTTGTTGTTTTCAAAATTTAATTTCAGAATTAAACAAAAACCATATTGTCGATGACAATTCCTGAAAGTTATGTATCAGTTAAAGATGGAAATAGAAGAAATGCATTGTTCACTTGCTTGTTTGTAAATGGAAGGAAATCGCTCATTTGTGTCGAAGCCTTGTAGCAGAGAAGGATTAAGCCAATGAATATTTGCCATTTTGAACACCATTGAATACTAAATTCGTCAGCCGCGCCAGTGTGTCAGGAAGACCATATAGTTCCACATGCCCAAACATTTATTACATATATTTTATATTTATGGAAAATAGTTCATTTCTCTCTCTCTCTCTCTTCTCTCTCTCTTTTTCTTAACAGTCTCTCTCTCTCTCTCTCTCTCTCTCTCTCTCTCTCTCTCTCTCTCTCTCTCTCTCTCTCAATATTGTACCAAATGGTTTTATCTCTCGAGCACCACATCTCTCTCTCTCCACTCTATGTTGTAACTTGGGGTGTTTTTGTTACTTTGACAGAGAAGCTAGTGGTATTGCCTCGCTCCAACAAGATCCCTAATGTAGACCAGGCAGCCGATGGCGACACAACGACCTGTATAGAGTACAGAAGACAGCCCCGTAAAAACGCTCGAGTGTGGATCGACCTCCAGGGTCTCCATAACGTACATCGTGTCATCGTTAGACACAGCGGAATAGGTAAATTTCATCACAACACATCGTTAGACACAGCGGGATAGGTACATCTCATCACATCACATCGACAGACACAGCGGGGTAGGTAAATCTCATCACAACACATCGTCAAACACAGCGGGATAGGTAAATCGCACCACAGAATCGTCAGACACAGCGGGATAGGTAAATATCATCACAACACATCGTCAGACACCGCAGGATAGGTAAATCTCATCACAACACAGACACAGCGGGATAGGTAAATCTCATCACAACACAGACACAGCGGGATAGGTAAATCTCTTCACAACACATCCTCAGACACAGCGGGATAGGTAAATCTCATCACAACACACCGTCAGACACAGCGGGATATTTAAATCTCATCACAACACATCGTCAGACACAGCGGGATATTTAAATCTCATCATAACACATCGTCAGACACAGTGGAATAGGTAAATCTCATCACAACACATCGTTAGACACAGCGGTATAGGTACATCTCACCACAACACATCCTCAGACACAGCGGAATAGGTACATCTCATCACAATAGACACAGCGGGATAGGTAAATCTCATCACAACACATCGTCAGACACAGCGGGATCGGTAAATCTCATCACAATACATCGTCAGACACAGCGGGATAGGTAAATCTCATCACAACACATCGTCAGACACAGCGGAATAGGTAAATCTCATCACAACACATCGTCAGACTCAGCGGGATAGGTAAATATCATCACAACACATCGTCAGACACAGCAGGATAGGTAAATCTCATCACAACACAGACACAGCGGGATAGGTAAATCTCATTACAACACATCGTCAGACACAGCAGGATAGGTAAATCTCATCACAACACAGACACAGCGGGATAGGTAAATCTCTTCACAACACATCGTCAGACACAGCGGGATAGGTAAATCTCATCACAACACACCGTCAGACACAGCGGGATATTTAAATCTCATCACAACACATCGTCAGACACAGCGGGATATTTAAATCTCATCATAACACATCGTCAGACACAGTGGAATAGGTAAATCTCATCACAACACATCGTCAGACACAGCGGAATAGGTAAATCTCATCACAACACATCCTCAGACACAGCGAAATAGGTAAATCTCATCACAACACAGACACAGCGGGATAGGTAAATCTATTCACAACACATCGTCAGACACAGCGGGGTAGGTAAATCTCACCACAACACATCGTCAGACACAGCGGGATAGGTAAATCTCATCACAACACATCGTCAGACACAGCGGGATAGGTAAATCTCATCACAACACATCGTCAGACACCGCAGGATATGTAAATCTCATCACAACACAGACACAGCGGGATAGGTAAATCTCATCACAACACATCGTCAGACACAGCAGGATAGGTAAATCTCATCACAACACAGACACAGAGGGATAGGTAAATCGCACCACAGAATCGTCAGACACCGCAGGATATGTAAATCTCATCACAACACAGACACAGCGGGATAGGTAAATCTCATCACAACACATCGTCAGACACAGCAGGATAGGTAAATCTCATCACAACACAGACACAGAGGGATAGGTAAATCTCATCACACCACATCGTCAGACACAGTGGAATAGGTAAATCTAACACAACACATCGTCAGACACAGCGGGATAGGTACATCTCACCACAACACAACACAGAAAGGCTCTCATAAAGATTTAGTTTTTCTTCAAACAACATGCAGCATCTTATTTATTTTCTTTTACGTCTATTTATGTCTGCCGACAGATCTACAGTAAATTGGAGTTTTTGCTTCAATTTACTCAAGCATTTCTGCGAATGACATAAAAAAATCCAAACAAAACTAAATGGTGCCTACCACTTTATCATTGAAGTACATTCTTAATATTTCATCTGAATATCCATCATCATGACTGAGTAACAAACACACAAAAAAAAATTAACAAAAGCGTTTTACTAATTTTTATGAAATTCCGGTTTCATTTTCTTACTATTTCTGTCCGAGGAAAACATTTCGATGCTGACGTTACACGATGACCCTCGGTACTAGAAATGTACACAGAAATCACTGAACTAAACCACCAATAAGTACTTCCGTTCTCGATACTTGATGCTAAACATTTATATATATTGTCTTCATGTGTCTTGGTTTTTGTATAAAAATCGTAACAGTATGTGTATTTGCTGGTTTCTGACTCTGTTGAATTTGCTGACATTAGTATTTACCAACTTGATATGAGAAATATTTTGGTCGTTATCATTTTCATATTTTGTCATATTTCATTGTTTTTGAGTTTGAACTAAGGTATTGTTACCGTGCCAGACATTTTTCGTTTTGTTTTCCCAGATTCTAATTCAGATTTACAAATGATGAAAAACATCCAAATAAAGCTTTCTAATACGACTTCCGCGTCTAAAAAGAAGGACTGTTTTACAAATTACGATGATATACCCTCGGACGGGGCTTTGGATACTTCTACAAACTGTCTTCTCCAATCTACACGGAGTGTTTACGTCATCAGGCCCACGGAGCTGCGCTTCTGTGAGGTGGAAGTGTATGGTGAGTCCACATTGTTTCTTCTCAATTATATACTTATTCTAGTACTATTCTGCGTCATTTCATTTGACAAAATGTTTGTGCACAATATTTAAAATTTATTTTTAGCTATTCTTTCTGCCTCAAAAAAGAGTCAAAATTATTCAGAAGAACGAACTTAAGCCATAGAAATCGATGTAAATTAAATAATAGCCCAGAAGTTAAATTGGTGTCATTTAAGGGTGTGTCTCCGGTCGGTGGGGAGCGTCATGTGAAAACAGCTGTGGCGCATGTGCAGGGGGTGACGTGTGTGATTCCGTAACCGGACATTGCTCGGGCGCATGTGCGCAAGGATGGAGTGGGATCCTCTGTAATATAGGTAATGTGAAAATACCTTCTGATTTGTTTTATGTAACATGGCTAACATGTGCAAAACATGAAATTCCATGTCATGTAGTGTTTTGTATAAACTAAATACCAAGGTGTGAATACTCAATATTTGAATTATCTGCTTCACATTTTTACAGCTCAAAGATTTCTATGTGTTTTGCATTATATTATTTTATCTCAAATTTAATAAACTTAATATTCTTTCCATTTGATATCACACCGATATTTGTTTTCTGTGTTTTAGGTTTATCATTTGAAGATCTGTAATATATTTAATCTTAATTCATTGAATGAAAAGCCCTTTAAAGAATTAAAATGGAATGTTTTTGTCCAATGAACGGAACACAGGTTCAAGTTGAGTATGTGATAATAAGTGGTTTTAATTAATTTTTCAGCAACAGAAACAACAACACCACAACCGACAATGACAACCTCAGCAACAATAACAACGATAACACAGCTAACAACAACAGCCCAAAACATGTCATCTATAGCTTCAACTTTAGTAACAAGCTCCGAAACGATCGTCAGCGGCACAACAATAGACACAAAAGATGAAAATACGTTATCATCCATGCCTTCAAGAAATACACCGGATGTAGTTATCGTTAGCACAGGAGCACCTGTTATTTCCGGAAAAACTACTGAAGGGTCAGGAGTTTCTACGGAAGAAACATCCGAAAGTCTGCAGTTTGAAACAGTGGACGAAAAAACGACACAGTCTACAGAAACGCCGAAGGAATCTTCATTTTCAGGTGTGATTTCACCAGTTACCTCCGGTAACACTGAAATGAATTTTACCAGCGGTACACGTGTTGTAATGACGTCAACAACGGAAAACATGTCAGTTAAACAAAATTCTGAAACTGCCACAATGAATAATCCATATTCTTCAACGGAAAGCATGAAATGGGATAGTTATACCACAGGAAAAGTAACAAATTATGGTGTTTCCTCAGAAGATGGTCACTCCGCGCAAATATTGAACGTAACATCTAATCCAAAAGTCACCGAGGACGAAAACTTGGGTACAACGCGAATGATCGATTCTCCGACAGGGACAAGTTCCATATCCACAACGACATCCTATTTCGACTGGTCGCACGAAACACATTCATCTACTGACGATTTGTCACGCACAACTAAAGATATAGACGATGTAAGTTTTGATATGCAATCGTCAGACGTAATGACGGATTCGTCTGTCACAATTCAAGACAAGAGTAGTGTAAGTTCCGGAATAACAGTGACGGAAACAGTCACAGATTTGTCCGTAACGTCTCAAGACACGGGTAGTGTAAGCTCCGGAATAACAGTGACGGAAACAGTCACAGATTTGTCCGTAACGTCTCAAGACACGGGTAGTGTTAGTTCCGGAGTATACCCGACAGGAACAGTCACAGATATGTCAGTAACGTCTCAAGACACGGGTAGTGTTAGTTCCGGAATAACCGTGACGGAATCAGTCCAAGATTCGTCTGCAACATCTCAAGACACGGGTAGTGTAAGTTACAGAGTATACTCGACAGGAACAGTCACAGATTCTGTCCCATCTCAAGACACTAGTGGTGTAAGTTCCAGTATGCATTATACAGACGCAGGTTTGGGTATCGGAATGTCAACAGCATCAGATAGCAGCAACATCACGGAGATCGTCACAAAAGCTACACAAGTGCTTCGGGAAGTAGGGCGCACATTTCCTGATTCTAAAAAGACCCCTGCCTGTAAAGGGTTCACGTGCTCTCAAAATAACCTCGTCGTCTTAGTTGGCATCGTCGTTGCACTTCTTTTTATAGCTACTATCATCGCGACAGTTTACATGGTCAGGTATCCATTTCATTCACGTATTCCTTTTCTGTCCCATGTTTATCTGTGTGTCCCTTTTCTTGTGTTCATGTTCATCTGTGTGTCCCTTTTCTTGTTCCCACGTCGATCTGTGTGTCCCTTTTCTTATCTCCACGTCGATCTGTGTGTTCCTTTTCTTGTCTCCACGTCGATCTTAATGTTCCTTTTCTTGTCTCCCCGTCGATCTGTGTGTCCCTTTTCTTGTCTCCACGTTGATATGTGTGTCCCTTTTCTTGTCTCCACGTCAATCTGTGTGTCCCTTTTCTTGTCTCCACGTCGATCTGTGTGTCCCTTTTCTTGTCTCCACGTCGATATGTGTGTCCCTTTTCTTGTCTCCACGTCAATCTGTGTGTCCTTTTCTTGTCTCCACGTCGATCTGTGTGTCCCTTTTCTTGTCTCCACGTCGATCTTAATGTCTCTTTTCTTGTCTCCACGTCGATCTTAATATCCCTTTTCTTGTCTCCACGTCGATCTGTATGTCCCTTTTCTTGTCTCCACGTCGATCTTAATGTTCCTTTTCTTGTCTCCACGTCGATCTGTGTGTCCCTTTTCTTGTCTCCACGTCGATCTGTGTGTCCCTTTTCTTGTCTCCACGTCGATATGTGTGTCCCTTTTCTTGTCTCCACGTCAATCTGTGTGTCCTTTTCTTGTCTCCACGTCGATCTGTGTGTCCCTTTTCTTGTCTCCACGTCGATCTTAATGTCTCTTTTCTTGTCTCCACGTCGATCTTAATATCCCTTTTCTTGTCTCCACGTCGATCTGTATGTCCCTTTTCTTGTCTCCACGTCGATCTTAATGTTCCTTTTCTTGTCTCCACGTCGATCTGTGTGTCCCTTTTCTTGTCTCCACGTCGATCTGTGTGTCCCTTTTCTTGTCTCCACGTCGATCTGTGTGTCCCTTTTCTTGTCTCCACGACGATCTTAATGTTCCTTTTCTTGTCTCCACGTCGATCTGTGTGTCCCTTTTCTTACACAAATTACGAAAAAAAATTACACCATGAATACCTAAACATACGATCAGTAATCAGAAAACGGTCATATTGACACATACATGGGTTTTCAGGTATGTCCTCGTTTTGTTTTCTTTTGCTACACTTTGTTTTGTTAATCAAAAATTCTAAATTTAACAGAATTATTGATAAACGTTTGGCTTTTTGAAGGTTTAGTGAATTGATTTAAACTTTGATGTCTAACCCATGTATCATTACTACTATATTATCAACTGTAGTTGCAAACTAGGACTTTGTGTCTCATTGTTTCAGACGGAGAGCACGCAATAAGAGAAATCGTGACTTTGAGAAAGGTGATAGTTTTAAAACGTTTAACGGACTGCCTCTTCCTGATATCACCGCTGCAGCAAAGGCCCACGGAAGCAATGGTGATATTACGTCTAATAAATTGGAAGGTGAGAAGTATGTCTTGTTTGATCATCAAGTTTATTTGTGAACATAAAGCGTACCTATGTCTGCGAAGTGTGTCAGTTTGAACAGAGTGCTTACTTTGGCGCGACACGGTACACAGTGCTATAAGCATGCCTGGTTTTTGAGCAATCTGTTACCTGTGAGCGTACCTACATTTGTATACTTGAACTTACAAAAGAAAGGATAATTTTCGTCAGCTTGTAACTGACAAGTTCATTAGTAAAATAAAATCTCGAAGTTGATGTCGCGGATTGGACGAATGGTTAGTGCGTTGGCCTTCAGATTTTGGCCTCTTTTAATAGTGGGTTCTAAATCTAGGTTATGCATCCATTTATTTTTGTAATATCTATCAGATGTATTCAAACTGAAATCGGATTGGCTGGTTATTTGTTTGGATAACCGTAGCGTGAGTGAAATCGGTTTCCGTTTCAGTTCAATAATATGCCAAACATGTGTAGAAGTTGAGTGCACAGGTCGTGAATTACTAGTCTCTGCTTGGGGAAATCTCATATCACTCCTTCCTGTTACAGATTTGGTACCGTTGACCTCACCACAGGTAGAAGCTATAGTCGAAAAAATAATGACTGACGAGTCCTAGAGGGACGAAACAGTTGTGGGATGCAGTTTAATCATTTGGTTCTACTATATCTAATTCTCTATTTATATATCAAAAGGTGCTGATGTAACAAAATGCAACGCAGCATTTGCAAGGTCAAATAACTGCAATATACAACCCACAATTTCACATTAGCAGATGGAGTGTGTTGATGAACCGCCTTTGTAAGCGACGTTATTGTCACCACCTCGTCACGGAAATGACGTCATAACACTTCGACCAGACTTTGTTCTGTTATTTGTATTGTTTTAATTACATGTTTTCATTTCGTCGTAGTATGTTGAATATCTAAATCTCACAATGGATGTCTTCATTTTAGTAGTCACTTAGCTATATTGTGGATCTTCTGTAGATAATCTGGAATCTGCTAACCAGGACGATTGTTCCGAGAGCACTTCTTTCCTAGTTCCCTGTAACTTGTCTTCCTTCTCACCGAGTCAGGCCAAACCTACTGCGGTCGGCGACATACATGGTCACATAATGATGATGAAAGAAAGATCACTTTTCAACAAAGATTTCACGGTCAGTGTTAAGGACAATGTTTATGTATTTTGCTGTAGAATACTTAATATTCACATTTCAGTATTTTTGTAAACATTCGATTATTGGCTGTACCAAGGGGATGCTTCATGTGTTCCGTTTTGAGAGATAATTCGTGTCTCTTGTTTTGAGAGATTGTTCGTGTTACTGTTCCATCAAATATGGCCTTGCCAGACAATTTGTAGAGGTTAATCAACCATCTTGATTTTCTGACCAGTGGCATAGATAATTTTTCAGAAATACATCACAAAGTTTTAAATATTTTTCAGCAAGAGCTTCCCATCTTATTACGACTGTAAAAAGGTACGTCCGGTTTCATTATCGGAGTCAGGAGGTCTCTAAACATCTCGATGCTCTGAGTATGAAACATCAAATCATTGTGACGTCATTGAAATATACTTTATAATATGGACTGCTTTACTGCGTGTTGTAGGATGAAGGATTTCTTATATAACTTGATTTCAGGGTCTTCCAGGTGTAGATATCAGCTCATGTCATGTAGGAACCAGTAAAAGAAATTCGACAAGGAACCGGTATTCTAACATCACAACATGTGAGTACTGTACTACCTATCATAATCATTTATCCACAGTTTATTATTTATCTACTGTACTACCTATCATAATCATTTATCCACAGTTTATTATTTATCTACTGTACTACCTATCATAATCATTTATCCACAGTTTATTATTTATCTACTGTACTACCTATCATAATCATTTATCCACAGTTTATTATTTATCTACTGTACTACCTATCATAATCATTTATCCACAGTTTATTATTTATCTACTGTACTACCTATCATAATCATTTATCCACAGTTTATTATTTATCTACTGTACTACCTATCATAATCATTTATCCACAGTTTATTATTTATCTACTGTACTACCTATCATAATCATTTATCCACAGTTTATTATTTATCTACTGTACTACCTATCATAATCATTTATCCACAGTTTATTATTTATCTACTGTACTACCTATCATAATCATTTATCCACAGTTTATTATTTATCTACTGTACTACCTATCATAATAATTTATCCACAGTTTATTTTTTATCTACTGTACTACCTATCATAATCATTTATCCACAGTTTCCACGCAATGATTTATTTTCGATAGGATTTCTCTACTTCTTGTTTGTGATATTTTCAAAGAGAAGACGATATTTTCAAGTATCTAGAAATTGATTTCAGGAGTTGATTGTCAGGGATTTGTTATTTTTGGTTTACTGTTTTACCTTATCAAACTGCATACATAAAATATCATTGGATACTTCTTGCATGATTCGGAAAGTTTAAAAAATGAAATCGCGGGCAGTTGTTATTTGTTTCAAGTCCCCATTCATTTATCTACTTATGATCCCGGTGAAAGAGAGAAGGAATAAAAACAAATGCGCTATAATATGGTTGTATGTAACTGTCATCTTCTTGTTGTTTTGTCGTGACACTTAGGACGAATGTAAGACCACTTCATCAGGACGATTATCACGACATGTCGACTTTATAAGATGTCGTAACATGATATGGTCATAACAAATCATGTTGTCGCAATAAACCATCATTGCAGAACGACTAGTAGATGGCATGCAATAAAACAAATAATTTTGTACATCCATTTTCAGTTGATCATTCGAGAGTGGTCTTAGCGACAGATAAAGAGGAAGAAAACGACTACATCAACGCTAGCTACATCGATGTAAGCCTACTTACACTATAACCTACATGATATATCAGTGATCTAAATTATCCTGGCTCTGTCTCCATTTTAGAATAAGACAAGCATTGTAAAAGAGTGTGGCGTTTGAAATACAAGTAAATTGGTCGAAATTGGATGTGAAATGTTTGAATGATAAAAGGTAACATATGTGACTGGGTATATCAGTATAAATATATCGGAGGTATGTAAGTAAATATAAGTAAATAACTATATAGTTTCAAGGTACGTTTTCCAAATAACATAATGATACACTCGAACATATTAATATGTTATGTCACAGTGAATTTGAATACTTATGATGTTATGTAATATGTTTCAGAGTTTTGAACAACCGAGGGCTTACATTGCGACACAAGGTAAGTTATATAGTTTTGAACATCCGAGGACTTGCGTTTTGACGCAAAGTAAGTACAGTTTTGAACAGCCGAGGACTTGCGTTTTGACGCAAGGTAAGTACAGTTTTGAACAGCCGAGGACTTGCGTTTTGACGCAAGGTAAGATATATAGTTTTAAACAGCCGAGGGCTTACATTGTGACACAAGGTAAGTTATACTGTTTTAAACAACCGAAGGCTTCATATGCAACACAAAGTAAGCTATACTATTTTGTTTGGGCTTACATTGCATTACAGCTGTTGAAGACTCTTGATGTAAAACTAGCATCCATGTTTTCCCCTTAAAAGATTTACACCTCAATGGATATAGATAAAAACCAAAAGATAAAAATATCTTAGTGAGCTCTGCTCACTTTGTTTTTATTTTGTGACGGAGAGTGTTCTACTCGAAATCGTTAACGATACAGGTGTGATTATGTTACCAGTGTTTTTAGGAGATAATTATTAGTCGCCAAATCTCCTTTGGGACATCCTGGTACAAATATCATAAATACATTTATGTAACTCTTGTGTTTGTTCTCAGCATATCTTCACAAACACGCCTTTACTAATGAAATGAAAATTATCAGGTCTGTATTTCGAAATTATGCATCTGAGTAAACCTTGTAAATAACAATATTATTTCTTGGAAAAAGTTGATAATTTGTACTGTGTGTATGTCCGATCTGAAGCGAATGTCTATGGAATATTTATCGTCCATATTCACCGAGGTTTTGTGAAAATAAAGCATTGCTGTTTATTATATCAAAACACTTATTTGATGATTATGAAAAACGCAGAATTGTTTTTCCTGACTTACTGATACATCAACAACGTGACAATGTTAACATTACAGGGCCACTGAAACACACTACAGACGATTTCTGGAACATGGTTTGGCAGGAACGGTCAGAGAAAATAGCCATGTTGACAGAACTTCAGGAAAATGGAAAGGTACATATGGCGTTATGTTGCATGTTTTATCCTCCATTCGGACATGGGTCCCGGTGTAATAAATTTTATAGACAATTATCATTACATTTTCTATTCCAAAGTTTATACAAATGATTCGGAGATATTTGAGAGATTTCTGGAAATCCTTACTATATTGATATTCATTTGGTTTCAAAGAAAAAATGTGTGCAGTACTGGCCCGAAGAGAACGAAAGATTGTCTGTCGGTAGTCTTACAGTTACACTGGAGAACGAATATCACTTCCCGATCTACAAGCTAAGGACGTTCTTCATCACAGACTGTAAGGTATTGAATTGATGGCTGTCAACATATGACTTAGACTTTGTTAAACTTGAGTAAGTTGCATGATATCCTGCTGCCGCTCACTACTCTGTAAAGTAATCCCATTCGGTTTGAATATAATTCCACATTTAGTAAAAAACATACATTACACAACTCCTTGTGAATATCCTTAATGGCAGATATCATTTTCGCGGTATTTCTGAGACAGTTTTTTGTGTTAATGGCTGCTCGAAGCAAAAATCCACCACCTTGAGTGTGTGAGATCAGGTTAAAATGTATATGTGAAACATGTAAACTTGAATCAGAGATCACTTCTGGAGGTAGGTCAACAGGGTAGAGATTGATTTTTTTGGGTCAAAAGTAGTCGCCATATTTTGATTTATTAGTAACATAGACATTTTTTTCCTGTTGAATTATTTTTTTTTATCCCGTTTTATTGATCAGACACACGAGTGTCGGAAAGTGACACAGTTCCAGTTCACTGCCTGGCCGGACCATGGTGTCCCCGAGGGATTCCCGCTGATTCTTTTCCATGATCGTGTGATCAACCAGCCCTCGAGTGGCCCTATGGTTGTACATTGTAGGTAGGTAACTGCATCACTACGAACCAATGGGTTTCCAGAATAATGGCCCAGCACACAGGGCTTTGGCACGATTCTCAACACACGGTCCATATATATCTATTACAGTGACAAGGGGTGTAACTCCTGATCAGGAAAACCTAAACATATTCAGGTTACACGAAGAGTACGTTAAATTACATTTTTACAAAACGTTCAAAGCAAACAGGGTTTATGTGCTGGTGTAATCTACAAACAAATTTAGATTTTCTCTTCAATGCGTCTTTTTATTTCGCAATTATATTCCCACTAGCAACCTGTTTCGGGCGAATATCCTAATTCATAATGTAACAGGCGGGAAATATTTAGTAACGATAACTGAAGTTTATTTTTCATATGAATAAGATAATTATACATCATTCGTTAATTTTTTCTAGAAAAACTGGTCTGGGGATCTTGTGAAAATAATTGTTTCGCAAAAGTTTTGTTAGGATGTTAACGTTTTTCTTGTGTAGTGCTGGAGTTGGTCGAACAGGAACATTTATTGCCCTAGATGCATTGAGTGAACAGGGACGCAAGACAGGTCACGTGACCATCCATCTCTTTGTGGAGTATATGAGGAGATGTCGACCTCGTATGGTACAAACACTAGTAAGTATACATCTATAAGTCATACTTTGTATCACTTAAGTAAAATACCAGTTGCGTCCTTCCGACTTGCTTTAGGACAATGTACCCCTAACGCTTTTCAATAAGGGTGTCAAACCAGTGTGGGAGAGGTCATGTGGCGGAGTCTTGGCGGATAATACTCCAACGTTAGATACAGAATGTCTCTGTTTCATTGGCAGCCATATAAATGGACAACACGTTTTCCTTAGTTATGATGAATATGATGTATTATTCTGTAATCATCACTTCAATATCTAAACAGTGGTCGGATAAAGTTGCTCCTGGTTCGATTCTTCAGGTGCCAGGTTGACAGCATATGACTGATTTGCAGAGGATACAACTTGTCTCGTGTATGGTATTGAATAAGAAATAATGAAAAGCGACATACACAAAATAGAACGATTGAATAGTGTTTTTATTCAGAAATGGAAATATTGTTCATTTTATACGTATATTTAAAGGACCAGTATATGTTCCTCTACAATATTCTGATGGAAAAGTTCCTCTGTTCGAGCTCCTTGGTAGAGGCTGAAAGCTTGCGCGAAACGTGGAAACTCAACAGCGGTGGAGTACACGAACAGAAGATTCGAGAAGAATTTGAGGTACACGTTTACAAAAAGCGGAAATAAACGGATACATTTTATTTTTTGTATGAAAGGATAACTTTCATTGATCTAGTAAAAATTTCGATCAAATACCAGTTGTGTTTTGTTTCGTTCCAAACAGCTAAAGATGTGACAAGAACTAAAAGTTGATAGTCCTGTGTATATAGAGTGTATAGTACACACGTCCAAGTTAAATCCTACATGTCCTGTTCATCACACTGATTATCATTTAGAGACTCCAAGAGTTCCGCCCGAGATATAGCGGGGAAAAATACATGGCGGCGCACAAGAAAGAAAACTCCAGCAAAAACGGAACCACAGTTTTACCTGGTGAGGTTGACAACATGATAAATTATCACATAGCACCTTCTGTATTAGTGTAGTATTAGTAATGAGTGTGGATCAGATGTAATACCAATTGTTTTTATAACAAATGTAGTATTTTGATTTTGTCCCGGCCTTTACCAAAAGTGAGAACTTTTCTCTTTCCAGTCGATACCTACAGAGTAAAGCTAGACAGCAGTGAGAATGACTACATCAACGCAGTCACCATGCCAGTATGTACCCGGATCATGTAATAGTATAATTTATCATAGTACATTGTTCCAGGCAAATACCTGATAATATAGGAAGATGTACATGAAAAAATAAGCATCTAGAATGAAAAATAATGAAAACAGTATTTATCTTACACGTAACAGTAGAGACAGCATGCTCCTGGACAGCACAGATGATAAAGACTCGGAATATTGTAATATTTCATCCCCATTTCTGTTTTGAAGAACCTCGGGAGCAAATCTGGCTACATCGTTACGGAGATACCGTTGTCTACGTCAAAAGCAAATTTCTGGCAGATGATCCATGAACAGAAATGCAATGTGATAGTTTCCTTTGATCAACCGTTAGATGAAACGGTAAGTTTCGTGGAAATAGACACGATGTTTTTAATGAAAACAAATGTTAAATGGTTTTGTTAAACCAGAGGAAAATCGCCGTGTCACTACCGAGTAGCGACGACTGATCACAGTGACTTTGTTTATTGAAAACAAAAACTTTTATAGAATAAGTATGATGATTGTATTATAAAGGAAATAAAAATCAATTATAAAGATACATTAAAAAATACCCAAAGGAAAAAAGAAAAATGAATTAAAAGAAAGAATATTTGAAAAGTAATTTAAAATTAACGATGTTATCTGATGCAGGGTGTGTCCATTCTTCCCGAGACTGACCAGGAGCAGACTTTCGGGGCTTTCACCATCAGACGGGGAGATAGTGCAATAGGAGGACCACACGGCATACAGAGAGAGACCTACATCATGACGTGTGACGTAATTATCATATTGAATCTGATTCATGTTCACAAAGGACCTGTTTCACATAATATCCAAATTTAATCTTTATTTTTTAGAACCCGAGTAAACTCCTAAGAGTTTATGTTTTAAAAAAATCCAAAAGTCACATATGGCCTGTACTACGATCTTTGTTATGATCCTTGTCATGGTTGTGAGTCAGGGTGATTATCTTACCCAAAAACCTGTTCAAAAACATAAGTTGAATAATTAAATTGGGTCAAATCCTCTTTATCAAAGTCTTCTGCATACTTTGAACTCCAATATAAAGCTAAATATGGCATATGTAAAAAGTCAAGGAAATTTAATTTGCAAAAAAATACTTTTCATAAAGACTTCAACAAATTGAATTTTTGGAAAACTGTTTGACAAACGTACGGTTGCCATGAACCTAAACTATTTACACCTTTTGTTTTGGCCACACATATGCACTTAACGTACTGAAATTTTCATCAAATTCCAGGACCAGTAAAATTGTTCCAGGGACAGATTTTCTTGTGATGGCAGAATCATGAATATATGTTAAATTGTATCGGCATGTTTTTTTCTTTTCATAACGGGACAGAAACAAAAGAGCGTGGCTATAACGCACATGTGTTAAGACACTGACAACGTTTGTTTTTCATATAATTCATATTTTGTATAATTCATAATTTCTGATAATGATTGTTGCCATACTTCAGGCATACAATGATAATAATTCACAAATATTAATTCGTTTTGTCGATTCAAATTTCTGGTACATATTGTCTTTTCTTTCATTGAGAAATCGGCGGAATAGTTCATAGGATAGAATTTTACAATTTGTTATTGTGTGGATGCATTGGTCTTTGATTTTCAAATACACATGATACCCCAAGTAATATATTATAGATGCAACGTAGGCACACATGCTAGAGATTCTCTTTCCTGCAGGACATAAACAATAGTATGCATTCACAGGATCGTCAGATTCATTCTCGTCAAACTGAATCCAAACATTGTGCTTCGTTTGAGACTTGTGAGGAGAATGCATCTGTCCTGGAATTAGATCATCATCATGCTGGTAGGCCTCGTAGTAACCGTCATCTGTCTGGTGTTCCACAGTGTAACTACAGCCCATCGTTTTCTTGTGCAACGGCGGTCGCTATTGGCTGTTTGAGGGTACAATTGTGATTTTTCAGCTGGTGAAAACGACCACATTCTGGCATCATATTCCAGTTCAATAAGATCTAAGACGACCCTGGAAACACGATCCGCAATCATTTTGTCGTTTACTTGCAGCAAATATTTCAGGAAGTTGAAACTCTCCTAGATGAGTTGAGATATGGAAGTTTCATTTACACTTCCGTGATAAGGACATGCCTGTCAGGCTGCACAATGGACTTGAACTTTAAATAGTTGCGTGTTTTCTGTCCTCCATATGATACCCTTTGAAACTGCTGCTGTTTGCTTTTGTTGAGGTAGATATAGGTATTATCTAAGATAAGGGACCTGGTCACCATAAAATGCTTTGGTTAATACAGTAGTATGTGTGACAGCTTCCTGGCGTGATATATGGGCTGTACCAAGGTGTTTGAGGGCAACTTAAGTATTCAATATATCAACTATTTTGTGAAGATATATTGACAGTGTGCCTTCGGAGAGGTTAGTAAGCATGGTCATTTGATTCCATGAAAGAATAGTTGAAAGTTTCAACCAAAAATGCTGAAGCTAAACAAGGTCAGATTCACACTTGCCATACGTGTCCTGAAATTGACCCAAGGTCCAGTCAGTACATGTATGGCAGTCTGAATCTGTTTATAATCCAACGAGGCAAAATATGATTACTATTACTTTCAATTAAATGCACATTGAATGATTGAATGAAGTAAACACATATTTGAATAAAAATGTCAGAATTAGCGGTAGTTTCCCGATTTTGCCATCACAAGAAAATCTGTCCTTGGAACAATTTTACCGGTCCGAGAAGTTGATGAAATTTGTAATAAGTTAAGCACATATATGTGGCCAAAATATTCGCATTGTTTTAGGTGAATAGCAACTGTAGGTTTCTCAAATAGTTTTTTCAAAAACTTGAATTTGTTGATTTTTTTCATGAAATTTTATGATTTTTTCCCAATTAAGCTTCCATACGTTTTTATATTTGTAATACTTCACTTTATATGTTCAAAACATGGAGCAGACTTTAAAGAAGACCTCCTTTAACGATTTATTATAGGTTTTTGAACAAGTTTTGGGGTAAGATGTACTCCTTGGTTCATACCCATGACATGGATCATGAAATGTGTCATAGTACAGGCAAAATGTGACTTTAAGATTTTTTAAACAAACATTCTCAGTAGTTTACCGAGGTAGTACAAATAACACACAAAATTAAATTTGGGTATGGGCAAAATTACATGTACCGTCAAACAGGTACTTTATCATCAACAAATTGCTACATCGAGGTAATGATTAATAACAACTTCCTCTGCTCTTTGTGTTTTGAGACATAGCTTGTGTGCATAGCATGTGGGCATAGGACGAGGGCATAGCATGAGGGCATAGGACGAGGGCATAGCATGAGGGCATAGCACGAGGGCATAGAATGAAGTCATAGCACGATGACATTGCATGAGGGCATAGAATGAGGGCATGGAATGAAGACATAGCATAAGGGCATAGTATGAGGGTAAAGAGTCATAGCATGAGGACATAGTATGAGGGCATAGCACGAGGGCATAGGGGTATAGAATGAAGGCAAGCATTATCACTGTTTGGTATTGAGCTCTCAAGACAATTGTTTATGCTTTTATACTACACTCAGTGTTTGGTATTAGTACAGTTGTTTGTAAGTACTTTCAGCAGTGTTTGGTATTAGGGGTTTTAGTACAGCTGTTTGTAAGTACTTTCAGCAGTGTTTGGTATTAGTACAGTTGTTTGTAAGTACTTTCAGCAGTGTTTGGTATTAGGGGTTTTAGTACAATTGTTTGTAAGTACTTTCAGCAGTGTTTGGTATTAGGGGTTTAGTACAGCTGTTTGTAAGTACTTTCAGCAGTGTTTGGTATTAGGGGTTTAGTACAGCTGTTTGTAAGTACTTTCAGCAGTGTTTGGTATTAGGGGTTTAGTACAGCTGTTTGTAAGTACTTTCAGCAGTGTTTGGTATTAGGGGTTAGAGTACAGTTACAGCTGTTTGTAAGTACTTTCAGCAGTGTTTGGTATTAGGGGTTTAGTACAGATGTTTGTAAGTACTTTCAGCAGTGTTTGGTATTAGGGGTTTAGTACAGCTGTTTGTAAGTACTTTCAGCAGTGTTTGGTATTAGGGGTTTAGTACAGCTGTTTGTAAGTACTTTCAGCAGTGTTAGGTATTAGGGGTTTAGTACAGTTGCTTGTAAGTACTATGACACTATGATCTGAGCAATTGGAAATATGAAATCACTATAATTACATTGGATCTTGTATATGGACAGATTTGAGTAGCATTTTCCCTTAATTACCCGAATGTATTGTGCATATGTTCCAATGATTAAAACGCAATATCAGCTATTCTAGGACAGTTTTTGTTTCTGTTTTTAATGCTATGTCTAAACATCATGTATTTATATATTTATTTATTATGATAATTGTAGAATGAGGAGAACGAAGTAGCTGTGTTTTACTTGGCAGCATGGGGGACGGAAGACATACTCCCTCCAACGTGTGCTAGTCTCATCTCTCTCCACCAGGAAACACAAAAATGGCAAGAGAACAAAGGGCAAGGTCGGGTCACGGTCATATGTAGGTCAGTGTCAAATTCAAAAACAAAGTGTCAATCGTGTGTGACTGTGTGTCAATGTCATCTTATCATTAGGTCGTGTAACGGTCCGTCAAATGTCGTATATCGGTACATGTCCATACCCCAGGGAGTTCACTAAGCAAAACTCTCAGTGCTGGAAAAAATATCATTGGCGAAGCATGTAAAATGTTTGATGTCTTTAACACTCAGGGACGGTGCTGAGCGATGCGGGTTGTACTGTACTGTTTGTAACATGATGGAATGCATCGACTGGTACAATAGTGTAGACATCTTCCATACAGTCCGACATTTACAGATCTGTAGACCGGAGATCATAAACAGTCTGGTAAGTACCTCTAACCCACAGACGGGAGATCATAAACAGTCTGGTAAGTACCTCTAACCCACAGACCGGAAGTACCTCTAACCCACAGACCGGAGATCATAAACGGTCTGGTAAGTACCTCTAACCCACAGACCGGAAGTACCTCCAACCCACAGACCGGAGATCATAAACAGTCTGGTAAGTACCTCTAACCCACAGACCGGAAGTACCTCTAACCCACAGACCGGAGATCATAAACAGTCTGGTAAGTACCTCTAACCCACAGACCGGAGATCATAAACGGTCTAGTAAGTACCTCTTACCCACAGACCGGAGATCATAAACGGTCTGGTAAGTACCTCTAACCCACAGACCGGAAGTACCTCTAACCCACAGACCGGAGATCATAAACGGTCTGATAAGTACCTCTAACCCACAGGCCGGAAATACCTCTGACCCACAAACCGGAGATCATAAACAGTCTGGTAAGTACCTTTAACCCACAGACTGGAGATCATAAACAGTCTGGTAAGTACCTCTAATCCACAGACCGGAAGTACCTCTAACCCACAGACCGGAGATCATAAACGGTCTGGTAAGTACCTCTAACCCACAGGCCGGAAATACCTCTGACCCACAGACCGGAGATCATAAACAGTCTGGTAAGTACCTCTAACCCACAGACTGGAGATCATAAACAGTCTGGTAAGTACCTCTAACCCACAGACCGGACTCGTTAAATTCGTTTAATTATCGGACACGTACACCTCTCCATATAAATTTTGAAGCTTTTCGATTGATTTTGGTTTTCCTAAGTAGCCTTCTAAATTTCAAAATTTAGGCCCGTAACATCACCAACGAGATCTAGAAGGAAACAGTGGCAGTATAATTCATTATTTCGTTGTACTGTACGAAATTGTAAATTCATATTGATTTGACACGTATGTAGAAAATTTTACTTTCCACGGAAGTATGATTTATAGAGAGCGTACCCTAAATGCCCACCCTTGTTTGGGTTCCAAAAATTTGGCGTTTTTTATATGGGGAGAAATTCTGAGAATCGACAGCGACATAAAAAATCGGGGATAGTCAGGATCCTTCGGAATATACCGATTTGTTCATTTTTTTCTCTGATTGTTTTTACTTTCTATCCTTTTGCACGAATGGTAGATTTTGCTGCTGTATCTCCCAGATGTTCTGTTAGTATAATATATTTAAAAAAAAGTTCTACAGTACTGTTTTTAGAAACCGACATCAAAAGTCTTGTTATCTATATATAGCCCTAATGATACAATTTCCTCGTTTTATTTCTTCCGTTAAACTGTTTTGTTTCTAGGTGCAGTATTCCTGTTGTTTTGACGTTGCCCTGGCCTACACCGATATCTCGGACGGAACCAGTATCAAACTCCCCAACAATACTGTTTTCGTGTTTCCGACGACTTCAGTTTGACGTCACGTCACTCGGCATCACGTGACCAGCGATATCCTTATGAGTCTAGACACTCGCTGAACCAATCACACTGTTCTATGAACCTTTGTAATTTGTAAGTGTTTCTACCGCGATAACTGATGTAAGACAAGTTTAACTGCAACACACTAAAAGCAACTTCATGTGTGTGAATTATGCAGCGATAGACAGAAGAATAGAAGAAATGATGGCAAATTTAATTCTGTTAAGTAATTTGTGATATAATTGATGTATGTATGATGAGTATAATAAAAATATTCACGTCATGTTGTTTTTTCTTGATTGGATATTAAATCCCAACTTTATGGTACACTGGTGTAATGTGTAAGGAACGAATGCTTCATTGCATTCGTCCTTTTTGCCTCAAAGTATGCCGTTGTACCTTGACAGGGTCTTTACAAGCTATTACACTGTAAAACGGTAGATTACTAATAGCATAATTCTAATAAAAAATATATTGTAACTGAAGATGAACAATTTACTGGAAAGACTTACTAAAGTTCCAGAATGGGCTTCCATTTACTCCAATCAACTTCAAACTGCTGTTTACGGAGATCCGTTTTACTGCTGTATATATATTTTTGAGTCCAGTAATGGTCCTTGATGGCATCGATAACTGCATTAAGTGTACAGAATTACTAAGACATCTACTTTTGTATATGTAAACTTGATAACAAGCAGTATTTCATTATCAACAGGAGTACAATTTTTGCATTACTATTCCAATGAGAAACGATTCTTTGTTATAAGGAAACGGAATAAATAAAATATCAAGGAGAGATTCAAATAGCTGAAGTAATGTCTGAAGAACCCGTTTCAGCGTATCGCCCTGGTCGATCTAAAAGCACGTCATTAATGAAGACAGATAATTGTGCAGTCGGAGTCACCGTGTCTAAATATAGACCATGTACGTCAATGAAGTTTGGTGTCAATGGGGATGTCACGATTTAAGTTGAAAAATGTTCAAAAAAGACAACGCAAATTATTTATTCAATGGCCGAATTACTGTGACACTGTGATTGATATGTAACCTTTTATGATCATGAAGATACATTGAACATTGAGATGAATTTTACCACGTCTCCGACAAGTAGGACCCTTTGTCACTAGAAGTATCATGAAACCCGTCCTCTACATTCTTTAAACAGTTTGTGTATAGAAGAGATATATTTGGTTACCAGCGCCGGAATGTTGAACAGTTTGTGTATAGAAGACATATCTGGTTACTAACGCTGGAATGTTGAACAGTTTGTGTATAAAAGAGACATATTTGGTTACCAGCGCCGGAATGTTGAACAGTTTGTGTATAGAAGACATATCTGGTTACTAACGCTGGAATGTTGAACAGTTTGTGTATAGAAGAGACATATCTGGTTACTAACGCCGGAATGTCGAACAATTTGTGTATAGAAGAGCTATATTTGGTTACCAACGCCGGAATGTTGAACAGTTTGTATATAGAAGACATATCTGGTTACTAACGCTGGAATGTTGAACAGTTTGTGTATAGAAGAGACATATCTGGTTACTAACGCCGGAATGTTGAACAGTTTGTGTATAGAAGAGATATATTTGGTTACCAACGCCGGAATGTTGAACAGTTTGTGTATAGAAGAGATATATTTGGTTACTAACGCCGGAATGTTGAACAGTTTGTGTATAGAATAGACAGATTTGGTTACTAACGCCGGAATGTTGAACAGTTTGTGTATAGAAGAGACATATCTGGCTACTAACGCCGAAATGTTGAACAATTTGTGTATAGAAGACATATCTGGTTACTAACGCCGGAATGTTGAACAGTTTGTGTATAGAAGAGATATATTTGGTTACTAACGCCGGAATGTTGAACAGTTTGTGTATAGAAGAGACATATCTGGTTACTAACGCCGGAATGTTGAACAGTTTGTGTATAGAAGAGACAGATTTGGTTACTAACGCCGGAATGTTGAACAGTTTGTGTATAGAAGAGACATATTTGGTTACTAACGCCGGAATGTTGAACAGTTTGTGTATAGAAAAGACATATCTGGTTACTAACGCCGGAATGTTGAACAGTTTGTGTATAGAAGAGACATATTTGGTTACTAACTTGAACAGTTTGTGTATAGAATAGACATATCTGGTTACTAACGCCGGAATGTTGAACAGTTTGTGTATAGAAAATGTGTTCATTAGTTATACAATCATATTCAAGTAATTTTAGCAACTTCCCACATAGGGTTACTTCTATCAGAATACCAACACCAGGTATAACAGCAAACATGTTTGGAGTTAATGAAAATAAAAGAAAGACACAGGTAATGGTCATTATCCATTTTTATGGATGATGACTGTCTCTGCTTGCTGACTTTTGAATCCATGAAGACTAGGAAAGTTGTATTATCCTTTTCTGATCTCATATTGAAATATTTTCTTATATTACAAAAAGTCCAATGCTCCTCAATATGCCTTGTTTCAGTATATAATTACAATTATTTATTGGGGTTTTTTATGTGTGTGACAACACTTACTTGGACTGACCAAAATTACATTGCGACTGTCATCAGTGAAGGAAAGGACGCCTATCCCTTTGGAACATTTGTTCTATTTTCCTTGTACATTTTGAGGGTCTACCAGATACTCCAGAATCCTTAGCTTCAACCACGAAATTATAATGATTTTCACGTTTGGAAAGTTTGTTGGTAAGGCTTTTTCAGGAACAATAGACTGCCCATTCACCAGTGTAAACCAAATGCTATTTGTTATTTTAGATAATACTTTGAACGGAAGCGATGCACCTACTTCCGGTTCTGCTACACGAAACCGCTTACAATATTATTTGGCGCATGATGTAGAGAGTACATGGTGAAAATTTGAGAAAAAATAAAGAACTAGTAAAATTGCCATTTTGAAAGAAAGTCCAACGCCCACAGTACCATATTCCTATCTGACAGTCGAACAATCTTAACTACATGTATATTTTATCTTCTGTTTTTATTATGGCTCCAGTGGTTGTTGTCGACTATCTGGTTAGATATTGGTAAATAAGTCATTTTAGAAATTACGTACGATTTCGTTATTTTTCTATCATTTAACGATATTTTCAAAGTTTAACACAAATGGTACTACCAATAACAAAATGTCATGGTGTACAAGAACCTGAAGTAGGTTTCTCTGCTTCTGTAAAAGTGGTCATACCTAACGAGATCCCACTGGGATCTTGGCTTTCATCATTGTTGGATCTGTTAATTGCTCTTTCAAAAGTTGGATCTTTTCCATTCCTTTCTCTGCTTTTGCTCTTAATGATACGACATTCAAACATTCCATTGCAGAAATAGCGATAATCATTAACTATCAAATCCAAGATGGCTGCCTGGCAGTCACATTGTTTGTGAATTTCTGATCAGTCCCATCTAAGGACCAAGGGGAACCTATATATGAAATTTGAGGAACATCTTTCCAGTAATTCTTGAGAAATATCAATAACAAACATTCAAAGTGCCATTTGCTTTTATGATCAATCATAAAATCAACACATGAGAAGAAATGTCAGGATATAGATGTGGGCTCTAGCCACTAATGTGAGCAACTTTATTCTACTCAACGCATAACATGACCTATGACACGAGGACGTGAAAAGCAATCGCATGCCCCACCTTCCATGCCTCCACATCAGCTTCAAATATGAACATCAGTGAATGGTCAAATTCATTTTCTAGTGACAGATTACAAGACTTTTGAGCTTAGCTTTTGTAAAGACATTGATGTATGGAAAGAGCAGAAATTGCTGCAGGGACACGGACAGACAGCACAAACAACGCGTCTCTCCACACACTCCGGGGAATTAGACATTACTGTTGTAAACCTCTCCTTATCTCAACAGATTATGTGCCTTTAAAATCAAAAGTTCTCTTTCAATTTATCATTAAACAAACCACAGAGAAACAAATTTTGTATCACATTTTTTTAATTGTTTTTAGTCCACCTTAAAGCACAAATTCTGGGAACTCAAATGTAACGTCCTTCCCTGTCAGTTTCTTGTACACTGCAGCGAATGTATCCATCTAAAAAGAAAAAGAAAATAGAATCAAGCTGTGAACAAATATTGTCAGTAACACAAAACAGTAACATCCTATAATTATGTAGACTAGTTTATACAGACTGTTTGTACCTGTGGCGAGTGTTGTGATGCATTACTATTTAAGTAAAGCCAAGTCTTCTTGTCATGTCCATTGACAAAATATTCTGCAGTTAATGTGCCACAGTAACAAACCTTACAATAGTAATGAAACACATTTTTCATGAAAAGGTTCAGAATAGCGTAAAATATCCAGACATGTATTTGTTCCTGGAAAAATTGTTCCTCATCATACCCTTTTCATACTCGTATTTACTGAAAAATTGCACCGAATAAACTTCGGACTCCATCATCTTTATCCCATTCATAGAGACATTTTGAGTGATGCAAGTTTATCTGATTCCAGGACTTTTAATCATTTTAAGGATCCATATCAAATATCTCAATGGAACTAATTGAAAAAAAAGTATAAATTCTCAAAGGTGACCAAGTGTGAGCTGAGTAAACTGGCAATTTAAAAAATACTGACCGATATCTCGCTAAACCAAATATGGTTTAAAGTTGCTATCGCACTGAGTATAAAATTAAACTCATTGAAGATCTGAATCTTTAAAATGTCACAATAATTCACAAATTTGGCTCAGCAGAAAACTGCAGGTGACATTCAGAATCTGAAATGTGTGCTGGGATGTTTATATAAATGCAAGTATTCTCTAGGTTCCACTATGATAGCTTGTGTGCTAAAAGAAATTTTTAGAGTGCCAATATGTGCAAACCCTAACATTAACTTTCATCCTATACTAAACATTCAGACTATGTTGGATCTATTTCAAATTGAAAGTAAACAAATTTAACTATAGTAAACCTCCCCCCACCCCCACAGGAAGGAATGCGAGAACCTGGGGTCTTGAAATTTACAATTTTGATTAAGCACCTTAAGGTCCTTCTATCCATGAAGAGTATTTGATTACACTATATTTCATTGAAATCGGTTTAGGGGTTTTCCAGAAGTCAAAATTAAAAACGTTTATGGATGCACACAAGATGCCAAACAAAGGGGAATTGCATTAAGTCATCATCAGGTGACCTAAAAAGCTCAATAAAAAAGCTAAGTGAAAAACTTCAACAACATGGCCCAATTAATTATCGAAGTCCAAAAAACTGTATGCGACAATCAGTATATTCCAAGTTTTGTGATGGCAGGTTACTTGTTTAAGAGAGAAATTATGCCCAATGTGGAGCTAAACATAATCTTGAAATCATGTACAAAGAAACTCTTGCTTACAACTTATATAAACATTAAGCAGGTCTGGTGATAATGTCACTTCAACACAAATGTTAATGTCACTACCAGAGTAATATCTTTGTCGCAGGAATGCCAATAAACATGTGTGATCAAGTACACAAGGTGACGCTGTTTATGCTGAAGTCATCAAAGTGTGACTTTGACCTTGACCTCATGCTGACCACCAAAACCTATCTTTAGGTTCAAGTGATATGCAGTTAATGTACATACCCAAAGCGGTTAACAATATTATCAAATTAATTTAACAATAGACAAATCTTCACACCAAAACATTTGTCAGTACAATACAGAAACATTCTGTCCAGGTTTATGTAGTCTAGTTGAATGTAAACATCATGAAAAGGTTCAGAATAGCGTAAAATATCCAGACATGGGTTTTCCTGGGTAAAAAAAAGCTCTCATCATATCCTTTTCATGATGTTAGAATTTTTGGGGGGTTACCCTCCTACATATAACAGAATTTGGCAACGTATTATCTCAATGATTTTATCATATCAATATCAATTTCGTATAAGATCTGTTGAAGTCATGAAATTTCACGGAAAGTGTTACAAAGTTCTACCGAGTGAAGTATGAATATATTTTTGACAATAATTGTATTGGTGTTATTTTTCTTATGTATGATACACCTAATCCACTACATTTCTAATAAAAGCTCTCACTGCAAGAAAATCAAGTGTTACCTGACACATCCACTTAGTTTCCAATACAACCTCTCACTATGTTCAACAATGTCTCTTCCTTGCTTACCTTGTGCTCAATGTTAGTTTGTTGAGTTTTATCGAGGTGGACCTTGATCAGCCTTGACCCGTCCAACTTGATGCGGATTCTCTTGCCAACAATTTCAGCTGGGAAGGTCAGATCATCCAGGATGCTGTCGTGTACCGATGTTAGTGTACGGCTGCAAAGAAATTGATAAGGTGTTATTTGATAATGACAAAAACAAGCACAAGCCACTTGAACATTCAAGATGTCCTTCCAATAAACAAGTAAACTGTAAGTATTGCTTTAGCAGAGTACTGCTTAAAGACAACATGCCCCCAACCCCCTACAAGCTACTAACACTGTCATGACTTATTAAGATGAGACTAAATGGTGTAAATTTGGAAAAAATCATTTGTAAGTGTGCAAGGTTTGATGGAATTAAGCCATTAGGAAACTGATAACAATTTTCTAAAATACAGTAATGGTGACCTTGACCAAACAACACAAACTACAACTCATCACAGATAATTTGGCTGGTAAAAGTTGTCTGATCAAAATTCCAACAGGAATGAAGCTAGAGTGCTAACAAAGATTTTCTAGAATCAATAACATTGACCTTTACCCAACAACTATGAGAGACAATACAGTTCTTTTTTTATGCTATATAAGAAAGTGATATTTGATGAGAATGCCTCAAGGAATGAAATTGCTTGAGTGATAACTATGATACTTTAAAATTAATAATAGTTTCCTTGGCCTTGCTTCAACAATCCTGAAATATTAACTTGTTTGAGATGTTTGATAATTAAAAAGTGTGAAGATGGACAAGAATCCCTCAAACTGACAACAATTTTTCAAACATGTGCATCCATGGTACTGACAGTAAGGAAAACTGATCAGACTTGATTCAAACATTCATGCTAAAATAGATGGTTCCTGCTTAACAGTCTAATGTATATTTTGTATATTTGCAGTTTTAACTAAGACCAAACAAAAGTAATTTAGTTTTCATTTAAAAAATATTGGGACAGCCAGCATTAAATCTTACTTTTTTACTTAAGAGAAAAACAATGAGACAGCATGGACTTAAATATTCTCAAGGTCCATAGAAGCAGGTACTTTATTTGGTTTTCAAATACTTAGTTTTTTTTCACCATGGATTCCATCATTCTCATTGTGTATAGTGAAAGAAATGGTAGAAAATTCAATACAAAATATGAATTTGAAAAAAAAAATCATTCTTGCCATGAATATTAGTTTACAGATCATCATATGAAATGGTACTTGGGAAGACCATGTCATTTCTATGTAGGTGACCAATTAAAAAAATACCTGTCAAAAGTATAGCTTAACACAAAAATTTTCCATCAGCCTTTGTCTACATATAAAGTCATTTGAAGTGGAATAAGAGAGGGGTTCAATTGTAACACCTCTTTGACTTTAAAAAGCCATAGATTTGTTCAGTGTTTAAGCAAGACTTATTTATGCAAATCTGAAATTGGACTAGTAAAATGCTTGATTGTTAGCTCTCTAATCCCACGTGTTCATGTATACTGATATGTTATCTAATGCTGTACTTAATATTGCAAACCAATTTCAAGACAAATACTTAATATTTTACATGGTATTCTTTTTCCTTTTTAAAGTTGTTTTGACTTGACAAAAAAGGTTATGCGGGCATTAAAAAACCATACTGCAATGCCTGAGAAACTAAATATTAATTCTGTTTGGTTGAAGTATGAAGCAAGCAGCAATTTTAACAATTCCAGCTCTCATGCTTTAATCCATACAGAGTAAATAACTGTACATGTATTAACCTTCAATCATTATAAATTTAACGATACATTTGATAAAAAACTTACGATCGAGGGCGCTTCTGTTTGTTCTTCCTTCTGGTTTTCCTTGTTGGTTTAGGAAGAATTCTCCTCTGTAACAACAGGCACCAACAAATCACTCAAGTGTATCTGGTAGAACGTTTTCTAATACAAGAAACACCTATATTTCTAATATGCTCACAAAGTTAACATCCTGTGACACTTTACAGACATCCCATTCAGTCACAACGTTAAAAGAGTTTCAAGAGTAGAAAACCAGTAAATTGAAATGAAAAAACAAAAAGAGGTGAATCAAACAGTTTATGGAAAATCTGAACATTTTCAAACTAATTGACCATACCTGTGCAATAAATACAACATGCTTTCCACTGAATTTCTTTTCCAGCTCTCTGACCAGACGGGTCTGGATTTTCTGGTATTGTCTCAGCTGTGGAACTGGTACAAAGATGATGATAGCTTTCTTGCCAGCAACATCAATTTCCTAAACAGTAATTAAATTTACAATTCTTATTTTGCAAAAAAATTAATGCAAAGCAATACATGAAGCAATGTTGAGACTCGGAAGGTAAAGTTCTATGCAAGAAACAAGGCATCACACACCTTAAAAATACCCTTACTCTGCTTAATAGCTGCATAGCCCTCTATATGTAGAAATATGATATGAAACATCCATGCCCTATGCATGTGTGATTTGTCAATGCATTTTTATCGATCTTTTTTGTTTCACCCTCAACAATTTGGCTAGTGGAAAATAATTTATCAACCCTAGATCATTTTACTGCCACTTTATCCATATAAAAGATCTTTTTATTACTTAGCGGTGGCATAGGCTTACAGTGACATCCACAACTCTTGCCCTCATGATTAAATCTCCTTTTTCTTACCTTTGCACCTGAAATGTACAGTTCACGAAGCTGGGCCTTCAGGTCACTATTCATCTCAAGCTCAAGCAGGGCCTGAAAATAAACCCAATATTTACCAACAACTCAAAACGTAATAGCATTATATATGGTAGCAATATGGTTTCTATCTTGTTGAAATTGGGAAATAAAGGAGAATTTGTGATGCCTGACATCTCTAGACAGAAAACCAACAGAGCAATAAGCTATTACGAATTTTGCACCTATGGCCTTTGCTGGAAAATTGTATCTAGTGTTCACTGTGCAGAGAAAACCTTACGCCCATATCATTGGTAGTGGCTTCACCAAGTGCAAAGACGTCCATGATTCTTACCTGGGAGACAGACTGCTCGAAGTCATCTGGCTTCTCGCCTTGAGGCTTAATTATTTTAGCGCTCGCCGAGTACATCTACAAAAGTAAAAAAACACACTGAAAAAAACCTGTGCAAAATCAATAATATCATTTTTATATCTGACGACCTTAGACTAAGACTTGCGTTTACAGTGCCGACGAATCTTCCCTGCATAAACAAACAAGTCCGAAGTTTTGAGCCGATTCTTAAACCAGAATATATAGCATAAGTCCTACCTAAGCCATGGATACACGTTACAATAAATAAGTTTATATATGTGAATTGGTAATATGCCCCTCGTACGGGAGTTTTATACGTAATAGATCCTAGTATGCATCTTTTGTTGAAGTACGAATTGCTACATGGAGCTCACCCATTAAACATACAAGGAACCAGTTTGTACGAATAAACTAATTTATATAGAATCAGTAACTATCGAGTAATAGTCCGTTTATATGTGTGGGAAAGAGTGAGCATCCCATAAAAAGATCTGCTTATATACACCAAAATGTCATAGCAGTGTCCATCACAACTCAATCCATAATAATCAGGAATCTCATGCCTCATCAGTGGAAGGAAAACGGGTATCAGCTAAGAGTAAGTATTAATATACAACATATATCAATTTAATGTAACAAAACTGTATTATTGTGATGAAAATCGGACTTTTAATATCATGTGTCTTGTGTGCGAACCTTGGCAATGGCGGCGACGGAAGAAGAGGATTAAACCGGAAGTTGATCAAAGCTAGTTCCGCTAGGTGGCACACCACTAACATTGAATCGAAAGTAGAAATACACGAGGTAAAACGTGAGTTTTGTTCACATGAGCTTGTTCTTTCGTTGGATTACAATGCCGTACTATGCAGTTCGGAGGGGACGGATTCCCGGCATTTATAAGACATGGTAAAACATCTGTTGTTCGTAAGACAGTGAAGAAAACTATTTCAAATGCTTCTTTTACAGTACATTTTTGTAGGTAACGTTTATCTAGAAGTCAACTTTCGAAATAGTGTAATACTAGAATAATGATAGCTTGATTTGAAAAAAATTTAACCGAAGTTAAGATACTATATAAAACTTTTTACGCAACGTGAACATAAACTTACAAACCCCTTTTGTGTTTTGGGAATTAGACATATTGGTGTTATGAAATAGTTTATTTTCCTTTAACAACTTCTAATAAGGAGATAATGAAGCTTAATTGTTGAAGAAGGTGCTGGATATGTATGTTAACAGTGAAGCAAGGTATTATGAAACATGGGAAAATGAACTGGGGTCAAAATACCATGGATAGAATGAGAATTTAGAGGAATCTTTGCTTGTTTCCATTTGTCTACAGGAGAGATTATTGTATTGGCGGGAATGAGTTTTAAAATAGGCAAGGATGAGGATGTTTTGAGGGTAGAGACACAGGTTATGTATGATTTTGAAGACAAGAATAAGTTGGCATTACAGTCTGCAGAGCTGTTAGGGTGGCCATTTTAAGTTGTCAAGCATGGGTAGCTCTTGAGGTGTTCCAAAGCAAGTTGCCTTGAAAGAAAAACATGGGGTATTTGAAAATCAGAAGGATCAAACAAATCAGTTATTCTGGCTACTGTAAATAATGGATTGGGAGGGGGGGGGTTTCAGGTGAGTTGGCCATACTGTGTTGGTAGTCCTTTGTCCTTAACTCTTGGTATTGTTATTTCATGAGGAGTACATAATGTAAGTTTCTCTTTGTGCCTTATTGCTCATGTTGTCAAGCATGTCTGAGACTTAACTGCTATTGTGATACCAGTCACAGATGAAATGTGAAGCAAAGTGTTGTACGTATTCTAGTTGGTTGATATGGTTAAGAGAGTAAGGATACCAGACAGAAGAACAGTTTTCTAATTTTGAATATGGACCATTGTTCTGTATGCATGATCTTTTATGCACTGAGATTTTATTTTCAAATTTTGTTTGAGAAATCTAAGAGGCTGATTTGTTGTGGATGAAATTGAGTTTATGTGTCATTTGGTCTCTGTGGATGTTTGGTATGGGTGTCTTGGATATTTGGTATGGGTCTCTGTGGACATTTGGTGTGGGTGTCTGTGGATGTTTGGTGTGGGTCTCTGTGGATATTTTGTATGGGTCTCTGTGTATGTTTGGTATGGGTGTCTGTGGACATTTGGTGTGGGTCTCTGTGGATGTTTGGTATGGGTCTCTGTGTACATTTGGTATGGGTGTCTGTGTATGTTTGGTATGGGTGTCTGTGGACATTTGGTGTGGGTCTCTGTGGATGTTTGGTATGGGTATCTGTGCATGTTTGGAATTGGTCTCTGTGGACATTTGGGATGGGTTTCTGTGGATGTTTGGTGTGGGTGTCTGTGCATGTTTGGTATGGGTCTCTGTGGACATTTGGTGTGGGTCTCTGTGGACATTTGGTGTGGGTCTTTGTGGATGTTTGGTGTGGGTTTCTGTGGATATTTTGTATGGGTCTCTGTGTATGTTTGGTATAGGTGTCTCTGGGTGTTTGGTGTGGATGTCTGTGGATGTTTGATGTGGATCTCTGTGGATGTTTGGTGTGGGTGTCTGTGGATATTTTGTATGGGTCTCTGTGTATGTTTGGTATGGGTCTCTGTGGACATTTGGTGTGGGTCTCTGTGGACGTTTGGTGTGGGTGTCTGTGCATGTTTGGTATGGGTGTCTGTGGACATTTGGTGTGGGTCTCTGTGGACATTTGGTGTGGGTCTCTGTGGACGTTTGGTGTGGGTGTCTGTGCATGTTTGGTATGGGTGTCTGTGGACATTTGGTGTGGGTCTCTGTGGATGTTTGGTGTGGGTGTCTGTGCATGTTTGGTATGGGTGTCTGTGCATGTTTGGTGTGGGTGTCTGTGCATGTTTGGTGTGGGTCTCTGTGGATATTTTGTATGGGTGTCTGTGGACATTTGGGATGGGTTTCTGTGGATGTTTGGTATGGGTGTCTGGATGTTTGGTATGGGTGTCTGTGTACATTTGGTATGGGTCTCTGTGGATGTTTGGTATGGGTGTCTGTGGATGTTTGGTATGGGTGTCTGTGGACATTTGGTATGGGTGTCTGTGCATGTTTGGTGTGGGTGTCTGTGCATGTTTGGTGTGGGTCTCTGTGGATGTTTGGTGTGGGTGTCTGTGCATGTTTGGTATGGGTGTCTGTGCATGTTTGGTGTGGGTCTCTGTGGATGTTTGGTGTGGGTGTCTGTGCATGTTTGGTATGGGTGTCTGTGCATGTTTGGTGTGGGTCTCTGTGGATGTTTGGTATGGGTCTCTGTGGACATTTGGTGTGGGTGTCTGTGCATGTTTGGTATGGGTCTCTGTGGACATTTGGTGTGGGTCTCTGTGGACATTTGGTGTGGGTCTCTGTGGACATTTGGTGTGGGTCTCTGTGGACATTTGGGATGGGTCTCCTTCTCATTTGTTGGTTATCCTTCTGAAAATCTGATAGATGTAGATAGGCATTTTTATGGTAATACATTTGTAATTTGATACAACTTCACCATGTTTTGTGATTCTAGGGATGAATGTAAGAAACAAGTCAACGGTTTCCCAAAGGCGCGATACAAGAAGTTCAACTCTGAAACGGAGGCCAATGATTTTGTAAATGATACAGAAAGTGAGCCTGGACATTGCTCCTCAACAAAGGTTTATAACACTCAGCCACAGAACCGATATCATAAGTCTACAGCCACCAATAACATGGGTCACACTCCTGCAGCCTCTAGTCATCGTCAGCCAGTGCAGAAAGTTTCTGTATCAAATAACACTGATGGATTTAGTAAGTTTGAAGTATCACTAGAAAAAATTAGATTTCATACAAAAGTAATGAAATCATTTCACAAACACCAGGGTCAACATATAAGCTCATAATCAGAGTATAAAATGGCATTTGTGGGTAAATCTAGTAACCTAACAGCATTAGGTACCAGATTGGACCGAGGCATAGTGGGATACTTCATGCAATAGTTAACCTTGCTTGCACAAAAGGAAGAGCAAGAGGGATTTTATGTAGGAAGAAACAGCTATGTCCCCCATTGTTATGTCATGTCTGATGATCTTTCTCTTTTTTCATATGATGGGCCATGTGGCCCCCTATTGTGCTAATGAATTTTTGTAAGCACACTGAAGCATTGATTAGTTTACTAGGTTCAGATATATACACTAAAAAGACATGCAGTGTACTAGATTGCATTACCACTGTAACACCCATCTAGATTCCTAAAGCAATGTGTAGTGTACTAGTTTCCGGTGTGTACACTAATGTGATGTGTAGTGTACTAGTTTCCAGTGTGTACACTAATGTGACGTGTAGTGTACTAGATTCCTGTGTGTACACTAATGTGACGTTTAGTGTACTAGATTCCCGTTTGTACATCAAAGGGCATGAAGTGTATTAGATTAAAAAATATCAACTTTATTTTATTTACAACAGTTACGAAATTAGTTATTTCAACTTATACTAATCACTTTTGTTGGCCCAGATGTAAGCATGCAAGGGGTCTTATTGTGGAAGGAAACTGGAGTACCCAGGGAAAACCCACGTGGTCGGGCAGGTGACCCCTTACCTTTTTACGTCTAATCAGGAAATGGAACACCAGCCGGCTAGGTGAAAGGGGAGAACATTACCACTGCACCACCCGACTAGACTCCTGAAGTGACTTTTAGCATGCTAGATTTCTGTGTGTACACTAGAGCGACATGTGGTGTACTAGACTCCAACAGCCTCTTATCAATATGAAGCATAACTCTGCGTCAGAATTTTGGCCACAAATTTTTAGATACCCTTTTTTCTGGCATCCAGCGTCCAGCGTACAGTGTCCGTCTGTAAACTTTTTACATTTTTGATTTTTCGAAAACTCCTGAAGTAATTTCAATGAAACTTGGCAGTGACTTTCCATGGCCAAAGGTTAAGTAAATTGGTAAATCATGTGGTCCCAACCCCCTAGAGGCCTGAAGGGTAGGGTCAAAAAGGGGCGAAGTTACTTAAATTTCTAATATCTTCTTCTCAATACCCAAATATTGTAGAATCAAATACTCGTTGTGGATAGAAGGGTCTTAAGGTGCTTTAATATGGCTAGACTAGATTTTTGAGCATAATTAGTTTAATTTCCATTGAAAATATTTCCAACTTGGTTAGAATTTTGAGTGAATGATGACTTCTTGATGAAATGCCCAAATTGACCCCGGCTGACCCCCAGGAGCTGATGGGCATAGCCAAAATGGATAAATCAACTGAAATTTCAAAACTTACCTCAAAACAGGGTAGAATCTAATACACTTCATAGATGGAAGAATCATATGTTAGTTCAGTCAGCTGACCATTTAGGCCCGTGGGCCTCTTGTCCATATTTCAGTCTAAAACGGGGCAATAATATTGTATGTAGCCCACAGGTCTTGTACATCTCCCTTGGTGCACACAGAGAACAACATGCTCACAGCCACCTTGAGTTTGCTATGCTGAATATGCTCATGTTGAGTGCGAAACAAGGTCATGTGATGTGTGGTGCCAAAGTAGGACTTCGGTGAAAGTGAACTTATACTTACCTAATGAGACATGCATACACACAAAAACTTTCATTGACATACATGTATGGATCAGTTATGGTTTGGGGAGGAATTTCCCCATGGTTTACAGACACCTTTAACTGGAATATAACAGCTGTATGCTATCAAGATGAGATCCTGAGGCGTTATGTTGTGCCTTTCATTATAAGGTATGATTTGACCTTTCAGCATGATAACACTAGACCACACATTGTAAGAGTTTGTAGGGACTTTCTTGTGACCCACAACATTGTCCCTATTGATTAGAAATTAAAATAAGATATGTTCATAGCTGTGCAGGGAGGGCACACATGACATCAAGGATTGGTCTGACAACTGTTGTTATTTCAACTTTGTGTACATTAGGGTACCCTAATTCATGGCAGCCTAATGAAGTCTACATTAGTTAAAAATCTCAGAAAATGTGAAGACGGATGGTCCAATATTCAAAGTTAACGACTGCATTGCACATTTAGGCATATTACACATAAATGTTATTTCATTAATTCCATAAAGTTGAAGGTCATTGCTTTCTACTCTCAGTTTATCTTATGTTGTGAAATTTGATGATTGCAAATGTCACAGAAATAATTTGGATTGTAACCTATGTCTGTGTCACAGCTGCCCGAACTCCTGTGTTGTTTGTATCTTTTATAAACCTGTTAGAATCACAAAATTAACAGAACAGATTGTGTGCAGGGTCCATTGTTGTTTGTATATACTCTTCTGTATTACTTATTACTATAGTATATGTTTGATATTTATAATGACTGTGTTTATTCATTGTTGTTTGTATATACACTTCTGTATTACTTATTACTATAGTATATGTTTGATTTATATAATGATTCTGTTTATTCAGATGATGCAGAGTTTAATGGAGACATGAAAAACGTATTTAAGATTGAGTACAAAAAAACTGTGTATATGCAGAATCCAAGGTCAGGGGACACAAATCAAAGGTCAAATGGTGCAAAGTCAAGAGGTGTACATTCCAAGCCATCCAGTACATGGTCAAGGTCATTCCATACAAGAAACAGAAACGAAAATGATACAGGTAACGTTGTCCCTTGTTGATGTAAACAAAATAGGCAGTATATTTGTCTACAGAATTGAACATGATGATGGCCGAGCATGATCTTATTTATTAGTAAATGTAATTGGGCGTTAAAGAAAATGTGTGAAGTAGTTTATTGTAAAGTAGAGATGTTTAAACAACAAAATATTTTCTGTTGTTATAGTTGACTAGTGAACCACTAGTAAATCTTACGAAACCTACTAGGTTTTCTGGAAGATGTGTCAGAAGGGCACCTTGTATATCAAATTATAATCAGAATATACTTTATTTTCTTTGTCTCCATTATCTAGAAAGTTTTGGGCAATATTAACTTGGTATCTGGTTATATTAACAAAACACAAAGCAGTGGAACCAGCTGCAGCCATAGTCTCATTATTACTGAGGCTGTCTTGTGATGGGATGGTAGGGGGATAATGTAAATACTGGGTTAATGAACTCAGAACCTTATTATTTGGTAGAAAATTACAGTGGAAAAGAATGAACAAGAGTAAATGGTTCCCCATCGTAAAATTTTTACTGGTGTAGGTAATTTTCCCCCATTTCAATGTTTCCTACCAAATCAAAGTTTTCCCTTGGTAATAAAATAAAAATGTAATATACTCATTACATTTCAGTAGACCTGTTTTTAGCTTAACTGGTATTAAGCGTTGGTAAGCTTATGTTATGATGAAGGGTCTATCTGTGTGATCCATGCATAGGTTCCTCCCTTTAATTTCATCATCTAGAATGTATTTCTTACTGGGAACTAATAATTGGTGGGGATGTATTTTGAGTGGTATGTAATACATTTTGTTATATGAATGACTTTGACTTATTTTCAAGGTTACCAGGGTCAGATGTAATGGAGTACTATAAAGTTTCCTCTCAAAGATGGCTTTTACTATTTCCAAGGTTGCAGAGTTAAAACATGTTTAAACATTTTATAATCACCTCAAATTGCATGAGACCCACAGTCAGATAGTACCTGGTATTGAGAGATATTAAAGTTCCTCATGATCATGACCTTGGCCTAAACGAAAGGGCCTGATATCTGAGATGGAGTGCTACAGATTTTCCTCAATAAATGATCTGAAATACCTCTTCTTGTTAATTAGAGTATCAAGTGCATTCAGTATTAATTGTATCATGAACTCTAAAACTCTGTTTAATTAATGATTATTTTCATATGTTTTGCTTTAAAGTCAATGTGAGTAATATGTACAGGCCCTCTGTGCCTCTTGTTCTGTTGACAGTTGCCCGAGAAGATTTAATAATTAGCAAACATTTCAGTACTATTGTCGAAAAGATTTGCTTCAGATATGAAATATGTGAAAAAAATCAGCTAAAATCTTGTAATAATGTAACAGAACAAGAATGCAGAATGCCTCCAACAGGATTCAAACCACAGTCTCCATTGTGATAAACCATGGCTCAGTAATATAAGCATGCTCTGTGCACTGAGCAACTGGAACACTTTGTCCTCACCAACCAATTGCAATCACCAAATCCAGTTCAGAATTATGTACAACTTCTGAATGTGTTAGATATTGATGTGATTCTCTGATGTTTTTTTTTGTACAATAGTGTCTTCTGACTTTAGATGTGACTTTGTTTCCTCCAGGACAAGATAATGGTGTAGTGGTGTATACAGATGGTGGCTGTTTTAACAATGGACAAAGGGGTGCTCAGGCTGGTATCGGAGTGTACTGGGGTCCAGACGACCCTAGGTATGTAAATCGGGGGTCAATGTTTATGTACTGGGGCCCAAACGACCATAGGTATGTAAATCAGGGGTCAATGTTTATGTACTGGGGTCCAGACGACCCTAGGTATGTAAATCAGGGGTCAATGTTTATGTACTGGGGTCCAGACGACCCTAGGTATGTAAATCAGGGGTCAATGTTTATGAACTAGGATCCAGACGACCCTAGGTATGTAAATCAGGGGTCAATGTTTATGTACTGGGGTCCAGACGACCCTTGGTATGTAAATCAGTAGTCAATGTTTATGTATTTGGGGGCCCAGACGACCCTAGGTATGTAAATCGGGGGTCAATGTTTATGTACTGGGGCCCAGACGACCCAAGGTATGGAAATCAGGGGTCAATGTTTATGTACTGGGGCCCAGACGACCCTAGGTATGTAAATCAGGGGTCAATGTTTATGAACTGGGGTCCAGACGACCCTAGGTATGTAAATCAGGGGTCAATGTTTATGTACTGGGGCCCAGACGACCCTTGGTATGTAAATCAGTAGTCAATGTTTCTGTACTGGGGCCCAGACGACCCTAGGTATGTAAATCGGGGGTCAATGTTTATGTACTGGGGCCCAGACGACCCTAGGTATGGAAATCAGGGGTCAATGTTTATGAACTGGGATCCAGATGACCCTAGGTATGTAAATCGGGGGTCAATGTTTATGTACTGGGGCCCAGACGACCCAAGGTATGGAAATCAGGGGTCAATGTTTATGAACTGGGATCCAGACGACCCTAGGTATGTAAATCAGGGGTCAATGTTTATGAACTGGGATCCAGACGACCCTAGGTATGTAAATCAGGGGTCAATGTTTATGTACTGGGGTCCAGACGACCCTTGGTATGTAAATCAGTAGTCAATGTTTATGTACTTGGGGGCCCAGACGACCCTAGGTATGTAAATCAGGGGTCAATGTTTATGTACCGGGGCCCAGACGACCCTAGGTATGTAAATCGGGGGTCAATGTTTATGTACTGGGGCCCAGACGACCCCTAGGTATGTAAATCAGTAGTCAATGTTTATGTACTGGGATCCAGACGACCCTTGGTATGTAAATCAGTAGTCAATGTTTATGTACTTGGGGGCCCAGACGACCCTAGGTATGTAAATCAGGGGTCAATGTTTGTGAACTGGGATCCCGACGACCCTAGGTATGGATATCAGGGGTCAATGTTTATGAACTGGGATCCAGATGACCCTAGTTGGGCAAATCAGTGGCAAATCATTATTGTGATCAAAGACCTTAGGTAGACAATGATGGGGTCAGTATTTATCTACTTATGGCCAAATGACTTTAAAGTAACAATGATGGTCAATATTCATGTTATTGATGCCGAAAAAGTAGAATTGTGTTAAAGTCATTGTTCATATAATTGAGGCCCAGCTGTAAGATATAACTTAGTCAAGAAATAAATCACATAAAACATTAATCTACTGTTAAGATTAGATTTCCAATTTAATGGCTCATGGAATGTTTTGACTTATTGTTGGATTTTAGCTCAACTGGTCAGACAAATTGCTACTAGTCATGAATGACAGAGCAGATTTTGACTAATTTGGTCAGAAGCATCCATTGGGGAGGGGAAACAAACTTTGTATAAATGGTTGGACTCAGCCCCCAGAAGCCTTAGGGCCAATATTTTCATTTAACAGGTTTTACTTCCACTATTATGGCCTTTTGGCCTTTCAGTGGACAATGTCATTTGATGAAGGGGAATTAGTCTTGTATAAATGGTGGGTCCTGGCTCCCAGGGGAGGGAGGGGCAGGGCCTTATCGGGGAAATAGAGCAAATTCTTAAAAATTCTACTCATTCTGTAGAAATGACTGGATTTTTGCCCAAATTAATTTTGAAGTAGCTTTAGATGAAGATGAATTAGTTTTGTAGGAACACCTAGATTCTGTCCCAGTTTGGTTTGAAGCATGCTTGGATAAACGGAAATTAATTTTGTGTAAACGGTGGGTCTTAGCTCCTCCTTCAGCATGAGGGGCTGGGGACCCAATAGGGGAAATAGAACAAAATATCTTTTAAATCCTTCGTCTTCTCTAGGAACACTTGACTTCTGTCACAGTTTGGTCTGAAGCATGCTTGGGTGAAGGGAAATCAATTTTGTAAATAGGATGGGTCTCGTCTCCTTTGATGGGAGGGGTGGGGCCCAATGGGGCAAATTGAGTAAGTTTTTTGAAATCCTTCTTCTGTTGGAACGATTTAATTTTGTCGAAATTTGATCTGAAACATCCTTAAGTGAAAAGAGCTCAATTGTGTATAAATGGTGCATTTGACTCTCCTTAGGGCAAAAGGGAGGGGCCTAATAGGGGATATACATACAAGTCTTTAAAATGCTTTTCCATTAATGTAAAGGAAGCAATTTCAGTAAAGTAAAGCACTAAGCAAAGATAGCAATACAGACCCTATGGACCTCTTGTTTATAAAATATAAAATTTCAAAAGAATCAGTTTAATTATCCTGTAATAAGCCTGTTCCTATTTTAGATAAAGAAGTTATGATAGCAACCTGCAGGCTTATCTCCAGATATTACATATGGTTTCTTGGTCAGATAACATTGCAGAATATTTTCAGGAATGTGAGTGAGCGCCTCCCAGGGAGACAGACCAACAATAGAGCTGAAATCCACGTAAGATTATTACTTCTCTTTAATGTTTTTTATGGTGAACAATGGGTTCATATTCTTAGTGTTTATTTACTGTGAGATCAGATGGCTCATACCTACTGCTGTATATAAAGGCTCATACCTACTGCTGTATATACAATCTCATACCTACTGCTGTACATAAAGGCTCATACCTACTTCTGTATATAAAGGCTCATACCAACTGCTGTATATACAGACTTATACCTACTGCTGCATATAAAGGCTCATACCTACTGTTGTATATACAGACTCATACCTACTGCTGTATATACAGACTCATATCTACTGCTGTATATACAGACTTATACCTACTGCTGCATATAAAGGCTCATACCTACTGCTGTATATAAAGGCTCATACCTACTGCTGTATATAAAGGCTCATACCTACTGCTGTATAAAAAGGCACATACCTACTGCTGTATATAAAGGCTCATACCTACTGCTGTATAAAAAGGCTCATACCTACTTCTGTATAAAAAGGCTCATACCTACTGCTGTATATAAAGGCTCATACCTACTTCTGTATATAAAGGCTCATACCAACTACTGTATATAAAGGCTCATACCTATTGCTGTATATAAAGGCTCATACATACTGCTGTATATAAAGGCTCATACCTACTGCTGTATATACAATCTCATACCTACTGCTGTATATACAGGTTCATACCTACTGCTGTATATAAAGGCTCATACCTACTGCTGTATATACAATCTCATACCTACTGCTGTACATAAAGGCTCATACCTACTTCTGTATATAAAGGCTCATACCAACTGCTGTATAAAAAGGCTCATACCTACTGCTGTATATAAAGGCTCATACCTACTGCTGTATATAAAGGCTCATACCTACTGCTGTATATACAGGCTCATACCTATTTCTGTATATAAAGGCTCATACCTACTTCTGTATATACAGGCTCATACCTACTGCTGTATAAAAAGGCTCATACCTACTGCTCTATATAAAGGCTCATACCTACTGCTGTATATACAGGCTCATACCTACTGCTGTATATACAGGATCATACCTACTGCTGTATATACAGGCTCATACCTACTTCTGTATATAAAGGCTCATACCTATTTCTGTATATAAAGGCTCATATCTACTGCTGTATATACAGGTTCATATCTACTGCTGTATATACAATCTCATACCTACTGCTGTACATAAAGGCTCATACCTACTTCTGTATATAAAGGCTCATACCAACTGCTGTATAAAAAGGCTCATACCTACTGCTGTATATACAGGCTCATACCTACTGCTGTATATACAGGCTCATACCTATTTCTGTATATAAAGGCTCATACCTACTTCTGTATATACAGGCTCATACCTACTGCTGTATAAAAAGGCTCATACCTACTGCTGTATATAAAGGCTCATACCTACTGCTGTATATAAAAGCTCATACCTACTGCTGTATATACAGGCTCATACCTACTGCTGTATATACAGGATCATACCTACTGCTGTATATACAGGCTCATACCTACTTCTGTATATAAAGGCTCATACCTATTTCTGTATATAAAGGCTCATATCTACTGCTGTATATACAGGCTCATATCTACTGCTGTACATAAAGGCTCATACCTACTTCTGTACATAAAGGCTCATACCTACTGCTGTATATACAGGCTCATATCTACTGCTGTACATAAAGGCTCATACCTACTTCTGTACATAAAGGCTCATACCTACTGCTGTATATACAGGCTCATACCTACTTCTGTATATAAAGGCTCATCCTATTTCTGTATATAAAGGCTCATATCTACTGCTGTATATACAGGCTCATATCTACTGCTGTACATAAAGGCTCATACCTACTTCTGTACATAAAGGCTCATACCTACTGCTGTATATACCGGCTCATATCTACTGCTGTACATAAAGGCTCATACCTACTTCTGTACATAAAGGCTCATACCTACTGCTGTATATACAGGCTCATACCTACTTCTGTATATAAAGGCTCATACCTATTTCTGTATATAAAGGTTCATACCAACTGCTGTATATACAGGCTCATATCTACCGCTGTATATACAGGCTCATACCTACTGCTGTATATAAAGGCTCATACCTATTTCTGTATATAAAGGTTCATACCTATTTCTGTATATAAAGGCTCATACCTACTGCTGTATATACAGGCTCATACCTACTGCTGTATAAAAAGGCTCATACCTACTGCTGTATATAAATACAGGCTCATACCTACTGCTGTATATACAGGCTCATACCTACTGCTGTATATACAGGCTCATACCTACTTCTGTATATAAAGGCTCATCATGTATATAAAGGCTCATACTGCTGTATATACAGGCTCATATCTACTTCTGTATATAAAGGCTCATATATACCTACTGCTGTATATAAAGGCTCATACCTACTTCTGTACATAAAGGCTCATACCTACTGCTGTATATACAGGCTCATACCTACTGCTGTATATACAGGCTCATACCTAATTCTGTATATAAAGGCTCATACCTACTTCTGTATATAAAGGCTCATACCTACTGCTGTATATAAAGGCTCATACCTACTGCTGTACATAAAGGCTCATACCTACTGCTGTATATACAGGCTCATATCTACTGCTGTACATAAAGGATCATACCTACTTCTGTACATAATGGCTCATACCTACTGCTGTATATACAGGCTCATATCTACTGCTGTACATAAAGGCTCATACCTACTTCTGTATATAAAGGCTATATATATAAAGGTTCATACCTATTTCTGTATATAAAGGCTCATACCTACTGCTGTATAAAAGGCTCATACCTACTGTATATAAAGGTTCTGTATATAAAGGCTCATACCTAACTGCTGTATATAAAGGCTCATACCTACTGCTGTATATAAAGGCTCATACCTACTGCTGTATATAAAGGCTCATACCTACTGCTGTATATAAAGGCTCATACCTACTGCTGTATATAAAGGCTCATACCTACTGCTGTATATAAAGGCTCATACCTACTGCTGTATATAAAGGCTCATAACTGCTGTATATAAAGGTTCATACCTATTTCTGTATATAAAGGCTCATACCTACTGCTGTATATACAGGCTCATACCTACTGCTGTATAAAAAGGCTCATACCTACTGCTCTATATAAAGGCTCATACCTACTGCTGTATATAAAAGCTCATACCTACTGCTGTATATACAGGCTCATACCTACTGCTGTACATAAAAGCTCATACCTACTGCTGTATATACAGGCTCATACCTATATACAGGCTCTGTATATACATAATGGCTCATACCTACTGCTGTATATAGGCTCATATCTACTGCTATACATAAATATACAGGCTCATACCTATACTTACTTCTGTACATAAAGGCTCATACCTACTGCTGTATATACAGGCTCATATCTACTGCTGTACATAAAGGCTCATACCTACTTCTGTACATAAAGGCTCATACCTACTGCTGTATATACAGGCTCATACCTACTGCTGTATATAAAGGCTCATACCTATTTCTGTATATAAAGGTTCATACCTATTTCTGTATATAAAGGCTCATACCAACTGCTGTATATACAGGCTCATATCTACCGCTGTATATACAGGCTCATACCTACTGCTGTATATAAAGGCTCATACCTATTTCTGTATATAAAGGTTCATACCTATTTCTGTATATAAAGGCTCATACCTACTGCTGTATATACAGGCTCATATCTACTGCTGTATATACAGGCTCATACCTACTTCTGTATATAAAGGTTCATATCTATTTCTGTATATAAAGGTTCATACCTACTGCTGTATATAAAGGCTCATATCTACTGCTGTACATAAAGGCTCATACCTACTACTGTATATAAAGGCTCATACCTATTTCTGTATATACAGGCTCATACCTACTGCTGTATATAGAGGCTCATACCTATTTCTATATATAAACTAAAAGGGTAGAAACGAGCCCATTATAAACAGAACCGAGATGTTATATTGCTACAGTAATAATTGATTTCATTGTTTATTTCAGGCAGCTTGTCGAGCCATTGAGCAGGCCAAGACACAAGGCTTACAGTCAATCACCATTAAAACTGATAGCCAGTTCCTAATCAGTGGTAAATATCTCACATGAGAGTTTTACAGATAGCCAGTTCCCTATCAGTGGAAAATATCTCACACTGTGTCTTACAGATAGCCAATTCCCAATCAGTGATAAATATCTCACACTGTAGTCTTACAGATAGCCAGTTCCCTATCAGTGGTAAATATCTCATATTGGTGTCTTAAAGATAGCCAGTTCCCAATCAGTGATAAATATCTCACACTGTAGTCTTACAGATAACCAGTTCCCCATCAGTGGTAAATATCTCACACTGTGTCTTACAGATAGCCAGTTCCCTATCAGTGATAAATATCTCACACTGTAGTCTTACAGATAGCCAGTTCCCCATCAGTGATAAATATCTCACACTGTAGTCTTACAGATAGCCAGTTCCCTATCAGTGGTAAATATCTCATATTGGTGTCTTAAAGATAGCCAGTTCCCAATCAGTGATAAATATCTCACACTGTAGTCTTACAGATAGCCAGTTCCCCATCAGTGATAAATATCTCACACTGTAGTCTTACAGATAGCCAGTTCCCTCTCAGTGGTAAATATCTCATATTGGTGTCTTAAAGATAGCCAGTTCCCAATCAGTGATAAATATCTCACACTGTAGTCTTACAGATAGCCAGTTCCCCATCAGTGGTAAATATCTCACACTGTGTCATACAGATAGCCAGTTCCCCATCAGTGATAAATATCTCACACTGTAGTCTTACAGTTCCCCATCTGTTAGCCAGTTCCCCATCAGTGAAATATCTCATACTAGAGTCATACAGATAGCCAGTTCCCCATCAGTGATAAATATCTCACACTGTAGTCTTACAGATAGCCAGTTCCCCATCAGTGATAAATATCTCACACTGTAGTCTTACAGATAGCCAGTTCCCTATCAGTGGTAAATATCTCATATTGGTGTCTTAAAGATAGCCAGTTCCCAGTCAGTGATAAATATCTCACACTGTAGTCTTACAGATAGCCAGTTCCCCATCAGTGATAAATATCTCACACTGTAGTCTTACAGATAGCCAGTTCCCTCTCAGTGGTAAATATCTCATATTGGTGTCTTAAAGATAGCCAGTTCCCAATCAGTGATAAATATCTCACACTGTAGTCTTACAGATAGCCAGTTCCCCATCAGTGGTAAATATCTCACACTGTGTCTTACAGATAGCCAGTTCCCCATCAGTGATAAATATCTCACACTGTAGTCTTACAGATAGCCAGTTCCCCATCTGTTGTAAATATCTCATACTAGAGTCATACAGATAGCCAGTTCCCCATCAGTGATAAATATCTCACACTGTAGTCTTACAGATAGCCAGTTCCCCATCAGTGATAAATATCTCACACTGTGTCTTACAGATAGCCAGTTCCCCATCAGTGATAAATATCTCACACTGTGTCTTACAGATAGCCAGTTCCCTATCAGTGATAAATATCTCACACTGTAGTCTTACAGATAGCCAGTTCCCCATCAGTGGTAAATATCTCACACTGTGTCTTACAGATAGCCAGTATCTCACACTGTAGTCTTACAGATAGCCAGTTCCCCATCAGTGATAAATATCTAGCCAGTTCCCCATCAGTGTAAATATCTCACACTGTCTTACAGATAGCCAGTTCCCTCTCAGTGATAAATATCTCACACTTACAGATAGCCAGTTCCCCATCAGTGATAAATATCTCACACTGTAGTCTTACAGATAGCCAGTTCCCAATCTGTTGTAAATATCTCACACTCGAGTCATACAGATAGCCAGTTCCCCATCAGTGATAAATATCTCACACTGTAGTCTTACAGATAGCCAGTTCCCCATCAGTGGTAAATATCTCACACTGTGTCTTACAGATAGCCAGTTCCCCATCAGTGATAAATATCTCACACTGTAGTCTTACAGATAGCCAGTTCCCTATCAGTGGTAAATATCTCATATTGGTGTCTTAAAGATAGCCAGTTCCCAATCAGTGATAAATATCTCACACTGTAGTCTTACAGATAGCCAGTTCCCCATCAGTGATAAATATCTCACACTGTAGTCTTACAGATAGCCAGTTCCCTCTCAGTGATAAATATCTCACACTGTAGTCTTACAGATAGCCAGTTCCCCATCAGTGGTAAATATCTCACACTGTTCCCCAGTTCCCTCAGTGATAAATATCTCACATAAATATCTCACACTGTAGTCTTACAGATAGCCAGTTCCCCATCAGTGATAAATATCTCACACTGTAGTCTTACAGATAGCCAGTTCCCCATCAGTGGTAAATATCTCACACTGTGTCTTACAGATAGCCAGTTCCCCAAATATCAGTGATAGCCAGTTCCCCATCAGTGATAAATATCTCACAGTGTAGTCGAACAGATAGCCAGTGCCCCAACAGTGATAAATATCTCAAAGAGGAGTCTTACAGATAGCCAGTTCCCCATCAGTGATAAATATCTCACACTGTAGTCTTACAGATAGCCAGTTCCCCATCAGTGATAAATATCTCACACTGTAGTCTTACAGATAGCCAGTTCCCCATCAGTGGTAAATATCTCATATTGGTGTCTTAAAGATAGCCAGTTCCCCATCATCTCACACTGTGATAGCCAGTTCCCCATCAGTAAATATCTCACACTGTGTCTTACAGATAGCCAGTTCCCCATCAGTGATAAATATCTCACACTGTAGTCTTACAGATAGCCAGTTCCCCATCAGTGGTAAATATCTCACACTGTGTCTTACAGATAGCCAGTTCCCTATCAGTGATAAATATCTCACACTGTAGTCTTACAGATAGCCAGTTCCCCATCAGTGATAAATATCTCACACTGTAGTCTTACAGATAGCCAGTTCCCCATCAGTGATAAATATCTCACACTGTAGTCTTACAGATAGCCAGTTCCCCATCAGTGATAAATATCTCACACTGTGTCTTACAGATAGCCAGTTCCCAATCAGTGATAAATATCTCACACTGTGTCTTACAGATAGCCAGTTCCCCATCAGTGGTAAATATCTCGCACTGATTTGTACGAGTAGAAAGTCTTGTCAGCGTTAACTACAACCTTGGCTTTGTTATATGTAATGAATAACAAAAGGAAGTAGAGCCTTCGTAGAAGTTTCAGGTAAACAATGGTAAATTGCATAATGATGGATTGAAGCCTCTTGTGTGTGACAAAGTTTCTGGAACGGATTTTTTTTATTAACTGGCCATCATCACATGGTGGGCTACTCAAATCGCTCTGCATGCATGGTCCATGGTCTGTTCATCCGCAAACAATATTTGTTATCGCTATTTATTGAGAAGTATGTGATGGATCTTTCTTAAATTTCATATATAGGTTCCTTTTTGGCCTCTAGTTGTGCCCATCTAATTTGGGGTCTGATAAAAAAAACAAAATAGTAGACAGACAGCCATCTTGGATCTTGACTTCGAAAGTTTGTTATGGTTTTTCTTGAGAAGTAAAGCATAGATATTTCTCAAATTTCATGTGTATGCTTTCCTTGATCCCTAATTGTGTCTGTTTGATTTTGGGATTGATCAGAAATACAAAATGGCTGACAGACGGCCTTCTTGGATTTTGCCTAGTAAAGTTTGTTATCACTGTCTCTCAAAAAGTACTGGACGGATCGCTCTCAAATTTTATTTGTAGGTTCCCTTCAGTCCCTAATTGTTCCTGTTTAATAGTTGATCAGAAAAATGTCTGCCCGACAGTTACAGATTTTTTTGTCGTTATTTCTGCAAAGGAATGTTTAAATTTTGTATTAATAAGAGCAAAACAGAGGAGATCATCAGAGAAAAGGGAAAAAATCCAACTTTTAAAGAACAAATAAAGATCAAACGATGGTGGGTGCCAAGATCCCTTTGAAATCTCTTGCTTTATGTTTGATTTGATATACAAAGAAATCATCATTTGTTTCAGCTGCTACACAATGGATGCCAGGTTGGCTGAGTAATAATTGGAAACTTTCGTCTGGTGGTCCTGTTAAAAATAAAGAAGATTTTGTGCATTTAAATCAGGTTTCTGCTGGGATAAGAATTAAGTGGGTATGTTTTAGACATAATGGTTTTATTGTAGTCCTTTCCAGTCCTGCTTCAACAAACCACATACCAATTAGAAAGAAAGTAATCAAGTTTGGTAACTTTCACTTGAACTGTCCAATTTTCTTCAGGTTTTTTTGTTCCCGTCAGGTAATTTTAATTTTTATCTCAAGTGAAACACATTTTTGCAGATGTAAAATTTAGTGCGTCCAAGCAAAATGACTTTTCAGACCAGTGCTCAGAAAATGTTTAAGATAATTACTTGAAACTTTGTACATTTATCAAGTTAGTACTCTAGTGGAAGTTCTCATTTCAATATTTTCAGTTGTATGGAAATTTTAAAAATAACAAAAGGAAATTGAACTTGTTAGTTATGTAACCATTGTATTTGTGAATGATGTTTTTTAGTTTCTGATTGTATACTTCTTTCCAGATCCATGTACCTGGACATAGAGGTATTGTTGGGAATGAGGCAGCGGACAGTCTAGCTAATGAAGGTGCTCTAAAACCACTGCCATGACCAGGTTTCATGGCTGTTTATCTGGAAATGCATTGAGAAAACTCATTTTCTGTACAGAGGAGTCCACCAAACACTCCAAACATTGTCAACCAAAACAAACCAAGGCTTACAGAGATGCTGTTTCCAACACAGAAAATGTCAGATTGTTTTGTTTCTCATGTAGAAATGTCTGGTGTGCCCAGCTGTGTTGTTTGGTCAGCGTCGCACTCAGAGAAATTGTCAGTGCTTCCTTGTTAAAGTATCCCAGCTATATGATAAACATAATCTCACACTAATTTCTAGTCATAAGATGTTTGCATTTATCATATCTCATTTGACCATGGCAAAAACTGAGTAGAATAAATATTCTCAGACTTGTGTCCAAGATCTGATATTTTACAGTAAATCTACTGCTTTAGCTTCACTTTCAACAAATTTATAGTTCTGCCTCATAAGGTTTGCATTCTGTATCTCCTCCCCCTCAACTGTGCACAGGTCTATATCCCCTCCCCCTCCACTGTCCACAGTTCTGTATCCCCTCCCCCTCAACTGTGCAAAGGTCTGTATCTCCTCCTCAACTGTGCACAAGCTTGTATTCCCTCCCCCTCCACTGTCCACAGTTCTGTATCTCCTCCCCCTCAACTGTCCACAGGTCTGTATCCCCTCCCCCTCAACTGTCTACAGGTCTGTATCTCCTTCCCCTCCACTGTCCACAGTTCTGTATCCCCTCCCCCTCAACTGTGCACAAGCTTGTATCCCCTCCCCCTCCACTGTGCACAGGTCTGTATCCCCTCGCCCTTAACTGTGCACAGGTCTATATCCCCTCCCCCTCCACTGTCCACAGTTCTGTATCCCCTCCCCCTCAACTGTGCAAAGGTCTGTATCTCCTCCTCAACTGTGCACAAGCTTGTATTCCCTCCCCCTCCACTGTCCACAGTTCTGTATCCCCTCCCCCTCCACTGTGCAAAGGTCTGTATCTCCTCCTCAACTGTGCACAAGCTTGTATTCCCTCCCCCTCCACTGTCCACAGTTCTGTATCCCCTCCCCCTCAACTGTCCACAGGTCTGTATCTCCTCCCCCTCAACTGTCCACAGGTCTGTATCTCCTCCCCCTCAACTGTCTACAGGTCTGTATCCCCTCCCCCTCAACTGTCCACAGGCCTGTATCTCCTCCCCCTCAACTGTCCACAGGTCTGTATCTCCTCCCCCTCAACTGTCCACAGGTCTGTATCTCCTCCCCCTCAACTGTCCACAGGTCTGTATCCCCTCCCCCTCAACTGTCCACAGGTCTGTATCTCCTCCCCATCAACTGTCCACAGGTCTGTATCTCCTCCCCCTCAACTGTCCACAGGTCTGTATCCCCTCTCCTGTAACTATCTACAGGTTTCTATCCCCCTTCTCCTCAACTGTCCACAGGCCTTTACCTGTCTCCCTCAGTTGTCCACAGAGACTTAATAGATTTCATTGTGTGAAACACATAAAACAGCACATTAATACCATGTATGTATTTATTGAGTTACAATTTTATCACAGGTATACAACATCATTCTGCAGGTGTTCTGTAATTTGAGTCTGTAAATGGATTTATACATGTTGAAGTAAAAATATTTGAAAAGTTTGATTTATTTATCTTTGATGCAAAAACAATTATCTCTTTTGCTTGATAGCAAATATTTATCTTTTATTGAAATGACACACGCACACTTCCATATAAAGTATTTAATTGAAATGACACACGCACATTTCCATATAAAGTATTTAATTGAAATGACACTCGCACACTTCCATATAAAGTATTTTATTGAAATGACACACGCACACTTCCATTTAAAGTATTTTATTGAAATGACACACACACTTCCATATCAAGTATTTTATTGAAATGACACACACACTTCCATATCAAGTATTTTATTGAAATGACAGTCGCACATTTCCATATAAAGTATTTAATTGAAATGACAGTCGCACATTTCCATATAAAGTATTTTATTGAAATGACACTCGCTCACTTCCGTATAAAGTATTTTATTGAAATGACACTCGCTCACTTCCGTATAAAGTATTTTATCGAAATGACACTCGCTCACTTCCGTATCAAGTATTTTATTGAAATGACACTTGCTCACTTCCACATAAAGTATTTAATTGAATGCATTAGGACTTGTTTACATGAACAAATATAGATAAAAAAGGCCTTGCATGGAGAAACAGTTTAAATCTGTTTTGAAAAAATTAATTTCATAGAGTCTTGAAATATATCATGTCCCATTAAAACAAGACAAACACTTTACCACTGAGGGAAAGATGTTGAGGGCTACGACATTCTATTACAAGACAGTTTTGCATTATATGAAAGGACTGTAGAACTAATGTCGTGTCCAGAGAAAGGCCATCCATAAAGCTATGGTACTTACTAGGAAAGTGTTTATTGAAGTATATACAGACTGGTAAGGAGACTTTGGGACTCTATAAATTTATGAAAGTGAGATGTTACTTGCAGAGGCTTGACTTTTAGATGAACACTGAACAAGATCTCACTTAGATAAAGCTAAATACCACACTTGGTTGAAAAAAGCTAAATTCCACACTTGGTTGAAATCCGACAGCAAATAGTTATTTGATGGAAACAAAGTATCTATTTTAAGGATTTTTTAGTCCTGTAACTCTGTCAAATGTTGGCAGATTATGACCAATATCAAATTCATTAAAAATCTTCTTGACATAAAACAATATACAAAATTTGGTTCAAATCTAACAGTAAAAAATTCATGTTGTTTGACAAAAACTCAATCACAGACAGACCAACCAAAAACTATTTTCCCCGCCTCCCCACCCCAAAAAAAATTCCCTGTAAAAGTTAACACTGACCTGGAAATTATTGAATGCTACCCAGCTTTTCTGTCCAGGAGGTCACTCATCACTGTACTGTTAAAGTTGATTGATTGAACAATTGTTCTATTCCTCGAGAGATCAGACAGATTGTGGCATCCACCATTGTTTGATCTTCATTTTTTCTTTAAAAGTTTTATCGTTTTTCTTTCTTTTATTTGCTCTTAATGATGAAATTTGAGAATTCCTCTTTGCAATTGAAAAAATAACAATCTTTAACTATTAAATAAAGGTAGTTGCCTGTTGGCCCTTTTTTCTTATCAGCTCCAAAATCTAAAGAGCACAACTAGGGACAATAAGGAAATTACATGTAATTTGAGAACAATCCAACAAGTCATTCTCAACATAAAAAAACTTATATACAATACTTGAAACCCATTTATTAGCCGACAGGCAGCAATGTTAGTTTTAGTCTGTCAGCCATTCTGATCATTTTGACCAGTCCCAATGTGGACTGATAGCCAACAAAGAACTAGGAACAAATAACATACAAAGTTTGAGAAGGATTTGTCCAGTACTTCTCCAGAAACAGCAGTCAAAAACTATGACTGTCGAAAACTAAGATGGCTGCCTGTCTGCCACCTACATACAAAGTTTGAGAAGGATTTGTCCAGTACTTCTCCAGAAACAGCAGTCAAAAACTATGACTGTCGAAAACTAAGATGGCTGCTTGTCTGCCACCTACATACAAAATTTGAGAATGATTCGTCCAGTACTTCTCCAGAAACAGCAGTCAAAAACTATGACTGTCGAAAACTAAGATGGCTGCCTGTCTGCCACCTACATACAAAGTTTGAGAATGATTCGTCCAGTACTTTTCCAGAAACAGCAATAACAAGAGTTGTTTAAGGACAGACAGGTGGACAACAGACGAGTGATTTAAATATCTCACTTGGTGATGGTGTGATTAATGCTAATTTGAACATTCTTCTTTTATTGCACATATCGTTAACATTCATTAAAGTTACAATCTCACAATCAAACATAATGCTAAAACAATACACAGATAAACATATAATCAGCACACATTGTCACTTAGTAGCTTTGGTTTGTATAACTATGTAACCCTGGTAAAATACTAGCCGCAATATACCACTCAGCTAGAGAGAACTTCTCTTTAGCTTGATTGGCTGAGTGTCAGACTAGTAAGCCAGGGGTCCCGGGTTCGATTCTTAGTGGAGGCATTGAAATAAATAATGACCTCTGTTATAACTATAACAAGTGATCCAAAATGGATCTTGGTGCCGACCATCTCATGATCTTGATCAGGTCTTTAAAACTTGGATCTGTTCCTATTCTCTTCCATCCTCTTACTTGCTCTGAAAACTGAACAAGCAAGTACGCATAAAGGGAAACCTACATATATCTACAAAGATCCCTTTAGTACTACTAATAAAATGACAGACTTTAACTGTCAAATTTCAAGATGACTGTCTGTTGGCCATTTTGGTTTTCCTTTTGGTCCAAAATTGGACATTGTATAACTAGGAATGAATTGGAACCTAGATGTATACCTATGAGAATGATTGATCCAGTACACAGAAATAATGACAATAAACTTTTAACTATTAAAATACAAGATCGCCAACTGTCAGCCATTTTGTTATTTCAATCGGTCATATTTAAATAGCATTGGAAAGCAAACTTTCAACTAAACATGCCACTCGGGGCCGAGGGATCCAATCAACAAATGATTTTCCATTCCTAATGATGTTTCAGACCTAATTTATTAGAAATATGTTGAAGTGTAAAGGAATAGTTTTAGAGTTTTATTCAGATATCCCATTAAAGAGCTACTCCTCAGTGTCTCCAGGAGCACAATCAACTGCCTGAATTCAGGAAATAAATGCCCACCCCTAATCCTGTTTCAGATGAAATTCGCTTAAGATCCACTTGGGTGTTAAGGAGAAATAGTGTTTTAAAGGAAATTTATACAAGTTCAAAAACAATGGATATAGATCATCTTGACCCTTCATAGTGAAAATCCAAGATGGCTGCCTGCATGTTAGTCCCAGAAACGGACACTGACCAACTAGAGACAAAGGGCAACTCACATGGAATTTTAGAATGACCCATCCAGTACTTCTAAAACAGTACTACACTGTAGAATTAAATTATACACCAGCATAATTAACAAACAGTACTACACTGTAGAATTAAGTTATAATTAACAAACAGTACTACACTGTAGAATTAAGTTATAACTAACAAACAGTACTACACTGTAGAATTAAGTTATAACTAACAAACAGTACTACACTGTAGAATTAAGTTATAACTAACAAACAGTACTACACTGTAGAATTAAGTTATAACTAACAAACAGTACTACACTGTAGAATTAAGTTATAATTAACAAACAGTACTACACTGTAGAATTAAGTTATAACTAACAAACAGTACTACACTGTAGAATTAAGTTATAACTAACAAACAGTACTACACTGTAGAATTAAGTTATAATTAACAAACAGTACTACACTGTAGAATTAAGTTATAACTAACAAACAGTACTACACTGTAGAATTAAGTTATAACTAACAAACAGTACTACACTGTAGAATTAAGTTATAACTAACAAACAGTACTACACTGTAGAATTAAGTTATAATTAACAAACAGTACTACACTGTAGAATTAAGTTATACACCAGCTAGTCATAATTAACAATCAGTACTACACTGTAGAATTAAGTTATAATTAACAAACAGTACTACACTGTAGAATTAAGTTATACACCAGCTAGTCATAATTAACAATCAGTACTACACTGTAGAATTAAGTTATAATTAACAAACAGTACTACACTGTAGAATTAAGTTATACACCAGCTAGTCATAATTAACAAACACATATAAATAGATTATCTCCCTTACATACACATCAAACATAAGATTTTAGCACTAACATACAGCACATCAGGAAAATAGAACCAATCAAAATAACACAAATTTCTTCAGTCAAGAGGAATGCATGTAGTTACACAAATAATCAGTTCACAGGAAATTCGCTAAAATCTTGATACATTGGTACAAGTAGTAAATCAACAGTAGACCTGTCTGTTTTATAGTTATGTGTAGAGAACATCTTTTGATATAAAAAAAGTACAGAACTGATAATACATTGGCATTACAGCAAAAATCTATTAAAATAAATTAAATATGAGTATTAACTTTCTTAGCTATGTTTCAACATAATGTGAACGAGAGGCCTATAGAGCCTGTATTGTTCACCTGTATCTTAAAGCCCAGCAATGTTATACATTCCTATAGGTTTGGTATTTAAAATATTTCCAAATTAAAGCTTGGTCACTTTACCTCTTTGATGAGGCAAGACCAATGGGTAAATTCTTATATCATTACTGTCTTTTCTCTTTTGATGCCCAGTAAGAGTTAATGTGGATATGGGCTTGGTATCTCAACTTTATAAAAAAAAATATGACCTAGAAATAATGTCACTTTAGGTGTGCCACACCCAAGGGTCACTTCTAACATAACAAATGTATTTATAACTTGAAGCCAAGCAATGCTTTATATATAAGGTTATGGGATGGAAATTTCAACTGTTTTAAAGATGATATATCATCTAGAAATTTAGCCCAGAGGGGTGGGGTAACACCCAAGGGCCTGTTCTTACATTGTGAATGTGTTTATCTCTTGATGCCCAGCATTGCCATATATGGTTTAGGGTTGAGGATCTCAACTGTTTCAACGATATTACCATGAAACTGAGTTTGTAGGAGTGGGGCCAGGCACCAGAGCCAATTCTTACATCATGATTATGTTTACATGTGTATCTTTATGCCAAGCAATGTTATACATGGTTATAGGATCAGGATCTAAACTGTTTTCAAACACATTTCCTCTATTGAGCCCCTCCCCTCCTGCCTAAGAAGGCCAAGATCCACCACTTATATAAAATTAATTCCCCTTCACCAAAATGTGATTTGCAACAAATAGTCAAAATCCAGTCATCCTACAGGAGGAGTAGGATTTTAAATCATTTGCTCTATTTCCCCTATTTGGCCCTGCACCTGCCCCAGGAGGCCGAGATCCACCCTTTAAAAAAAATTACTTTTTCTTCACCCAAAGATGCTTTTGATAAAAAAAAAGCATTCCTACAGGAAGATAAGGATTTTAAAAAACTTCCTCTTTTTTCCCCTATTGGGTCCCCTCCTTCCCTCTTGCCCCAGGGGTTGGGGGTGGGGGAGACTATACAAAATTGATACTTCTCCACCAGAACATTATTCACCCTGAATTTGGACAAAAACCAATCATTCCCACAGGAGGAATAGGATTTTTACTAGTGTATGTACTGTTTGTTAATGTAACTGGATGTATACTAGTGTATTTACTGTGTGTTAATGTAACTAAATGTTTATTAGTGTATGTACTGTGTGTTTGTTTACTAGTGTATGTACATGTACTGTGTGTTAATGTAACTAGATGTTTACTAGTGTATGTACTGTGTGTTAATGTAACTAAATGTTTACTAGTGTATGTGCTGGGTGTTAATGTAACTAAATGTTTACTAGTGTATGTACTGTGTGTTAATGTAACTAGATGTTTACTAGTGTATGTACTGTGTGTTAATGTAACTAAATGTTTATTAGTGTATGTACTGTGTGTTTGTTTACTAGTGTATGTACATGTACTGTGTGTTAATGTAACTAAATGTTTACTAGTGTATGTACTGTGTGTTAATGTAACTAGATGTTTACTAGTGTATGTACTGTGTGTTAATGTAACTAAATGTTTATTAGTGTATGTACTGTGTGTTTGTTTACTAGTGTATGTACTGTGTGTTAATGTAACTAGATGTTTACTAGTGTATGTACTGTGTGTTAATGTAACTAGATGTTTACTAGTGTATGTGCTGGGTGAACTAATGATGATCATTGCAGATAAATTAACAAGAAAATAAAAACAATTTGTCAGAAAAGTACCCCAGTAAAGGCCATCTAACATACCTTATAGGTACCTGATGAATGAATCCTAACAGATGACCTTAACTGATATATTCTTATGACTAGTAATAATATATCAATAACCCAGATAATGTGACGTATGAAATATAACCTCAAAATTTACCCTGTTAAATGTACCCCATTAATTTTAAGTTGAATATGAACCTTGGTAAATGTATACTGTTAAATGTAACCTGGAAATATATTCTCCTGCCCCAGAAAGTTGAGACCTTCAGTTATTGAAACATCTATTCATTTGGACCTAAGCCAGCTTCAGTCTGAATTGGTTCAAAAGTCAAGCATTCCTAAAATAGAGGAAGAACTTAAAAGTATTTGTCCTATATCACCTATTGGGCTCTATCCCTCCAGCCCCAGAAGGGACCAAAACCCATCATGAATATAAATTTTATTTCTCTTCACCAAAGGATGCTTCAGCTCAAATCGAGACAGACAGAATCCAGGTATTCCTGTTTCTATAATGTCACTGCAAGCTATCATAGATAAAATCCAAACAATAATAACATAATACACAAATACCATTGGTTTGTTCAACATGGAATGCTTTGAAACTAAAAATTCTGAGACAATATTAAATTATACTATCATAATAACGGAAGATTTTTCAATCTCATTCATGAAAAATGTTTACAACATAAATACATCAACAAGTGATCCTGTGGATCTGTATCGATCAATTGCTTTCAAATGATGTCTATGACCGACAAATTTGACCATAAAACTGGTTAAAATGATTCTTTTTTTTGCACTATGGGCACCCCTTAAAACATGTTTATGTCATCTTCATGTTGGACGACAGACATGGTAGGACAGACACTGTAAAATTTTCCGTTTGAAACACATGAATGCTATCATGGAAGAATTCTCTGCTGCAATTTGTCATCACTGAAGATTTTCTGCTGCAATTTGTCATCACTGAAGAATTCTCTGCTGTAATTTGTCATCACTGAAGAATTCTCTGCTGTAATTTGTCATCACTGAAGAATTCTCTGCTATAACTCGTCATCACTGAAGATTTTCTGCTATAACTCGTCATCACTGAAGAACTCTCTACAATCAGATGTCACTCGTTGACTCCTGATGTCGTCTCGAAGTTTATCCAACTCAGCAAGTTCACACTGCAATAAATAATATTCAACGTTATGTATTAGAGAACATTTTAACATTTTTTAAGTCTCCATGCTCCACTGCCAGAACCAGAGCCTTTAATACAAGAATTTTAAGTATACAAACTCCCTTTGTTCACTTCACCATGCTTCACAATACCATACTACACCTGGTTCTATTTATATAAACAGTGACCTTGACCTTCCACCTCAAGACCCCAATATCACTCCCATACCAGCATTTTGAAGAAGAATTGGATATAGTGTGAGTGTGATTAGTCAAACAGAATGCGAGATATTGTCCCAAAAAGTAAAACAAGAGTGCCGTGGACACAATATACACCGCCACAAAATATAAAGATCAAAAGTCGCCCCTTCATGCACATCTACCCATTGTAGTAGTGACATTGAGCAAGTTTCATGAAAATCTGATGATTAGTTTAGGAGGAATTGTGTTCACAAGAAATGGACGTATGGACAGACAGACAGAGAATATTACACCAATATATGACTGCCTCCGGCAGCGTATAAAACACAGAAACAAGAAGACAGAAAGACAAATGGACAACCTCAATACTACAGTGCACCTGTTACTTCAATGCGGGGCCTTCATGAAATACAAAATAATTTTTTCTTGATTTAAATTTTTGCTGATTGTAGATGAGGGGACAGAGTGTTAAGCCACAACTTACCCTGAGCTGCTGTAGGTAAAACTGACGTTTGGTGGAAATACTCCGCATGGGGAAAGGGTTGATCCAGTTGAAGGCAAACTGTGAGAAAAAACATTCTGATGAATCAGTCACCATTCATTCTGACTCATCTGTACGCTTGTTACTAACAAAACCACCCTTTGCCATACTTTATCTCCCTGCTACACATACATAATCAATTTACAGTAGACTACATGTACCTGATCTCACTTCCTTAATTGGTAATGATTGACTTAAAATTACCAATAAAACAACCACTATGAAATTTTCTTGAACAAAAACCAACATTGAGCGTAACATAATATCAAATGGAATTTCTCACAACATTAATATACACCGTAATTCACTATTACCTGAGAAATTCTCCGCACGTCGGTCATCTTCTCCCCAATAACTCTCATGTAGTGATTCACACCCAGTGCACTGTTCTGTTGTAAGATTTCCTCCTCCGCCATTTTGAAAAAGGCCACAGCAAAACGAAACAACATCTGATGAAAAAAATACCATTTTTATCATTGATTTACAATCTAAACTAGAACACGTCTTTAAGAAATTAATACCCTTACTCCCATATGTCCAGAAGTTATCACATGAGACTCTTTACCCTAACTTATGTCAAACTTATTACAATGAATTGTAGAACTTGATGTTATGATACTACTGGGTAAATATGAACCAAATCTGTTGAGAGTTTCTTAAGGTGGATTTGGAACACAACACAGTGGGACAAGTTTCTCAAGGCATGACATTAATTTGGAACACAACACGATGGGACAAGTTTCTCAAGGCATGACATTAATTTGGAACACAACACAGTGGGACAAGTTTCTCAAGGCATGACATTAATTTGGAACACAACACGATGGGACAAGTTTCTCAAGGCATGACATTAATTTGGAACACAACATGATGGGACAGGACTGATATAGGTTACACTATATATGTTTGCCCCATACAATGTAGGAAAGGATACAATTATTGAAGTTTGAATTTCATGTGAGCCATGCAGCAGAGATAGACGATGTGCATATAAGATGGATGGATTAACCTACAGCTGACATGTGTGTATAAGACGGATGGATTAACCTTCAGCTGACATGTGTGTATAAGATGGATGGATTAACCTACAGCTGACATGTGCGTATAAGACGGATGGATTAACCTACAGCTGACATGTGTGTATAAGATGGATGGATTAACCTACAGCTGACATGTGTGTATAAGATGGATGGATTAACCTACAGCTGACGTGTGTATAAGATGGATGGATTAACCTACAGCTGACATGTGCGTATAAGACGGATGGATTAACCTACAGCTGACATGTGCGTATAAGACGGATGGATTAACCTACAGCTGACATGTGCGTATAAGACGGATGGATTAACCTACAGCTGACATGTGCGTATAAGACGGATGGATTAACCTACAGCTGACATGTGCGTATAAGACGGATGGATTAACCTACAGCTGACATGTGTGTATAAGACGGATGGATTAACCTACAGCTGACATGTGTGTATAAGACGGATGGATTAACCTACAGCTGACATGTGTGTATAAGATGGATGGATTAACCTACAGCTGACATGTGTGTATAAGACGGATGGATTAACCTACAGCTGACATGTGTGTATAAGATGGATGGATTAACCTACAGCTGACATGTGTGTATAAGATGGATGGATTAACCTACAGCTGACGTGGATGGATTAACCTACAGCTGACATGTGCGTATAAGACGGATGGATTAACCTACAGCTGACATGTGCGTATAAGACGGATGGATTAACCTACAGCTGACATGTGCGTATAAGACGGATGGATTAACCTACAGCTGACATGTGCGTATAAGACGGATGGATTAACCTACAGCTGACATGTGCGTATAAGACGGATGGATTAACCTACAGCTGACATGTGCGTATAAGACGGATGGATTAACCTACAGCTGACATGTGCGTATAAGACGGATGGATTAACCTACAGCTGACATGTGCGTATAAGACGGATGGATTAACCTACAGCTGACATGTGTGTATAAGACGGATGGATTAACCTACAGCTGACATGTGTGTATAAGACGGATGGATTAACCTACAGCTGACATGTGTGTATAAGATGGATGGATTAACCTACAGCTGACATGTGTGTATAAGATGGATGGATTAACCTACAGCTGACATGTGTGTATAAGATGGATGGATTAACCTTCATTATCACTGTACCTTACTGCCTTCATACAGGTAAGCGTCCCACACCCTGAGGAAAGTCTCCGGCGGGATATTGTCCACAAAGATGGTGAGGAACCAGTTGAATGTGAAGAGTGATAGATCAACGTTGTGGGTCTCAAAGTGTGTGTACAGACGTGGCAACTTGTCCTGGACCATGTCCTTCAACACTCGCTGAAATCAGCATAAAAAAAATATGCATTATACTCAATCTATAAGCAATGTAAACATCAGGAAGAATTTTAAAGGTCTACCCTTCTCTCCACTATTGGACTACTTCCATCTGCCCCTCAGTAGCAGACCCCCTGCTTCCCCCCACCCATATCTTTACTGATTTATAGATGTTGTGTCATATTGTTCATAGCAGTGTACAGCTTTGCCCTGAGCAAAGAAATTCTGACCTGCCAAAATAGTGGATGCATTTCCAGGGCATTTGGGAAACTAGTTGATCTCAACTCACATCACCTTTTGACATCACCATCATTCAGTGCTTTACTCCTGCAGTATTTACCAGGTCAGCTTGAGCCGCTATCAGTTTTACTGCGGTATTTACCTGGTCAGCTTGAGCCACTATCAGAGTTTTACTGTGGTATTTACCAGGTCAGCTTGAGCCACTATCAGAGTTTTACTGTAGTATTTACCTGGTCAGCTTGGGTATTTACCTGGTCAGCTTGAGCCACTATCAGTTTTACTGTGGTATTTACCAGGTCAGCTTGAGCCACTATCAGAGTTTTACTGTGGTATTTACCTGGTCAGCTTGAGCCACTATCAGTTTTACTGTAGTTTACCAGGTCAGCTTGAGCCACTATCAGTTTTACTGTAGTTTACCAGGTCAGCTTGAGCCACTATCAGTTTTACTGTGGTATTTACCAGGTCAGCTTGAGCCACTATCAGTTTTACTGCAGTAATTACCTGGTCAGCTTGAGCTGTTATCAGAGTTTTACTGCGGTATTTACCTGGTCAGCTTGAGCCGCTATCAGAGTTTTACTGTGGTATTTACCTGGTCAGCTTGGGTATTTACCTGGTCAGCTTGAGCCGCTATCAGTTTTACTGCAGTATTTACCTGGTCAGCTTGAGCTGTTATCAGAGTTTTACTGCGGTATTTACCTGGTCAGCTTGAGCCGCTATCAGAGTTTACTGTGGTATTTACCTGGTCAGCTTCAGCTGTTATCAGAGTTTTACTGCGGTATTTACCTGGTCAGCTTGAGCCACTATCAGTTTTACTGCGGTATTTACCTGGTCAGCTTGAGCTGTTATCAGAGTTTTACTGCGGTATTTACCTGGTCAGCTTGAGCCACTATCAGTTTTACTGTGGTATTTACCTGGTCAGCTTGAGCCACTATCAGTTTTACTGTGGTATTTACCTGGTCAGCTTGAGCCGCTATCAGTTTTACTGTGGTATTTACCAGGTCAGCTTGAGCCACTATTAGAGTTTTACTGTGGTATTTACCTGGTCAGCTTGGGTATTTACATGGTCAGCTTGAGCCACTATCAGTTTTACTGTGGTATTTACCTGGTCAGCTTGAGCCGCTATCAGTTTTACTGTGGTATTTACCAGGTCAGCTTGAGCCACTATCAGAGTTTACTGTGGTATTTACCTGGTCAGCTTCAGCTGTTATCAGAGTTTTACTGCGGTATTTACCTGGTCAGCTTGAGCCACTATCAGTTTTACTGTGGTATTTACCTGGTCAGCTTGAGCCGCTATCAGTTTTACTGTGGTATTTACCAGGTCAGCTTGAGCCACTATTAGAGTTTTACTGTGGTATTTACCTGGTCAGCTTGGGTATTTACATGGTCAGCTTGAGCCACTATCAGTTTTACTGTGGTATTTACCTGGTCAGCTTGAGCCACTATCAGAGTTTTACTGTGGTATTTACCTGGTCAGCTTGAGCCACTATCAGAGTTTTACTGTGGTATTTACCTGGTCAGCTTGAGCCACTATCAGAGTTTTACTGCGGTATTTACCTGGTCAGCTTGAGCCGCTATCAGAGTTTTACTGTGGTATTTACCTGGTCAGCTTGGGTATTTACATGGTCAGCTTGAGCCACTAGCAGTTTTACTGTGGTTTTTACCTGGTCAGTTTGAGCTGTTATCAGAGTTTTACTGCGATATTTACCTGGTCAGCTTGAGCCGCTATCAGTTTTACTGCAGTATTTACCTGGTCAGCTTGAGCTGTTATCAGAGTTTTACTGCGGTATTTACCTGGTCAGCTTGAGCCGCTATCAGAGTTTACTGTGGTATTTACCTGGTCAGCTTCAGCTGTTATCAGAGTTTACTGTGGTATTTACCTGGTCAGCTTGAGCCGCTATCAGTTTTACTGCGGTATTTACCTGGTCAGTTTGAGCCACTATCAGAGTTTTACTGTGGTATTTACCTGGTCAGCTTCAGCTGTTATCAGAGTTTACTGTGGTATTTACCTGGTCAGCTTGAGCCGCTATCAGTTTTACTGCAGTATTTACCTGGTCAGCTTGAGCCGCTATCAGAGTTTTACTGCGATATTTACCTGGTCAGCTTGAGCCGCTATCAGTTTTACTGCAGTATTTACCTGGTCAGCTTGAGCTGTTATCAGTTTTACTGCAGTATTTACCTGGTCAGCTTGAGCCGCTATCAGAGTTTTACTGTGGTATTTACCTGGTCAGCTTGAGCCGCTATCAGAGTTTTACTGTGGTATTTATCTGGTCAGCTTGGGTATTTACATGGTCAGCTTGAGCCGCTATCAGTTTTACTGCAGTATTTACCTGGTCAGCTTGAGCCGCTATCAGAGTTTTACTGTGGTATTTACCAGGTCAGCTTGTGCCACTATCAGAGTTTTACTGTGGTATTTACCTGGTCAGCTTGTGCCACTATCAGAGTTTACTGTGGTATTTACCTGGTCAACTTGAGCCGCTATCAGTTTTACTGCGGTATTTACCTGGTCAGTTTGAGCCACTATCAGAGTTTTACTGTGGTATTTACCTGGTCAGCTTGAGCCACTATCAGAGTTTTACTGTGGTATTTACCTGGTCAGCTTGAGCCACTATCAGAGTTTTACTGTGGTATTTACCTGGTCAGCTTGAGCCACTATCAGAGTTTTACAGTGGTATTAACCTGGTCAGCTTGGGAATTTACCTGGTCAGCTTGAACCGCTATCAGTTTTACTGCAGTAATTACCTGGTCAGCTTGAGCTGCTATCAGTTTTACAGTAGTATTTACCTGGTCAGCTTGAGCCGCTATCAGAGTTTTACAGCAGTATTTACCTGGTCAGCTTGAGCCACTATCAGAGTTTTACAGTAGTATTTACCAGGTCAGCTTGAGCCACTATCAGAGTTTTACAGTAGTATTTACCTGGTCAGCTTGAGCTGCTATCAGTTTTACAGTAGTATTTACCTGGTCAGCTTGAGCTGCTATCAGTTTTACAGCAGTATTTACCTGGTCAGCTTGAGCCGCTATCAGAGTTTTACAGTAGTATTTACCAGGTCAGCTTGAGCCACTATCAGAGTTTTACAGTAGTATTTACCAGGTCAGCTTGAGCCGCTATCAGAGTTTTACAGCAGTATTTACCTGGTCAGCTTGAGCCACTATCAGAGTTTTACAGTAGTATTTACCAGGTCAGCTTGAGCCACTATCAGAGTTTTACAGTAGTATTTACCTGGTCAGCTTGGGTATTTACCTGGTCAGCTTGAACCGCTATCAGTTTTACTGCGGTATTTACCTGGTCAGCTTGAGCTGCTATCAGTTTTACAGTAGTATTTACCTGGTCAGCTTGAGCCGCTATCAGAGTTTTACAGCAGTATTTACCTGGTCAGCTTGAGCCACTATCAGAGTTTTACAGTAGTATTTACCAGGTCAGCTTGAGCCACTATCAGAGTTTTACAGTAGTATTTACCTGGTCAGCTTGAGCTGCTATCAGTTTTACAGTAGTATTTACCTGGTCAGCTTGAGCTGCTATCAGTTTTACAGCAGTATTTACCTGGTCAGCTTGAGCCGCTATCAGAGTTTTACAGTAGTATTTACCAGGTCAGCTTGAGCCACTATCAGAGTTTTACAGTAGTATTTACCAGGTCAGCTTGAGCCGCTATCAGAGTTTTACAGCAGTATTTACCTGGTCAGCTTGAGCCACTATCAGAGTTTTACAGTAGTATTTACCAGGTCAGCTTGAGCCACTATCAGAGTTTTACAGTAGTATTTACCTGGTCGGCTTGAGCTGCTATCAGAGTTTTACTATAGTAATCCTTTGGCATGATGTGCTCAACAATGGCCACAATTAACCAAAAGGCTTCTTCTTCTTCAAGGAACAGTAAACCAATGGCAACCAGTCTGTTCAGACCCTGACATCAAAATTTCAGGAAGATTTAATCAAATATGCAATTAAAAGCAAATGAATACATCAAAAATATATTTTTTCATGTACTATTTTGGTGCACATACTGTCCTGTCATGTGTAAAGTGACACCTGTCTATTTGTATAGTGACACCTGTCTATACCATAACACATACATTGTTCTGTCATGTGTACAGTGACACCTGTCTATTTGTATAGTGACACCTGTCTATACCATCACATTCACTGTTCTGTCATGTGTACAGTGACACCTGTCTATACCATCACATACATTGTTCTGTTGTGTATAGTGACACCTGTCTATATGTATAGTGACACCTGTCTATATGTATAGTGACACCTGTCTTTATCATCACATAAACTGTTGTCATGTGTACAGTGACACCTGTCTATATGTAGTGACACCTGTCTATATGTATAGTGACACCTGTCTATATGTATAGTGACACCTGTCTATATCATCATATACATTGTTCTGTCATGTGTAAAGTGACACCTGTCTATACCATCACATACACTGTTCTGTCATGTGTACAGTGACACCTGTCTATATCATCACATACACTGTTCTGTCAGGTGTACAATGACACCTGTCTTTATCATCATACACTGTTCTGTCATGTGTACAGTGACACCTGTCTATATGTATAGTGACACCAGTCTATATGTATAGTGACACCTGTCTATATGTATGATGACACCTGTCTATATGTATGATGACACCAGTCTATATGTATGGTGACACCTGTCTATATGTATAGTGACACCTGTCTATATCATCACATACACTGTTCTATCATTTGTACAGGAAACTATGTATTAGTGATGGAAAATTGGTTTAAATCCATAATTGATTATCAATTAAAAATTGGATAGGCTTTTCCATGTAGTTGATCAATTACATAATCAGCTGACTGTTAGTTCAATATCAATTAAAAGTGAATGTATTCTGTGTGGCAGTAATATTTTCTTTTATTGACTTAAACCTACAACACGTTACTTCCCTAGAATTTACGTAAGAAACAATAGACATCTCTTTTTATATATGTTATGAATTTGTTTTTGCTAAAACACAAGGCACATATTAATGTAATGGTTGTTGATTATGAAAAATCATCACATCAGATTAGGTTAAACAATTAGATAATGGATTACATCCACTGTTGTCCCATCACTATCAGGGACCAGTAAAAACTAAATATATTATGTTATTGTGATATGGTTATGCTACATAAAGCGATGATAAGTATCTACATCAAAGCATGTCTGAACTGTCTTTTCTCTAGGTTGTCTTTCACAGGTAAGTAAGGAAGTGTACCTGGCAATATCCAATTACAGGGTTGTGAAGGCTGTAGGCCACCAACACACGTCGTAGCTTGGCAACACCATCCAAATCGGAACTTTCATAATACTTATTGTTGGGCAAGGTTCGCAGCAAATCTAGTTCAATCTGCCGAGTAAAAATTAACATAAATAGATCTAGAACAGCAGTGAAAACATTCCATAACTAATCTGACTACAATTCTTCCTGGAGTATACAATCTAATATGGCTGTGATTTTCCCATCATTTTGTCAGGAAGAACTATGTGTCATAGTGATTACATCTGTATATACTGAACATGTAAGAAGCATTGTAAAAGGACATAACAATAGATATCATTACAACTCTCACCTCATTCTTTTAATTACAATAATATCAAAATTAATTCACAAATCCACCAATCTGATTTTGTTTTGACTATTAAAGTGCATAATGTACTAACAAAAGGTGGGTGTTTTTTGAAAAGCCATCTGTCCAATTAAAATTACAATGTTATAGTATTTAGCAATCACCTGTTTGGCAGCAGGATTGTGTGGGGTGTCGCCTGATCGTGTTATCAATCCCTTGTAGTAGTGTGGACCTAATTTATCTCGATCAGCACTCACATAGAAGTTCACACACCTGAAAATGTTGACAATGATTACTTGTTTAACCTCATGAAGTCATATTGGCTTCTCATGTAAACAAGATATGAAGGACACTGCCAGATAATCATTAACAGGAAGTGCATGATGACATCACAATAAAAGGTCAAGAGTATATCTGAAGATGATGAAAACTGTGGGACAGTTGTAACCGATGTTTATGACATCTGCAGGTTTCTGAATGTGAATGAATGTGGTAGGACACGGACCTCACACTCAAATAGCTAACACTGACATAACAAGTATAAGACTTCACACTCAGGTAACTAACACTGAGATAACTAACACTGAGGTAACTAACACTGAGGTAACTAACACTGAAGTAACTAATGCTGAGGTAACTAACACTGTGGTAACTAACGCTGTGGTAACTAACACTGAGATAACTAACGCTGAGGTAACTAACGCTGAGGTAACTAACACTGAGGTAACTAACACTGAGGTAACTAACGCTGAGGTAACTAACACTGAGGTAACTAACGCTGAGGTAACTAATGCTGAGGTAACTAACACTGAAGTAACTAACACTGAAGTAACTAACACTGAAGTAACTAACACTGAGGTAACTAACACTGAGGTAACTAACACTGAGGTAACTAACACTGAAGTAACTAATGCTGAGGTAACTAACACTGTGGTAACTAACGCTGTGGTAACTAACACTGAGATAACTAACGCTGAGGTAACTAACGCTGAGGTAACTAACACTGAGGTAACTAACACTGAGGTAACTAATGCTGAGGTAACTAATGCTGAGGTAACTAACACTGTGGTAACTAACACTGAGGTAACTAACACTGAGGTAACTAACACTGAAGTAACTAACACTGAGGTAACTAACACTGTGGTAACTAACACTGAGGTAACTAACACTGAGGTAACTAACACTGTGGTAACTAACACTGAAGTAACTAACACTGACATAACAAGTATAAGACTTCACACTGAGGTAACTAACACTGAGGTAACTAACACTGACATAACAAGTATAAGACCTCACACTGAGGTAACTAACACTGAGGTAACTAACGCTGAGGTAACTAACACTGAGGTAACTAACACTGAGGTAACTAACACTGAGGTAACTAACACTGTGGTAACTAACACTGAAGTAACTAACACTGAGGTAACTAACACTGAGGTAACTAACACTGACATAACAAGTATAAGACCTCACACTGAGGTAACTAACAATGAGGTAACTAACGCTGAGGTAACTAACACTGAAGTAACTAACACTGAAGTAACTAACACTGAAGTAACTAACACTGAGGTAACTAATACTGAGGTAACTAACACTGTGGTAACTAACACTGAGGTAACTAACACTGAGGTAACTAACACTGAAGTAACTAACACTGAGGTAACTAACACTGTGGTAACTAACACTGAAGTAACTAACACTGAAGTAACTAACACTGAAGTAACTGACACTGAGGTAACTGACACTGAGGTAACTAACACTGAGGTAACTAACACTGAGGTAACTAACACTGTGGTAACTAACACTGAAGTAACTAACACTGAGGTAACTAACACTGAGGTAACTAACACTGACATAACAAGTATAAGACCTCACACTGAGGTAACTAACACTGAGGTAACTAACGCTGAGGTAACTAACACTGAGGTAACTAACACTGAGGTAACTAACACTGACATAACAAGTATAAGACTTCACACTGAGGTAACTAACACTGAGGTAACTAACACTGACATAACAAGTATAAGACCTCACACTGAGGTAACTAACACTGAGGTAACTAACGCTGAGGTAACTAACACTGAGGTAACTAATACTGAGGTAACTAACACTGACATAACAAGTATAAGACTTCACACTGAGGTAACTAACACTGAGGTAACTAACACTGACATAACAAGTATAAGACCTCACACTGAGGTAACTAACACTGAGGTAACTAACGCTGAGGTAACTAACACTGAGGTAACTAACGCTGAGGTAACTAACACTGAGGTAACTAACACTGAGGTAACTAACACTGACATAACAAGTATAAGACCTCACACTGAGGTAACTAACACTGAGGTAACTAACACTGAGGTAACTAACGCTGAGGTAACTAATGCTGAAGTAACTAACACTGAGGTAACTAACGCTGAGGTAACTAACGCTGAGGTAACTAACACTGAGGTAACTAACGCTGAGGTAACTAACGCTGAGGTAACTAACGCTGAGGTAACTAACGCTGAGGTAACTAACGCTGAGGTAACTAACGCTGAGGTAACTAACACTGAAGTAACTAACACTGAAGTAACTAACACTGAAGTAACTAACACTGAGGTAACTAACACTGAGGTAACTAACACTGTGGTAACTAACACTGAGGTAACTAACACTGAGGTAACTAACACTGAAGTAACTAACACTGAGGTAACTAACACTGTGGTAACTAACACTGTGGTAACTAACACTGAGGTAACTAACACTGTGGTAACTAACACTGAAGTAACTAACACTGACATAACAAGTATAAGACTTCACACTGAGGTAACTAACACTGAGGTAACTAACACTGTGGTAACTAACACTGAAGTAACTAACACTGAGGTAACTAACACTGAGGTAATTAACACTGACATAACAAGTATAAGACCTCACACTGAGGTAACTAACAATGAGGTAACTAACGCTGAGGTAACTAACACTGAGGTAACTAATACTGAGGTAACTAACACTGACATAACAAGTATAAGACTTCACACTGAGGTAACTAACACTGAGGTAACTAACACTGAGGTAACTAACACTGACATAACAAGTATAAGACCTCACACTGAGGTAACTAACACTGAGGTAACTAACGCTGAGGTAACTAACACTGAGGTAACTAACACTGAGGTAACTAACACTGACATAACAAGTATAAGACTTCACACTGAGGAAACTAACACTGAGGTAACTAACGCTGAGGTAACTAACACTGAGGTAACTAACGCTGAGGTAACTAACACTGAGGTAACTAACGCTGAGGTAACTAACACTGACATAACAAGTATAAGACTTCACACTGAGGTAACTAACACTGAGGTAACTAACGCTGAGGTAACTAACACTGAGGTAACTAACACTGAAGTAACTAACGCTGAGGAGGTAACTAACACTGAGGTAACTAACACTGAGGTAACTAACACTGACATAACAAGTATAAGACCTCACACTGAGGTAACTAACACTGAGGTAACTAACGCTGAGGTAACTAACACTGAGGTAACTAATACTGAGGTAACTAACACTGACATAACAAGTATGAGACTTCACACTCAGGTAACTAACACTGAGGTAACTAACACTGACATATCAAGTATAAGACCTCACACTGAGGTAACTAACACTGAGGTAACTAACACTGAGGTAACTAATACTGAGGTAACTAACACTGACATAACAAGTATGAGACTTCACACTCAGGTAACTAACACTGAGGTAACTAACACTGACATATCAAGTATAAGACCTCACACTGAGGTAACTAACACTGAGGTAACTAACGCTGAGGTAACTAACACTGAAATAACAAGTATAAGACTTCACACTGAGGTAACTAACACTGAGGTAACTAACGCTGAGGTAACTGACACTGAGGTAACTGACACTGAGGTAACTAACACTGAGGTAACTAACACTGAGGTAACTAACGCTGAGGTAACTAACGCTGAGGTAACTAACACTGAGGTAACTAACACTGAGGTAACTAACACTGAGAACAAGTATTAGACGACTAATGTACCAAAACTAACCCTTTCCAGATATGACTTCTGTGTTCATGAGGAACACCCATGCGTACTAGTCCCTTGAGTTCAGCTGATCTGACCAGAGTTTTTCCAGTCTGACCCACCATGAAGTTGTCCCACTTGACCAAGTGTGAGGTCACCTCATCTGCTTCCTACAAAATACAAAAGCATTATCACACAAACTGTTTTAACAGGCAGTCAACTGTAGACTGTGTAACCATAGTGACAGTGACCCTTGACATTTAACCTTGATCAATGACCACCAATATATGACCTGATGTAGAACTAGACAGATTGAACCAAATGTCACAAGTTGTAAAATGTCATATACCAAATGTCACAGGTTGTAAAATGTCATATACCAAATGTCACAGGTTGTAAAATGTAATATATCAAATGTCACAGGTTGTAAAATGTCATATACCAAATGTCACAGGTTGTAAAATGTCATATACCAAATGTCACAGGTTGTAAAATGTAATATATCAAATACATAAGTTATCAAACCTATGTCAACAATCACTGATTAGAAAGTATTACTGTGGAGCATCACAATATCAAACATTAAGATTATCTTATAACTTGGTATAGCCCTGTTAAAAACCTACTTTTTCTCATCTAAATGAAAAATAAACAGAAGCATTTCTCACATTTAGTAGACATATGTAATATATAAACCTGAAAAATGAAAAGTCTTTTCTAGGGAACATTCCAGCCAAATTTGATGTCTGTAGGCCTTTTAGTTCCTGAGAAGATGTTGTTTAAATGTTTTAACAGATTTGACCCGTGACCTTGAATATAGGTGTAGATGATTGTATTTCGCAAACTTTGTTTGGTTTCATCCTTTGAACATACCAGTCTAATATCCTGTTTCTAGGTCTATTAGTGTATGAGAAAAAGTTGTTAAAATGTTTTAACAAATTTGATCCCTGTGACCTCAAATAAGTCAAGGTCATTTATTTTTGAAAACTTTGTCAGGCTTCATCCCAGAAACATAGCAGCCAAATATCAAAACATTTGAAACATTATTGAAAAGAAGTTGTTTAAAGGAAAAAAGTTGACACCGGATGATGGACACAGTATTAGGCATAAGCTCTCTTGTCCTTCAGGCCAGGTGAGGTAATAATATCACAATTTTTGAATTTGAAATGGCTGTATTTTCTTTTGCACAGAAATATTTGAATAGAAATACTTAAACATAAAGTTTGACATGACTATGTACTATAGGCTGACCTTGATTTTGGTGGACAGCTCTGCTGACTTCCTCTCAAGTTCGGTAGCCTTGGCAATGAGAGGGTCTTCATCCTCATCCCCACCGTACTTCTTTAGGAAGCCATATCGGTCATACTCCTGTCCACTGTTAAAAATCTTTCTTTTATTCAAGTCATATCACTCTTTGTTAAAACTCTCTTACAGAAAATAAAGGAAATAATTAACATGAACAACATATGTAGGTGTACCATCTAACTTTAGGACAGCTGAGACACTCACCATCTCACTACAATACCATAACTTACATATGTAGGTGTACCATCTAACTTCAGGACAGCTGAGACACTCACCATCTCACTACAATATCCTAACTTACATATGTAGGTGTACCATCTAACTTCAGGGTGGCCGAGACACTTACCATCTCACTACAATATCCTAACTTACATATGTAGGTGTACCATCTAACTTCAGGACAGCTGAGACACTCACCATCTCACTACAATATCCTAACTTACATATGTAGGTGTACCATCTAACTTCAGGACAGCTGAGACACTTACCATCTCACTACAATATCCTAACTTACATATGTAGGTGTACCATCTAACTTCAGGACAGCTGAGACACTCACCATCTCACTACAATATCCTAACTTACATATGTAGGTGTACCATCTAACTTTAGGACAGCTGAGACACTTACCATCTCACTACAATATCCTAACTTACATATGTAGGTGTACCATCTAACTTCAGGACAGCTGAGACACTTACCATCTCACTACAATATCCTAACTTACATATGTAGGTGTACCATCTAACTTCAGGACAGCTGAGACACTCACCATCTCACTACAATATCCTTACTTACATATGTAGGTGTACCATCTAACTTCAGGACAGCTGAGACACTCACCATCTCACTACAATATCCTAACTTACATATGTAGGTGTACCATCTAACTTCAGGACAGCTGAGACACTTACCATCTCACTACAATATCCTAACTTACATATGTAGGTGTACCATCTAACTTCAGGATGGCTGAGACACTTACCATCTCACTACAATATCCTAACTTACATATGTAGGTGTACCATCTAACTTCAGGACAGCTGAGACACTCACCATCTCACTACAATATCCTAACTTACATATGTAGGTGTACCATCACTTCACAGCTGATACCATCTCACTACAATATCCTAACTTACATATGTAGGTGTACCATCTAACTTTAGGACAGCTGAGACACTTACCATCTCACTACAATATCCTAACTTACATATGTAGGTGTACCATCTAACTTCAGGACAGCTGAGACACTTACCATCTCACTACAATATCCTAACTTACATATGTAGGTGTACATATTACCATCTCACTACAATATCCTAACTTACATATGTAGGTGTACCATCTAACTTCAGGACAGCTGAGACACTCACCATCTCACTACAATATCCTTACTTACATATGTAGGTGTACCATCTAACTTTAGGACAGCTGAGACACTCACCATCTCACTACAATATCCTAACTTACATATGTAGGTGTACCATCTAACTTCAGGACAGCTGAGACACTTACCATCTCACTACAATATCCTAACTTACATATGTAGGTGTACCATCTAACTTCAGGATGGCTGAGACACTTACCATCTCACTACAATATCCTAACTTACATATGTAGGTGTACCATCTAACTTCAGGACAGCTGAGACACTCACCATCTCACTACAATATCCTAACTTACATATGTAGGTGTACCATCTAACTTTAGGACAGCTGAGACACTCATCATCTCACTACCATATCCTAACTTACATATGTAGGTGTACCATCTAACTTCAGGATGGCGGAGACACTCACCATCTCACTACAATATCCTAACTTACATATGTAGGTGTACCATCTAACTTCAGGACAGCTGAGACACTCACCATCTCACTTAGATATTACAACTTACCCATAGAGAACCACAGGCATGAACACCACTATATGAAGTTTGAGGTTGATTAGGCAAAGGGTACTGAAGGTATCGCGACAGAAATAATCTTCTATTTATAGTAATGGTGACCTTGACCTTTGACCTTGGGACCTAAAAAGCCATCCCAATCAAGCACTTTTGGTGAGGAAGCACAGTGTGAAGTTTGAGCTTGATTTGCCAAACATAGTAATACTGATATGTTGCCTTTGGCAGGTGACACAAAAATCAGTAGGTTTTCAGTACATACCTAGTGGTAAACAAGTAGTCCATATCTTCATTTTCATCCAGGTCCAGGGCATCAGAGAGGAGTTGAGTGACCATCTCCTGGGACTGGATATCATCCTCACCTCCTATAGTGACAGAAATAAAAGTACAGATCATACGTTGGTCTGGTAGAAAGTTACATTAAAGTACACCTTGTCTGTTTACAGGTGATACACCACACAGATTATAGTCAAACAAAATTACTTGATCTCAACAGAACTTTAACATTTACATAAATAAATAGACTTCATTTTACAACACTAACACAACCAGTCCTAGTCTATAATATGATCACTTTCACTGTACACTTCTGGTCTGAACCAAACTTGGAGATACCACTCACAAAAATTCAACAAAACATGCTACAGAGACAACCAGGAGTCCATACAAGTCAATAAATCAGACACATAACCACAGTTTTAAACTATATATATTTATTTACACTAAATATAAAGATAATGAACAACACAGCCTAACACATCTGGGGTAGACATTTCACAATCTCTAAAGCTGTTAGCTACGATACAGAGGTGTAATTAGTCTACTGGAAACTGCATTACACTAAAAGGCAGAAGCAAACCCATCATCTATTGATGTGACACAAATACTCCAGGCACATGGAATGGTGCTAAATGGACGACCATCAATTTCAGCTTAAGTCACTCTCTCAATCAAGAATTTATAACTGGCTATCGTGGCTATCTAGGGAACAGTGTTACCTATGAAGATTTACTCTGCTGCTGTCATTGGTCTGTTTTGTTGTGTATTGGTTGGTCTTGTCTAGTCAGCTATTTGTGTTTTTATCCATGGAATGGCCTATAGAAATGTTATATTTCTCCATACTCTCGAGGTAGGTGCAGTCGCTGCTTGTTCTGACTTTTGGAAACTTACATGTCAAACTTGGCATTACAGGGAGCAACCCACTAATGTATCAATAGCACATACAATACCCACTAAACATACACAATACAAACATGGTATTATATACTGTTAGTGTGACATAACACATACAATACCCACTAAACATACACAATACAAACATGGTATTATATACTGTTAGTGTGACATAACACATACAATACCCACTAAACATACACAATACAAACATGGTATTATATACTGTTAGTGTGACATAACACATACAATACCCACTAAACATACACAATACAAACATGGTATTATATACTGTTAGTGTGACATAACACATACAATACCCACTAAACATACACAATACAAACATGGTATTATATACTGTTAGTGTGACATAACACATACAATACCCACTAAACATACACAATACAAACATGGTATTATATACTGTTAGTGTGACATAACACATACAATACCCACTAAACATACACAATACAAACATGGTATTATATACTGTTAGTGTGACATAACACATACAATACCCACTAAACATACACAATACAAACATGGTATTATATACTGTTAGTGTGACAATGTAAGGGATTTGTCTCCATTACATATATAATAATGAAAATTATCAGAACTGTTTTGTTCAGACTTGTTTTGATATGAAATGGAAACTTTTTAAATGTTAGAGATATCACACTTACCCCTTACTGGCTGTTTAAACTCTTGAAGAAGGATAAGATATTTGCTATGGGTTTGGTAGAACTTTGCCTCCAGCTGTGCATAGCTCCTGAAATATTACATCAAATCATACCAAGTGGTTGTCTGATATTTTGTCCCATTTCCTCTCATAATGACATAGAATATCTTGACAATCATGTTTTTAAGTTTTGGTGTGGATGGGTGTGGATGGGAGGGTGTGTGGGTATGTGTGTGTGTGTGGGTGTGGATGGGTGTGGATGGGAGGGTGTGTGGGTATGGATGGGTGTGGATGGGAGGGTGTGTGGGTATGTGTGTGTGTGTGGGTGTGGATGGGTGTGGATGGGAGGGTGTGTGTGTTTGTTAAACTTAAAACAACATTCACAAAATCAATAATAGATTTTTTTCTATCTAGAGCTGTGACTCTTTATGGGTTATCTTAACCTGCTCAATCATGATATCTGCCAAGCTTTAATATAAAATAAGATGTTACTGTTTATGGATTAGTCTTTCCTTTTAGGATAATGAAATGTTACTGTTTATGGATTAGTCTTTCCTTTCAGGATAATGTGATGTTACTGTTTATGGATTAGTCTTTCCTTTCAGGATAATGTGATGTTACTGTTTATGGATTAGTCTTTCCTTTCAGGATAAAGATTACTGCTGATTATTCCAGCCTTTTGGATGATGGGATGAGAGTGGCAATGGATTATCAAAAAGATAGGACTGCCTTTAGATGATGTAATACATACATTGCCAGTGTTTTGGCATTATCTTCATCATGCTGTCTGAGATCTGTCAATTCCAGTATCTCATTGGTTAGGAACTTGTTTTGAGTTTCGTATGCTGCACACATATCCTGTAACATACAATTGCTAGCTTATTTAAGTGGATCTGTAATAACCAAAACATCTTCATTCACAGCATTACGTGTTCCATTGTTTAGTTTTTTTTTCTGGATTTAAGTCAATCCACCAATCTAAACAACATGATCTTTTCCAGTCTCATTATAATCAATGTATATATGATCTTGTTCAGAATGTCTCTACTGTATAAAGAAAATGCACTGTAAGAGCAGGTACTTTTTTAATGTCTCTCATTGTTTTTGAAAAATTACTACTTATGCAGTATAATTTACAAACGAGAGGTCCAAGGGGCCTACTTCACTCACTGGCTTATTGAGCTATTCAACCCTTCAACAAAGAATTTCAAATATGACAAATAGTTTCTGATATGATGTCCCTATTGGGTCCCACCCTTGTGGTCATACAGAAGTCTGATTCACTCTTCAAAAAAATAGCCAGACCAAACATATCCTTGTATGGAAGAAGGATTTTTAAGAACTTACATTTCCCCAGTTGAGCCCACCCCTCCTAGGAGGCCAGCATGCATTATCTATACAAAACTGATTTTCCTTCACCCAAGAATACTTCTAACCAAATTTGGTCAAAATCAAATTATTCCTACAGGAGGAATAGAATTTTTTAAAATTTGCTTTATTTTCCCCTACATTAGATATAGTGTTGTTTTAGGAAAAGTCACAGACAGATGAATGATAACGGACAAAGGGCAATTTGAACAGCTGACATTCATCAGATGGTGAGAATCAAGGCATATTTTACAAGAAAAAAAAACAAGACTACCTAAATGGCAATTATCTTGTAATAGTTATCAAATATGAAAAGTCACTTCCTTTTAGAGATGTTACTGTGTGATACTGGTAACACCTACCAGTCTATCATAAGTGATTCCTTTTCAAACCAAAGCTTCTGTAGCATATTGTAAGGTGCGTATTTTGCTGTCCTAAGATTACCTTGAGTCTCTGTATTTCTCTTGTATCAATCGCAGGAATTGGCGTGGAGTTGGAAATGAGTGAATCGGTAGGTGGTATAGAAGGAGATATGTCTACATAACCATTAGCCTTCCCGTCAGCCACCACTTTCTCTGCCTCTGTCAGGTTATTCGTTAATTTGATGATGGTTTCATCTTTAGCGGCCAACATATCTTCAAACATCTTTAACTGATCTTGGATACTGCATAATTCTCCCGATTTTGTCCTGTATAATAAATAAGCACCTTCCCTTATTAGATCTCACTACACACCTTACAATAACAAAGCCAAGTGGTCTTACCATCTCACAACACATATTTATTGAACATTGTAGTGTGAGGATGAAGGTATGTATGTATCTTACCAACATGTAGAAATAAATTACACCTCAATGCATTCATGGAAATATACTGTGATAATCTCGAATTACATAAATGTTTGGTAATAAACCTATCTTTATCTACATTTTTGTTCAATAGTAATACTACGATACCAATACATATATCCCGGTCAATACAAGTTTATTGTCCTGTAACAATCCCACCAGAGGTAATGCAGGCCACTGGGCTAATTTTCCTGTAACAATCCCACCACAGTTAATGTAGGCCCCTGGGCTAATTTTCCTGTAACAATCCCACCAGAGGTAATGTAGGCCCCTGGGCTAATTTTCCTGTAACAATCCCACCACAGTTAATGTAGGCCCCTGGGCTAATTTTCCTGTAACAATCCCACCACAGTTAATGTAGGCCCCTGGGCTAAGGTAATGCAGGCCCCTGGGCTAATTTTTCCTGTAACAATCCCACCACAGTTAATGTAGGCCCCTGGGCTAATTTTCCTGTAACAATCCCACCACAGTTAATGTAGGCCCCTGGGCTAATTTTCCTGTAACAATCCCACCACAGTTAATGTAGGCCCCTGGGCTAATTTTCCTGTAACAATCCCACCAGAGGTAATGCAGGCCCCTGGGCTATTTTTCCTGTAACAATCCCACCACAGTTAATGTAGGCTCCTGGGCTAATTTTCCTGTAACAATCCCACCAGAGGTAATGTAGGCTCCTGGGCTAATTTTCCTGTAACAATCCCACCAGAGGTAATGTAGGCTCCTGGGCTAATTTTCCTGTAACAATCCCACCAGAGGTAATGTAGGCCCCTGGGCTAATTTTCCTGTAACAATCCCACCACATTTAATGTAGGCCCCTGGGCTAATTTTCCTGTAACAATCCCACCAGAGGTAATGTAGGCCCCTGAGCTAATTTTCCTGTAACAATCCCACCAGAGGTAATGTAGGCCCCTGGGCTTATTGCAAGATATATACTGTACAATAAAGTAATTGACTCAAGTTTATAAATAACGTATCTCAGTTTATTATTTATACAGGTTCTGTATTCAAACTTATTATACAATTAATGCATCAAATCTTACGTATCAACACCTTTATAGTTTAATCTGGTGAAAGAACAGTTCATAATTAATAAAGATAATTCATTTTAATTTCTTGACTGATGTTTTAACCTGAATTGCTGTGCCAATAACTCCTTCTCTTCCTTCATAGACGCCAGGCCAAACTTGAGTTCAACAATATGCTTGTCTCGTTCTTTAAGCATTCCCTCAAATCCCTCTCTGTCTTGTGTACTCATCTGGAACCTGCACAATCAGAACAACAAGACCAATATCAAGGAAGGGCCTTTAAGTTATCGCACAGATGGTTTGACTATTCTTAAATATTGATATTGAAATAATTATCTTGTAAGTTTAAACTCTATGAACTTGTACAAAGTTGAATATCTTATCAACAGAAATGACATTTCATAATAACTTGAAAAAAATTAAACACAACATAAACAAATCATGTCCATGGCTTATTATGATGTTTCAAAGAGATGGGTTTAATATACAATCAAGTAAAAATGGTCCTCTCTGTAATTGATTGTGTTCATCAACAGTTCTATGTTTCTCAATACATTCCAGGTAGATGTCTTATGTCATACATGTCATGCATTACTGCATTCTCATCATGTCTATACAGTCCACAATTATCTGTTTATAATCGTTATGATATCTTGTCTATACAGTCCACAATTATCTGTTTATAATCGTTATGATATCTTGTCTATACAGTCCACAATTATCTGTTTATAATCGTTATGATATCTTGTCTATACAGTCCACAATTATCTGTTTATAATCGTTATGATATTTTGTCTATACAGTCCACAATTATCTGTTTATAATCGTTATGATATCTTGTCTATACAGTCCACAGTCAGAGCAGAATCAAAACAAGGTCTTGTGTATAAAAGACGTCCAATAATGAAAGGTATTGTGGAGATTGGCATAAAATCACCAATTTTCCACATTTGAAGTCCCATAACCTTTATAGATATGAAAAGACACCAATGGTTATTTAATTAGTGTGATGTCTCGTGTACATAAACCCACATACCAAATTTGATGAAGATCCAATTGCAAATACATAGTGTGCAGAATGTAATACAATGGTATATTTTCAACATAAAGATATGGTAGGACTGCTGAGTGGGTGTGTGGGCTGGTTAGTAAGTAGTTGACTGGGTGGTAGGACCACTGATTGGGTGTGTGGGTTGGTCAGTAAGTAGTTGACTGGGTGGTAGGACCGCTGAGTGGTGTGTGGGCTGGTCAGTAAGTAGTTGACTGGGTGGTAGGACCGCTGAGTGGGTGTGTGGGCTGGTCAGTAAGTAGTTGACTGGGTGGTAGGACCACTGAGTGGGTGTGTGGGTTAGTTAGTAAGTAGTTGACTGGGTAGTAGGACCACTGAGTGGGTTTGTGGGTTGGTTAGTAAGTAGTTGACTGGGTGGTAGGACCGCTGAGTGGGTGTGTGGGCTGGTCAGTAAGTAGTTGACTGGGTGGTAGGACCGCTGAGTGGGTGTGTGGGTTGGTTAGTAAGTAGTTGACTGGGTGGTAGAACCACTGAGTGGGTGTGTGGGCTGGTTAGTAAGTAGTTGATTGGGTGGTAGGACCACTGAGTGGGTGTGTGGGTTGGTTAGTAAGTAGTTGACTGGGTGGTAGGACCGCTGAGTGGGTATGTGGGCTGGTTAGTAAGTAGTTGACTGGGTGGTAGGACCACTGAGTGGGTGTGTGGGTTGGTTAGTAAGTAGTTGACTGGGTGGTAGGACTGCTGAGTGGGTGTGTGGGCTGGTCAGTAAGTAGTTGACTGGGTGGTAGGACTGCTGAGTGGGTGTGTGGGCTGGTCAGTAAGTAGTTGACTGGGTGGTAGGACTGCTGAGTGGGTGTGTGGGCTGGTCAGTAAGTAGTTGACTGGGTGGTAGGACTGCTGAGTGGGGGTGTGGGCTGGTCAGTGAGTAGTTGACTGGGTGGTAGGACTGCTGAGTGGGTGTGTGGGCTGGTCAGTAAGTAGTTGACTGGGTGGTAGGACCGTTGAGTGGGTGTGTGGGTTGGTTAGTAAGTAGTTGACTGGGTAGTAGGACCACTGAGTGGGTGTGTGGGTTAGTTAGTAAGTAGTTGACTGGGTGGTAGGACCGCTGAGTGGGTGTGTGGGCTGGTCAGTAAGTAGTTGACTGGATGGTAGGACTGCTGAGTGGGTGTGTGGGCTTGTTAGTAAGTAGTTGACTGGGTGGTAGGACCACTGAGTGGGTGTGTGGGTTGGTAAGTGAGTAGTTGGGTTGGTGGTAGAACCCTTGAGTGGGTATGTGGGTCGGTGACTGAATAGTTGGGTGGGTGGTAGAACCCTTGAGTGGGTGTGTGGGTCGGTGAGTGAGTAGTTGGGTTTGTGGTAGAACCCTTGAGTGGGTGTGTGGGTTGGTGAGTGAGTAGTTGGGTCGGTTGTAGGAACCTTGAGTGGGTGTGTTGGTTGGTGAGTGAGTAGTTGGGTTGTTGGTAGAACCCTTGAGTGGGTGTGTGGGTTAGTGAGTGAGTAGTTGGGTGGGTGGTAGGACCCATGAGTGGGTGTGTGGGTCGGTGAGTGAGTAGTTGGGTGGGTGGTAGGACCCATGAGTGGGTGTGTGGACTGTTTAGGATTGTTTGGCGAGTGTGTAGTTTGGGGACAAACAAGTTTCAAAATTTATTTCACCTTGTCTCCATTTCCTTAGTAAGTGAATCCAACTCTTTCTGAAGCAGACGGACGATCTCCCTGTTTGCCTGTAGTTCCTCATCTGTAGCTTGCTGGTCCTGTTGGGCATTTGTCAGTTGTTTCTGGAGCTGGGGTGTATCAATACCAATAGTTTAACAACACACAATCAATATACATCATTATTTCAATGAAGCAGATTAAAGATCAATATTTAATTTAAATTTCACAAACCACAGTAAAGATAAATGTTTATTATAAACATTGCTGCTGTTGAGTGTTGCTACCAGGAATCAAACCCAGTCTCGTAGGACAATCAACTGGCTCTACCATCGGAGCCAAAGAAGTAACAGTCACCTTATTTAACACTATGTAGCAGCCACACCAACCTACTTCTTTTACACCACTCTGCTTTTCTTGAGATTTCCACCTGAGACTCTAAATATTGATACCTGTGGTATTTTGTCAGACTCCATTGTGAAAAAAGGAAAAATACACACCCCTGTCAACAGCCCTAGCCTGGATTGGAACTCCCATCTCAGGCATGATAATTGTCTAGCTTTACCAACTGAGCCACAAAAGCATGCTCAGTCAGCTGAGAGACAGAGATTGTATTTAATACTATGTAAAAGTCACACTGATCCATCAGCTGAGTGACAGAGACAGTTCTTAACACTATATACAAGCCACACCGACCTGTCAGCTGAGTGACAGAGACCGTATTTAATACTATATACAAGTCACACCGACCTGTCAGCTGAGTGAGAGACAGTATCTAACACTATGTACAAGTCACACCGACCCGTCAGCTGAGTGACAGAGAAAGTATTTAACACTATATACAAGTCACACTGACCTGTCAGCTGAGTGAGAGACAGTATCTAACACTATATACAAGTCACACTGACATGCTACATTACCATTGGTACATACCAGCTTACACCTGTTACAGACACTAGGTGGTGCTTCCTCATCGCTTATTACAGACTTCCTGGCCAACACCTTTCCAAATGCTGACTTAAACTTGCCAACTTTACCCCCCGGTTTGACTGATGATATGGAGGCATGTCTGAGGGTTGGGGTAGAACCATCTGGGCTCACAATATCCTCTTGGCTTGGTGACGGTGAAGCACTCTCAGACAATTGTCTAGGTACTGTGCTGTCTGTGAAACAATTAGCAAACTGAAAATCAATTTTCAATCAATTTTTGTTTGTTTTTTCATTGAAAATTGAGGTCAATCCTATGGCTTTTTCAGTAAAAGTACAAGGTTAGTCTGTCTCAAGTATTCAAATATTGTACCAACAGCAACAGAACATATTTATTAAAATAAATTAAACTGATGACCAACAATATTAAATCAGGCAAAATAAAAGTTTAAAGAACTTAGACATGCCTCTTAGAATACACAGGAATTAAATTGAAATACATTGTTAGATATTGAGGTTAGAAGTAAACTGAGCAGCATTAAAGTAAAGTAAAGACATGTGTTCTAACTTCACTGATACTGCGAGGACAGATAAATATTTAAACAATTAGATGTAAGACACATGTTCTGACTTTACTGACACCATGAGGACAGATAAATATTTAAACAATAATATGGAAGACATGTGTTCTAATTTTACTGACAATGTGAGGACAGATAAATATTCTAACAAAAAGATGTAAGACATGTGTTCTGACTTTACTGACACAATGAGGACAGATAAATATTTAGACAATAAGATGTAAGACATGTGTTCTAACTTTACTGACACCATGAGGACAGATAAATATTTAGACAATAAGATGTAAGACATGTGTTCTAACTTTACTGATACTGTGAGGACAGATAAATATTTAAACAATAATATGGAAGACATGTGTTCTAACTTCACTGATACTGTGAGGACAGATAAATATTTAGACAATAATATGTAAGACATGTGTTCTAACTTTACTGACACCATGAGGACAGATAAATATTTAGACAATAAGATGTAAGACATGTGTTCTAACTTTACTGACACCATGAGGACAGATAAATATTTAAACAATAATATGTAAGACATGTGTTCTAACTTTACTGACACCATGAGGACAGATAAATATTTAGACAATAAGATGTAAGACATGTGTTCTAACTTTACTGACACCATGAGGACAGATAAATATTTAGACAATAAGATGTAAGACATGTGTTCTAACTTTACTGACACCATGAGGACAGATAAATATTTAAACAATAATATGTGTTCTAAGACTATAAAATCAGAAACCAACAAATGTCTGTAAATCATGAATACCCCTGAACACTGTAATACAAACTCCACTGACGCAATGTCATAGTTGACTTTTGCGTGACATTTAGAAACAAAATAAACCGGTAGGTGATATTTATTTGGATAAGATGGATTTCATGGTACGGAACAAAACTATTCTGCAGACGTAGAAGTCAATTATATGCATGTGATGAACACCGCCCTTTAAATACTTTTTTTGTTATGAAATGATAACAGATGTTACCAAGGTTATGAAAAGATAACAAACCTTACTTATGTAATGTTATAGAATGATATTTCTAGCCAAAAGAAATGCTTAGTTGTTCAGTGACAGTTCAAGCAGCAATGGTGTGGCGTGTTTTCAAGTATACATTACGTGAATTTGAAGATGTGCCATGGGTGTGAGACGGGAAAACGTTGCAGACACACAGATAAAAGTTGTATCTCTACAAACCTATTTGTCCTTTAATGTTAGAGAAAGCATTCTGAAGTTCAGACTTGAGGTTAGTAAATGACCAGAGAGAATTAGTGGTAGTACCCTCTGGTGGTCCGAGAAGCAGACTGGTTGGTGCTTTTATCAAAGGGAAGTCACTGTGGCTGGTCTCTACGTCCATGTCAACTTCATCCTTCTTGGAAACAAGCCCACTGATATTCCCCTGTGTTCTCTATAAATATTTGAAACATCCTTTTAAAAACAAGATTTACATACATATACCACACTATATGATATGAAAATCCAATCATAAAATTGTTTACAGGGCTATTTTGGCAGACAGAATGTTTATTTGTCAATACTGACCATGTGACATTATCCATAAACATTGTAACATCATCATAACAATACAGACACCATAAAACCAGAATTACATATAATGTATGCACTTTTTCTGACAGTTCTCCCAGACTGAACAGAAGGTTGAATCAGAAAGCATGTGTTTCCTTTAGAAATCCTGAAAGAGACGATGATTTTCTCTAACAAGTTACATTTTGAGTTATATCACAACCTTACCATGTTTTTCACAAGTTTTTTTCCTGTAACATATAGTATAGATACATATTGTTTTAAGGACTTACGTATGTTGGAATTCAGAAACTTTACAGCATGTTTGACTCAAATGTTTCTTGTTTTTATTTCCTACATGAACCTCCTCTACAAGTTACACTCAATCAATGAGACTTTTTACACACCAAAATGTCGGCATTATCAAGCAGTTTGACATATATCAAGGGAGTGTGCAGCTTTATGAAAAAATATTTCACCTAGAACAGAAGTTTGGCCTTTGAAATATGTTGGCAATATATGACCATGTGACACGCATTTATAGTGGTATTGCTGTGTATAATTATGTATGACGTTAACATGGCAATATTGTATACAGTTGGGATTTTGTATCCTGGGTATTCATAGAAATATTGTATGACATTTGGATTTTTTATCATGGGTATTCATAGAAATATTGTATGACATTTGAGTTTTTTATCCTGGGTAACCATAGAAATATTGTATGATATTTGAGATTTTTATCCTGGGTAACCATAGAAATATTGTATGACATTTGATATCCTGGGTAACCATAGAAATATTGTTTGACATTTGAGTTTTTTATCCGGGGTAACCATAGAAATATTGTATGACATCTGGATTTTTTTATCATGGGTATTCATAGAAATATTGTATGACATTTGATATCCTGGGTAACCATAGAAATATTGTTTGACATTTGAGTTTTTTATCCGGGGTAACCATAGAAATATTGTATGACATTTGATATCCTGGGTAACCATAGAAATATTGTTTGACATTTGAGTTTTTTATCCGGGGTAACCATAGAAATATTGTATGACATTTGGATCTTGTATCAAGGTTATCCAATAGACAAAGAGCAGCTATTATATGTTCTTCACCAACCCCACCCCACCCCCACCCCCTCTCTCCCCTCTTCACCACCGAAACCAGTAAATTTCCAATACAAATTTTCCTGTGTAAACTTATAACCAGAGGTTTGTAACAACTCATCAGTATGACTCAAATCACTTACAAACATTTTAAAGTGTCACCACACGTACACTATAGATATAAATGTATCTAACACAAGTGATTGAGGTTAAATATTCAGATTCACAGATTATAAAACTAAGTGGTTGTGTATACAAGTACTCAGTAATATGTCTTCCCTTGACTTACAGCCAAGCTTCCCTGAACAAAATATGACTTATTTATTTCAAAATAAACAAAAAATGTTTAAAAAATAAAATCAATATTCCAACTCACTCTAGATCACACAAATTATAAATGCTGAATTGAAATATCAGTGTTTAAGAACCTGATAGATCTTATCATTAATATATATCATTAATCATTATAGTGACAGAGCACTTGATGCAACTTTTAATTTTATACTTTGAAACAGGATCTTAATTACAATAATTCTAGATATTGTTTCCTTTCATTCTATTACAATAAAATTAATTGCTCACCCTGAAATTCCACTGACCAAGTCTGTCTCGCGAGAGTGAGTTCCTTGCCATGTTAAATATTCTACGACGTTTCTGTAGTTCTTGTAACCAGAACATCATCGAATGTCGATCAGATGCATCCAACAGGTGTTCTTTCCCTCCAGACCTGGTTAATTGAAATGTTTGTAGAAACATGTATTATATGTAAAGGTTTTCAAACCCCTCGCCTCAAAGAAAATCTTCAAACCTTATTCATTATTAATCAGCAATATTTTGACCATGAAACTGCCAATATCAAAAAAGTTTCCAGATAACTTTCATTTTTCACAAAAGAGGAAGTGCTTGAACTTAAATGACTTTAAATTTTCCACAAGCAGAAAACAGAATGTGCAAATACATTGGGAATTATGACTAACTTTGATATAATCTGGTGAGTTATTTTGTAAATACTATCCTAAATGTTGGGAGAGATACATCATACTTCATTCCCAATACCAAAACCTCTGCATTCATCTAAACTTTATCAATAATTGTCTTGATATTAAGGGTGGGAAGCAGGTGCTTTTTTGCCTTAATTAAATGTCATTAGCTTTTAAATCAAGTTCATACATGTGGTCATTATTAGTTTTGGTTTTTCTAAAGCCTTGTTATTGATAAAGGATGTACGGGTACCTGGTTTACAAAACACACTGGTGCTCTACAAGTAAGATGGTCATACCTCAGAATCACCATGTTTATAACGGAAAATATCTGTACAGAAAATCATTAACACTGGAAACATATTACTGAATTGTTGTGACAAAAACAAAATATGCACACAGAAACCTACTTATATATAAATTTTGCTTATCTAAGGTTGATGAAATCTGGACACAAAGATAAATAAAAAGAAAATGAGAAGAACAGACAAAACTGAATTGTAGATGTCTGATATTGTATATATTTGTGTCTCCATTATCCTACAGACAAAACTGAATTGTAGATGTCTGATATTGTATATATTTGTGTCTCCATTATCCTACAGACAAAACTGAATTTTAGATGTCTGATATTGTATATATTTGTGACTCCATTATCCTACAGGCAAAACTGAATTTTAGATGTCTGATATTGTATATATTTGTGACTCCATTATCCTACAGACAAAACTGAATTTTAGATGTCTGATATTGTATATATTTGTGTCTCCATTATCCTTCCCCTATCCATTATCAGTAGGCCATTACCTGTAACATGTTATTAATGACATGTATTAGCAGTTTTATCATCAACATTGGTACTTGAAGTGTCATGTCACTTGTTTTATAATCTCGTAGATTTTGACACCTCAGTAATCGTTATGTAAGGTTTATACGTGATAAAGCTGTTATCAAAGTCTTCCTGTCTATCTATTTCTTGTTTCTTTGTTACCTTCAGTGTCTGTGGGTTTTTTGGGGACATTGTTAACAAGGAAGCTAGCAATTACATCTTTATTTTCTGTAAACCTGTATTGTGTGTAACACGTACAGACACAAGGAAGTATGTACAGATATTCAGATTTGTCTCTCGGGATTATATATCACAAACAGCTACAGAACAACATTCTGAAATAGGAGCAGTCATATCATTTTATTTAAAAAATAAATCATTTGAATAGCAAAAAGCAAATTTTCATAGTTTCACATGTACAATCATCAATGTTACTTCATGTAGCTCGCCATCAGAGTTCCTAATCGGTCCCTCTTTAAAGAACAAGGCCAAGGTCAAGGTAGTAGTTACAAAGTGAAGGTTACAACTAGACAGTCTTTATTTTATCATGATGAGAAAGTAAGACAATTCATGCATGTGGATCTGGATATTCTTCTCAAAATTATTTTATTATATCACCTGAACTTTGGTAAGTATTCCTCACAACGTCTCTCAAATACGGTTGAAAGACAAGGTCATATGTTCAAGGCAAAGGCACAGAATCTTTACACTATGAAAAGAAACTTATTCAAACATTCTTGGCAATTTGTTTTTTAAAATTAGGTCTTGAACTCCATATAAGTTTTCTGATCATTAAGGTATCAGTCCAAGGCCACTTGAAGGTCATTGTTTGAAATATTGAACCTGTTATCTTAAACCAACATGAACGATCATGTCCTATACACAGTTTACACGAGGTCAAATTCATTTATCTATAACTGTATAGCCTTCATAACAGGGTGTCACTCCACAGTTGATATATTTACAGAGTGTATCTGTGCAACTTCAAAGACATATGTTCTGAAGAGGGCTTTCATCGAACATTGCTGACAAAAGTAGCTGGCAGCGTTGAACTGTTTGTTTCATTGGTTGTTATATTAGTGGTTATTTTCAATCTCCAACTAGATGTCGTGATACATGGCATAGGGAAAACCCGGTTTTGAGAACATTTTACGGTCACATGACCAGAGCTCACAGTAATTCAAACAATAAATGATTCATAGAAAGATAAAAATGTTGATATCTTGATACGACCAAATGGCTATTCAATCTACAATCACTACAATGAATCATGTACGCTGAACGAATCGTTTGGGAAACCTGATTTACAGGAGAAACAGTTATGGAAGCAAGCAAAACAAGAAAAGACAACAGAATCCTTTGGGGGAATTCACACACAAAGTATGGGGCCCATCCGAGAACATAAAGGTCATAAAGATATGGCCCTCCATAAACCAGACTGATTAACAGACCAGTAAAATGAAGTGTCTTCCAGCTACCGAAAAAAACAAAAAAAAACAAATTTTGATTGATAATTTTAAATGGAAGTACAGGGCTTATGTCCATTTATCCTAGATAAGAATTAGTGTGCTGATATCAAAGTTTCATCATTTGTATTAAAATGTTTATGAGTAAATTGATAACAAAATTAACTAAGAAGAATGACAAGAGTTTTGATAAAAGTATTGGTACAACAGAAAATCCAGTTTTTTTGTGTGTGTGCTTATTCCTTTAATCCAATACCTGGGCTTTTGTTTCCAGCGATAATTCCACCAGGCGAGGAAAACTAACTCCACTAACAGACAGAAACGTAATTGTTGATGATGACATGTGTTCTAAATTCAAACAAGTAATAAGTAGTCACAGAATTCCACATTATTTGGTACAAGCCCTCCTCGATACATTTTCAACTAAAGACTAATGTAAATAGGAAATGAACATATGTCTATGGTTAGTGGTTGTTTTCTGAAGAGAATCGCTTTTGAAGGGTTTGTCTGTCATCAATCTGTCATCATTTTGCATATGTTCCACAACACTTGCTACAATATTTGTAAGTTACGTCACGCGATATCCGTAGGTTTATTGTTAAATGGGTGATCTTTATCTAACTTTCTTGAATGGAGAAATCCAAAACAGCAGAGAATACATGTTTACAAAATAGCAATGTGAATGTATGGTTTATCACTGGATATCAGTATAACATATAAGTAACCAACTAGTTTATCCACTACATTGGCCTGATAACACATAAGAAAACAAGACAAAAGGATGTGATATTCACACTGATATAAGCTGTATACACTAACAATGTTATTAGATACAAACTAGATACTTATTTAACAAAGTCTATACATCTCTGAACCAACCTAACTAATAATTATAAAATTAAGGTAAATTTTGAAGTGTTCTGGGTCAGCTTCAAGATAACTTGCATGCGTTGGCATGCATAATCATTTAGGTTTTCATTCTTCTGAAATCATACATGTTTAAAAGTCAAATTTCAGACAGTTGTTTGAAGTAGAAGAATTTCTTTATTACACCTCTGTTTACATGCTAAATTATGATTTACTAAGAGTCAGTACAGCTCACCTTGATGTCATCAATTGAAAATCACACATAAATTAGCATGTCAAAAAGGTCAATCACACATAAATTAGCATGTCAAAAAGGTCAATCACACATAAATTAGCATGTCAAAAAGGTCAATCACATGTAAATTAGCATGTCAAAAAGGTCAATCACACATAAATTAGCATGTCAAAAAGGTCAATCACACGTAAATTAGCATGTCAAAAAGGTCAATCACACATAAATTAGCATGTCAAAAAGGTCAATCACACATAAATTAGCATGTCAAAAAGGTCAATCACACATAAATTAGCATGTCAAAAAGGTCAATCACACGTAAATCAGCATGTCAAAAAGGTCAATCACACGTAAATTAGCATGTCAAAAAGGTCAATCACACGTAAATTAGCATGTCAAAAAGGTCAATCACACATAAATTAGCATGTCAAAAAGGTCAATCACACATAAATTAGCATGTCAAAAAGGTCAATCACACATAAATTAGCATGTCAAAAAGGTCAATCACACGTAAATTAGCATGTCAAAAAGGTCAATCACACATAAATTAGCATGTCAAAAAGGTCAATCACACATAAATTAGCATGTCAAAAAGGTCAATCACACATAAATTAGCATGTCAAAAAGGTCAATCACTGGCAAAAAGTTGAAAACTTTGAAACAAAGTTTTAGATCTAAAAACCAACAAGAATGTCTGCAACTTTATATATTGATGTAAACCATAATTAATAAGACACCAGATGACCATCCATCATCTATTTTAATTACCAATACTGTGTAAAATTGAACAAACACAGCTAGTGACCAACAATACCAGGAAATGTGACTGGGAATGATTCATTCAGTCTCGTCGGCCGAAATCCCATAATAGTGGATGTACAACTTTTTAAAATATACTCAAGGGATAAAGAAACACAGGGTGACATTATTTACAATATCTTGCGAATGTGTTGTTCAAAAACAATGAAAATCAGTCAAACAATTCTCTAGGTTACAGTGCACGTGGTCCTGTATTGAATATTGCATTATTGTATTGTGTAACAATGTCTTCCCAGGAAAGCACAAAATGGGAAAATCTGTCGCACAGCAGTGTTGTGACATTGGCATGGCTGACGGAACCTCAGAGGGGTCAGGCCATTGTGATGATTAAAGGTCAAACGCAAATACAGGTTGCCAGACATTTCAGTGTCCATATTTGCAATATTGAATGTCTTGTTAGACGTCTAAGGGAAACTGGGTGGGTTGCTGACAGACCTAGGTCAGGGTGTCTGCGCATGACGTCATAATGTCAGGACAGGTTTATTCGTCTCACGCATTTGCGCAAATGGCATGTTACCGCCACTGAATCTGCCCTTCACACCATAGGTACTCATAACTGTCCTATCCATGCAAAAATTGTAAGGAAACAATTGTGGGGAGTTGGTCTGTGGGCACGCCATCCGTTTGTAGGTCTGCCCCTTACTGCTACACATCACCAATGTCATATGGCTTGGGTTGCAGCACATGCCCCAGAGTATTCCCATGTAGGTAGTGGTGGTGGGTCTTGTTTACTGATGAGATGCGGTTCACCCTGTTTCAAGCAGATGGTCGTCATCCTGTATATTGACATCGTGGAGAACATTTTGCCAACTGTTGCCTAGTAGAGATGGACAGTGGGGAGGATTCTCACACGGAGATAAATCACCATTGGTTGTGGTAGCAGATAATTTAACTGCTGCTAGGTACAGAGATGATATCCTCTGACGCAATGTTGTCCCATTATTGCAGTAAAATAACCTCATATTCCAGAAGGATAATGTTCAGTCCCATGTAGCAAGGATCTGTCGCAACTTTCTTACTAACAACAGAATCCACCCACTGGACTGGCCGCCATGCAGCTACGACCTATCCCCTACTTGTGGGACCAACTGGATAGACAGGTTTCATGATGCCAGCCTCCTCGTTACTCTTGCCCAACTGAAAGCAGCCCTCTTGGAAGAATAGGCCAACATCCTAATGAGGAGGATAAACTCACTCATGAACTCCATGCCTAGGAGAATCAGAGCTGTGGAGAGAGCGAATGGGGGACATACCTGGAACTGACTAGCCAGCTCCCACAATCAGTCCATTTCTATTTCAGATTACAGAGTTCTCTTTCGACTCCCTTCAATTACTTCTAAATCATCGGTGATTTTGCAGTTTGTTCTGTAGGAATTAATCTTCATTCTTACTTAAGAAAATTTAACATCATACTCAACGTCTTGCTAGAACCATCTTCAAACTTTACTCTGCGTTTCTTTATCCCTTGAGTATACATGAATGAATTAATTCAGTATTTCTTAAATAAATTGCAATAAGTGTTGTTGACACACAGACGATGGACCACAGATGAAAACAACTAAAACAGCCCACAATGTGGGCTACAAAATGGAACCAAATCAGACAACAAATGGTTTAGAAGGTTATCTTAAGGTTTACAAATCAAGTATTAATTAGTTAACCAGAGGCTGAGAAGTGTTCTGAAATCTCCCCCTAAAGTACATATGTACCCCAATGTTAGAAATACCTAAAATAATTTACTGAAAAAAGTCTTTAATCTAAACACAAACATAATTAACATGTGTTATATCAGAGACATGTTCTCTACGTCTCTGGTTACATGCATTTCTGATCAATAAGAACTTGTTATTATTGACCTCTCACATGTACTGCCATCATGTCAGTTATTATAATGTGACATTCACTGGCCAGTGACTATAAAAATCATCATATACAGTATCTATTGTCAGTACTGTTCAGTGCGGATTTGAGTCATTGCCATATCTAAAATAGAAAGTTGCAATATCACTAAAATTTGAAATAATAATAAATCAACGTAAAGACATACGTTTTTGTATAATAAACTTTTGAATGTTGTATACAATACTAGTTTATGACTCTATCATTGTTTGGAATAGTATAAATTCATGACAAACAAATATTACGTAGGCTGTACACGACGTGGTACATCATATACTGTACCTGATTTCAAAACTCCCGGGCTTGCCAGTATTTCCAGCATTAAAATGAAAAGAAGCTCTGGATATATCAATTTCATCCAAAGGTAGAAAGTCATGCTGATTACGGTACACATAAAGCTTGCACGTGTTATCCCCGAACACGCAGAAACGCTGTCTGTTTGTTTTGATTATACCACGTGTGAGAATTTGCAACCATCCGAATAGTTTAGCTTCCGGGTTGGCCGAGTTACTTTCACTCTGAGTCAATTTCACTGAGACTACTTGTGTGGCACTGTCATCCATGTCACTTTTGTCAACATCCGTCAAAGACTGTATATTTGTAGGAATCTGTTCGGGAACGCCAGAGGGATGAGGAGCAGACGACTGATTGCGCTTGTCGTCTACTCCCGGTCCTCCCACCGACACATCCATTTTGTCCCGGAAGTTATAATCTCATGACAGATGTAAAGGGTTATGAGGGGTCATTTCAAAACGACAAATACTGCTTCATTCAAAATCACGGAAATGATTGAAGATGAAAACAAGGTGTTAATGGACTCAGGAACGTATCCCTGATGAACACAACTACGATACATAGAAATAGTAATCAGATCTACAGGGGGCACTGAAAAAAAATCGTTTTTAGATATAAAAAAAAATAAACGCACCACGATTTCCCCCTTTATTTTCTAAATGAAACAAACGTTTGAAAGAGTCATAAATATCGAAGTATAAAAAACGAGAATACGAAACCTTGATTTTCGTTATTCATTTTTAAAATTAATTTTCCATTTGTTAATGTTCATTTTAGCTGACTCGACTGGTGTGGTCCTAAGATGAAGCTCGACAAAGTTTACCTTGACCTATATCCACGGTCACAGGGGGTTGATTAAAAAAAACCCACTTAAAGGACTTCTTCTCATGAACCAAAAGGCCTCTAAGTATGATATTTAATTGGTAAGTTCACAGGATGAAACACGACAAAATTTGTGAAAAAAATGACCTTGACTTAAATTCAAGGTCACGGGATAATTTTTACACGTGTAAACGGATTTTCCTCGTGAACTTAAAGGCCTAGAGGCATGATATTTAGCTGATATGTTCCTTAACAGAGCCTGACAAATTTTGCAGAAACAAATAAGACATTGACTCATATTCAAGGTCACAGGGGTCAAATTTGTTAAAACATTCAAACAACTTCTTCTCATGAACTTAAAGGCATGATATTTGGCTGGTATGTTTCTAGTATGAAGCCCGACAAATTTAGAAAAATAAATTACCTTGACATATATCTACGGTCACAGGGGTAAATTTTGATATACACATTTAAACGACTTCTTCTCATAAACTAAAAGGTCTAGAAGACTGATATTTCACTGGTATGTTCTTAGGATGAAACATGGCAATCTTTGGGAAAAGAAATAGCTCTAACCTGCATTCAAGGTCACAGGGGTCATATCTGTTAAACATTTAAATGACTTCTACTCATGAACTAAAAAGGCCTAGAAGCATGATAATTGATTAGTATATTTCTAGAATAAAGCCCTACAAAGTCTGCGGGAAATGTTCTTGACTTATATTCAAGGTCACAAGGGTCAAATCTGTTAAAGCCTTTAAACGACTTTTTATGATATAAAAGGTTTAGAGGCATGACAGTTAGCCATATTCAAGGTCACAGGGGTCAGATTTTTTCTTAAACATTTGAACGACTTCTTCTCGTGAACTGAAAGACGTAGGGCATGTTATATTTATAACAGGTGGGCGCTGCATGCCCATTGGACATTTTGTTTAATAACCCAGTGGTGTCTGGGTTTGTTGGTTGATGGTCAATTAAAATTATTAGAATTAGAATTAGAAACTATTAGAGTTCCCCGTGGTTGGTTTTGTTTGCCATACGGTGATATCTGGTTTCAAACAAAGCGTCCTACTTCATAATCTCATCATCAATAATCTTTTGTAGGTAAATAAATAGATAAAATCAATAAATAGATAAAGAGAAACACCGATCATTTAATCACAATACCCTTATATATACATGTAACTACCAAAATCCATGCCCCAGCAATAGTTTATTGTCTGGTGCCATGGTAACTGAAGATCACTCACGGTTACATTAAATCATGGAAACGCCATACTCAAATATACACACACTGCTTTCAAGAAATGTTTGCACGCATTTCATTTTCTGGGTCAATTTTGGATATCTATTGCTAACAGAAACACCGTTTTATTCACATTAGTTTTGTTCGTTTTTGTTGTTTTAGAGTGGGTATAATATCAAAATTGTGTTTTGTTTTGTAATGTCTTTTGTTTGTGAGATTTTTTTAAAGTATACAAACAAATGCATATTGTCCGTTCTTTTCGACTTCGGAATGCAATCGGAAATCGTTGGCGCTTTGCGTCCACGAGTTTTTGGAGACAATTAAATCATGTGACCTGATATTACGCAGTCCCTTAGTAACGCCGGTAGTTAACAACACTTCATGCCGGTGTTTGGCGAACTTTTACACCGGGACATTATTAACTTCAACAAAAGTAATTTCACTAACAAATATATGAGAGATGTGTGAGTATTTTGATAATTGTGTACAGCTCGGCAATGAATACTTATCATGGACTGTCTTCAAAGCTGAAAACCTGATATCTCCTCTTCTTTTCAACAGATAGGCCAAGACGCATTCCGAGGCAATTTTCACGTTATACAGATGAAAAAGACATCCGAAGAGAAATACAAGAAATACGAGATCGTATCGAAAGCAACACTGTAAGTGAGCTTTAGGGACTTTGGGACTGTGATACAGAGACTGGATGTGTCTAATGCTGGTTCCAGATCAAATATCTCAATGAGAAATAATAATTAAAGATCATATTTGGTCCGTTTGGTCCCCATAAAAAAACCAGCGTTTTCTATCTTAATTACACTTGGAACACTATGTCTTAAATCACGATGGAAAAATCCGAGACGTTATTGTTGTTTTTAATGATATCAGTTGTAGAAGGTTGGATACGATATTTGATCGCTGAACTGGGAAGAATATTTGATATTGATTTTTTTTCAAAATTTCGTTCACTCATGTATATATACAAGGTACATCATCTAAACACGAGTTCTACATTGACAAATATATGATACATTGGTACAATGTTCCCAGGGAGTATCACCTCTAGATCCGACACCTATGAGAGCACGGACTGTTCCCCCATTGGATTAAAGCATGCCTTATAATTACAAGATTTATCTACGACAACCTCACAGACACTTCATTCGTTTGTTCCGTAAACTGCTGTTTGATGTAAAAGTGATTTTTTGTAACCGTTTAAGTCCTCCACCAAGTGTACAGAAACAAGACTATCATATGGCGATGGTTAAAAAAACATTACACACACGTTATCAGGTATTTCTTTTTACAGAGGATGAATTTGGACATACAGAGCAATGTCACAAACGAAATTGATGACTTACGACAAGAAAATATGAAGATGGCTGCAATGTTGAACAGAAAAGAAATATTTCATGGACACACGAACATCTATGAAGAAGTTACTAGGCTCCGTTGCATGAATTTGAGACTGAAGGCAATCACCGACTTACAAGGAACAAATCTTCACATCAAAACATATAAAAATCCATCTCTGGCTGTTAAAACAGATACTTCATGCAAAGAAACTACCAAACAGAGGAACAGCCAATGTAGCAGTGGTCGACTAACCTGTACAGGGATAGACCCGTCGAGCAGTGGTCGACTAACCTGTACAGGGATAGACCCGTCGAGCAGTGGTCGACTAACCTGTACAGGGATAGACCCGTCGATCCCACGGTCAGTAGACGCAATCATTCAGTCAAGTGATGAAAACTCCATCATGAATTCCGTTGGACTGTCTTTCATAGAGGGCATGTTATGTACAATATATTCGACCAAGAAAGTTTCCGGAGGTACAGAGAGTTACGGTCATACCAAGGATGTCACAATAATGGATTTGTGTGGTTGTTCAGACAAGAGAAACATCCGTTTTTTTGTGAGATCTGCACCACCATTGCCTAAAATAGATGTCCACCAACACCTCACTGTTACAGCGGAAGATGTTGCGATACGAGGTCAGTATCCAGGCCCTGTTAGCAATCACCAACATGTAGTATTATAAAGTGTGATAATTAATTACTAGAATCTTGTGTCCTGGACAAAGAATGGGACATGAAAATTTTCACAGCCAAATGATAGATACAGAAACAAGAAACATCCAAAATTATCAGTGTGCTTCAATTATGATGTTAATTGATTCTTGATATTAATTAAGTGTTAATTGATCATGGCTATTAATTAAGTGTTAATTGATCATGGCTATTAATTAAGTGTTTATTGATCATGGCTATTAATTAAGTGTTAATTGATCATGGCTATTAATTAAGTGTTTATTGATAATTGATATTAATTGTTAATTGATTATTTATATTAAGTGTTAATTAATTATTGATACTCGATAAAAGGAAGGAGCATAAGTACACTGATGTCGTGTCTATTGGACCTACACTTTATACTTCACTAAATTCTCACTTAATCAGGCTGTTTCCACAACTCTCTCTCTCTCTCTCTCTCTCTCTCTCTCTCTCTCTCTCTCTCTCTCTCTCTCTCTCTCTCTCTCTCTCTCTCTCTCTCTCTCTCTCTCTCTCTCTCTCTCTCTCTCTCTCTCTCTCTCTCTCTCTCTCTCTCTCTCTCTCTCTCTCTTGTGAATTCTACTAACAGAATTGGTGATTTTAAATATTTCACAATCACGATACTTGATGTGATTTCTGCCACACTTTCCGAGATGGTAAGCATTTGAAATATAAGGAAATTATGAGGCTGTAATCTGGCATTCATGTTGTAGATGGAACGGCATGTCGTAAAAAGTATCTGGAATTAGTATCAAGTCTGTATATCTTATACCCCGTAACGATTAATCTTGAGAAAGTTAAATACTTAGCGATACTTAGCGAAATGACACTTTATTTTCATCATGTAATGATTGCCTTATGTTACAGAATTTTTAAGCTTTGACGATGAAAACCTAAGGGAAGCAACTCTGGATATCCCCGCAGAATTGACATTAGTGAGTGATTTCCCAAACAGACGCCCGTTGTTAGAAATTGAATATGTTCACGATGAGGTTGATCATTTAACATTAAATATGTCAATGTCTATCATAATGTAAGAAAATTACTTACGTGGAGAAATGTTGCTTTCATGATATATTGATGTTTTTACATCACAAATGTATAGGTTATAACTATTACACAACATAACAATTTTATGTGAAGAATCTTTACTGATTTGTCGTATTTCCTTGTTAATTTTAAATGTGGCTGTTTAGCTCCCTGTAAAACGTCGAACCCATTTTCTCTATATTGATAACATATTTCATATTTAAAAATTCAAACAAATTTGATTCCTCCT